GGGACCGCATCACTGGCCTTGGTCTTGGGACTGTCTGTCACTAGCGTGCTTGTACTCGGGCTCCTAGCGGGTCCCTAGGAGGTCGCTTTCCTTGGCAACGTGCTCTACTGTGTCTCAGTTTACTCGAATGCTAGCTGTCTAAATTGGGGCTTTGTGTCTTCTTTGTTCGCCTTGCCGAACGTCTTCGCTCGTCACCTCACTGTCTGCCATGTGCTCCCGATCAAGGCTATGCGGCTTGACGTCGGTCTCGCGCTGCTGTCTCGCGCTTTTCTGTCTCACGGCTCACGGACCTCTGTCTTAGTAGCTTCGGGACTCCTGGGGCGAATGTAGTAACACATATAGTAGTAGCACGCACATGTAACAGCACTCGGTTGTATGTATGTTTTGTGTTGTTATATATATGATTGGGTTTTCCTGCATCTGCCGTGTATAGTACGACGACCCGGATTACGAAAAGCAGGCTATCTGCTAGCCCATAATACACCTTGCGTGGGCATAGAATATTGAGGATCTCGAAATGATTGGAAATTTCGCAATCATTGCGGCGGTTGTAAGGGGCTCAACGCGATCGTAGTGGCATTACGACAGATTGCAAACTAATGATCATTGGGAACATTCCAACGGATTATAAGTCCATGATAGCTGGATTATATTCCATTGCAAGATCCGGGTCAAATCTGTGATGCATTTGGAAGCCCTTCCATCTCTCGTCGGTCAGCCCTCGGTCAGGCTGCGGTCTGTCCCCATCCGCTCCGGTCTCCCAACCACCTTCCGTACGGTTCGACAACCAAATCCAAGCGTGCCCGGTTCCACCGACGTCCTTTGAGCTGCCCTTGTGCGTAATCCCGACGTGCGCTTCACCGCCGCTGTGGGAGACCATCATTGCCGCCAGCGCGCGGGTCCAGTTGTTCGTCTTTGCCTTCGACAGATCGCTGCGCCGTTCATCATGATGTCTTCTCCTTCGAAGAGATATACCCAGTGGCCGCGCCGATGTCGTTGCTGAGTGCCCCATGTCTCCGTCGTGTGGCCGCGACGCACAGTGCCCCCCGTTCCCGCGAGCTGTCAGGGGCCTAGCGCCCTCGCCGACGACATCCATTTCATTACAGCAACTGCCCGAGGATCTCAAGGGGTTGTGGACCGTCGTGAGACCCCTCCCTCCATTGCACCACTCGACTCCTATCGCGCCGCTGCTCACCGCGACACCGACCACAGAGTCCACGATCGACTCGAGTACGGCATCCGCTGCGCCCTCCAGCTCTACGAAGTCAGTATCGCCATCCCGGTTAACTAGTCAGACTCTTTCTCTCCCGATCCCCAGTAGCAGCGCTGCTCCACAGCCGCTGCCCGTGCGCTCGACGCCGGCGACACACATTCATTCCATCCTTGCATCGCCAACCATTGCGTCCAATCTCTCGCCCGCGGCATCGGCGTCAGCCGCGCCATTAGACGATGCCTCCTTCGTCTTCTCGCCCTTCTCGCCCTTTAACACCTGCGCGTCAAGCACGATCAGGTGGACATACTCGGGGCCTGACGAGGCCGTTTTGTTCTTCATCTCCACCACCAGCACGCCGAGTTTGCAACTAGATACACCGGACTTCGAGCCCGTGCCGGGCGGAGTCGTAGAGGCGGCGCTCGGGAGCTTCACTTGGGAGCCTGTGGACTTTGAGCCTGGGTGGTACGTCTTAGTCGCTACCGGCGAAGCTTTCGAAACGCAGTCTATCCCCTTCTTTATCGGTGCATGCGATACGACGCAGCCCGTACTGCCAAGTTCTACGCCCACGCTGTCATGGTCCAGCCTGCTCCCCAGCGACATAACACTTCCGACGACGACATCCAACACATCGCTCACCACCCCGTCCACTTCGCCGCAGGCTCTCTCCTCCAGCTCGCAAAGCCAGGGGAACAAGCATGCGGCGGTAGTGGCAGGGGGTATCATCATCGCCGTCACCGTGCTCATTCTCACCATCGTGACACTCGTCTGCTTCCGCACCGCTCTCTGTCGAAGATCACGCACCGCTATCTCCCTCCCGCGCGACAAGAGGCCGTATCCGTCCGCGCGCTGGCTCGGTCTCTCGTCCAGCCACAGCAGCCTGCAGCAGCCGCACGAGGACCCCGCGCCGCCCGTGCGCGAGAGTGTCAAGTCGCCGCCGCGTCTCAGCGCGATTGAGATGCCGCGCTCGGCGCTCCCGCGCCTGGAGCCCAATCGGCGCCAGCCGTCCATGTACATCCCGTCCCCGGTCGCGACGAGCACGTTCCAGCCGTCCCCCCAGTCTTCCATCGCGAAGCGGGGGGACTCACCGACCTCGCTTGCTAGTCCATACAAGACGCGGAAGCCGGTGCCGCGCTTGGACCTGGTCGAGGACATGGATGGGGCGTCGGCGGTGCGTGGTTTCGCGAGCACGGGCGCGCCGTCCCCGGAGATCACGTCGCCCGTCCCGTCGTCCGCGACGTCGAAGATGTACCGCACGCGCGACAGCGGGATGAGTCTCCGGACGGAGGCCACGTCGGAGAGAGAGGAGGCGTGGAGGGCAAGGGCGTCGAGCATCATTGACCCACACCAGTTCGGGGCCATGAAGACGATGCATTCGGTAGTACCGGACGTTCCTCCGCTTCCACAGAAGTATTGAAGGCTGTAGTGAGTGAGCTCGTCCGCTTGTGGTTTCTTCTGGTTTATGCGATGATACCCCGCACCAGTGTAGCAAGTGAGCAGATACCATAGTATAGTGGAGCTGTAAAGTACTGTGGGGATGGACTCTTGGGACCCTGTGACGACAGACTGGGCGATACATCTTATGCGGCTGGGTCAGGCTTGTCTGCTTGTGCCGTTTCTGCCTCTGCTTCCTTCAACTTTTTGCCGAGGATTTTTGCGCCGACCTGTACACCAAGTATGAGAGGGAGAAGGGCATCTGTGTACGATACGTACGTTGCGTATGTGCATCTCAGCACGTTCCACGCCGAATTCCTTGGCCCGCTTGTAGTGCTCAAGGGACTCCTCCAGGAATCCGCACGCCTCGAGAACAGCAGCGAGGTTGAAGGCAATCTCGGCATCCTCTGGCGCAAGGGAAGCAGCGACTCTGTTCCCGAGGTCAGTAATGTACCAAGCACGGCCGACCAGGGGTGGTATGCACGTACCGCAAATGGTGGAGCGCGAGGTCGGGCCTGCTCACGGCAGAGACAATGTATGCGCTTGCCAAGTCTGGTGACATAGACTCAACTCACGACACTGCGTGACGGGCGGAGCATTGTACGTACTGGTATGGGCATCTGCGCTTGTGGGCTGCAGGGCGATGGCCTCCTTCCATGCAGTGATAGCATCGTCATACTCCTCTGCTCGCCGACGTCTCATTCCCCGTAATTTGTAGCACATTGCGAACAAGTCACTCACTCAAATGGTAGTGTGTAACGCCCAAGTTAAACAGCGAGCTTGCGGTCCGCTTAATGTCCACGCTGCGTTTGTACAATTCCTGCAAGTACATATGTTGGCTGTCAGAATGGTTTGCGGTGGAGACGTACCTTGGCCGCCTGCACGTCACCCTCTTCAAGCTTTTGTGTGCCCTCCTCCAGGCATTGCATTGCCTCCACCTCCGCCGGGTTCACCGCGGACGAGTTTGGGGTGGTGGAAGTAGCCCATCCTGAGAAAAGAGTCGTTGGTTAAGACCGAGTATTCGAGATATAGCACGCAAGCACAGGCAAGTACTTACGCTTAGCGGAAACGGACAGTGACGCCTTCACCCGCGGTGAACCGTGAGCCCGCGCCGAAGATGCAGCAATATGCAAGGGCCGGGAGAGACACGTCCTTGAGGACTGGAGTGCTGTCGTACGTGCAGAACGCACGATATGTGAGAGGGCGACTCTAGCAGACATTTGTGGTGGCGGTTACAGTCGTTTGCATAAAGATGTGCAGGTCGGGCTTTTCGCGCCGATTTGTTTGGCCCGGCCAAATAAAGCCTGATATAGTAGGTACCCGGCGCCTGATAGCGCGCCGTGACAGATCGCGCCAGACGAGACGCGTCGCGACGCGCGCGCGGGTTGCAACGCGCGCGGTGAAGTACTTCACACATTGCATATCGCGTCTAACGGAGGACTCTATTATGTATGCTGTACAAGATAGGATGGTCTATGAATATCCGCAGTTCAGAATGAACCCGCGCGCGCTCTCTGCCGAAACTGAGGCCGCCGCTTGGTGGATTAGCCACGGTCGCACCTCGGGCATGACAGCATGGTCCTCGTGGCGACGCAGCCACGACTTGACACAATGAAAGGCTTGCTCGATGGGGTTCATGTCGGGCGAGTAGGGTGGTAGATAGATTAGTTTTGCGCCTGCAAACATGAATCTGGGACAGCAATTTTGCAAGGGGTGAGAAATGACTTACCACAGTCATCGACGACAATGCTCCTGACCTCCTCGTCGTGGTGTATCGCACAGTTGTCCATGACGACTACACTCCTCTGGCCCGGATATGGGTTAAGAAGAGGAGCCTAAACATGATCAGACATCAAAAAGAAACAACACACAATGTAGAGCAAACTTACCAGTTCGTTCTCGACAAAGCTGATGAATCTCTCCTTGTTTACGGACCCCTCGAATATATCCAGGGCAATGAGACCGTCCACAGAAAGCGCAGGAAGTACGGAATAGCGTTGCCCACGTATAAACGTCGCGCGACGCACGCAGGCTTGTCCAATGGGACTCCACCCCTTCCTGCGCTGATTCGTAATGTCATCGACACTTGATTCGTCGAGCCAAACGAAATACTCCATGGGGATGTCCCCGTGCGCTGCGATCCAAGCAGCACGAAGCAGCTCGTCGCGCTCTGCGGCTTCTTTCGCGACGCTCTTGTGGCTGAGCGCGAGGCGACGCAGGGTCCGCGAGATTGATGCAAGCGAGACGTCCACGTCGCGATCGGCCGCGAGTTTTGCTTGAATTTCGTCAAGGTAGATTGTCGGGTTATCAGCCAGGAGGGAGTATATGTAGTCGATGTCCGTCCTGCTCAGGACACGAGGACGTCCTCTGGGAATGAGGGACTCGGGAGTAGCGATGCTGCCAGTAGTTCGATGAAGGGCTAGCACTTTGTAGATCGCACGCTCTTTGCATCCAGCGAGACGAGTGATGTCCTGGATGGACGTCCCCTCTTCGCGCCAGGCTACAATCCGCTCCCGGAGTTGGTCTGAGATACGAGGGCCTCGGGCCATGGCGCGAAGAGCAGTGGGAGGTGCGTCGACGGTAGCAACGCGCGCGCGACGCGTCTGGCGCGACCTGTCACGGCGCGCTATCAGGCGCCGGGTACCTACTATATCAGGCTTTATTTGGCCGGGCCAAACAAATCGGCGCGAAAAGCCCGACCTGCACATCTTTATGCAAACGACTGTAGTGAGCAAGACGCAACGCGTCCAGCTCGGAACTTCGGCTCGAGCCGACGTTTAGAGAGCAAAAAGCTGATCGAGGCCGGGATCGAACCGACGACCGCTTGTGTGTAAGACAAGAGTGATAACCACTACACCACTCGACCATGCAACAGCAATCACACATTGTAGCTAAATAGACATAGTCTTCTCAGGGAGGCTGTGGCATGAATTCCTGAGATTTCACGACGACTCGACTCACTTGCAAGCGCACACCATGCTTTCTACGCAAACCACAGCTATCTCAGCTCCTTAGTCTTAAAACGTTCCGATACAGCTGGAGTAAAATAAAGCAGTTACCCTGACAGGATGTAGACTCGACCGTTTGCTATATTTTGACGTTTTCGTGCACTGACTATGCTGTCTGACGTCATGTAGAAACCTGGTGTCCTTGTCGACATGATAAATCTCACGAGCTCGGTCTACCCGGGCGGCGAGAATAGCCAACAAATGCATCTTGAACGTTGGGCTTGCCTATAAGGACGGCGACCTATCGACAGCCGTGCGCGCAGTTGATAAATCCCAGGTAAGGATATGTACTACTGGATGCACTGCGGGCGATGACAAACACCGGATGCCAGTTAGCTCCCCAGGCTCGAATTTACCCCGGGGTGAGCTTGGGCACAAACTCTCAAGTTCTCTCTCGTCAAAACCCGAGAAGCTCGAGGGCTAACTACTATGTGCCACCTCCGTATCGGAAAGCTTCGAGCATACGAAGAAAGCGAAGTCAAGCACATCCGACATTCGGAAGATACCCGCGCTCTCCGACCGGGTGACATTATCCAGACTTTTGACCACATTTGCGAATGGGACGAAGACTGCGTGTCTTTCGACGTGTGCGAAAGGTCTGTCAGTTCGTTCCCTCTCAGCTATCTGGTTACTCACGGCGAGCTATAGCTGGCGGGGTCTTGGTGACGCCTTGTGCGACGATGCTCTGCGGCATGTGTTCAGCGGTCCGTCGTCGAGCGTAGGAAAAGACCTGCTCAAGACTTTACAAGAACAGGCCTCAGCTAGAAGCGGCACACCCAACGCGGCGCATGACTTTCTAGATGACATAAGTCAGGCCCCGCCTGCGGGAATTCTGGCATCTAAGGAGGAGATAGTTCTGGCCCAGAATTTCTTTCTCGACAACTCCATTCAGATCATGCAAGCGCTTTTGCATTACAGCCTTGCTGGAGGCTTCGCGAGGTATGTCGCGGGGTATCATACGATCCAGTATTACTGATTGAGCTCTCTTGTGAAGCCCACGCATCGTCCGAACGCTGGAAGCCGTCTCATATCTGGTCCCTCACGTGAACCACGACAAAGGCGGACAATCTTCCTCAGACCTATTGGCAGATGTCCTGTCCAACATCACCAAGGCGTCCACAGATAGGACCTTTGCACGGCTCTCGGAAACGATGCAATTCATTCTGGACGTCATGGGCTGCACAGCGTCCGCAATTCCCACTCACCCCGCCCCAGAAGACGATCCCCATGAAATTCATAGACATGCGGACCAGAAGGATACACATTCGAACATAGATGCTTTGGCGTACCTCATGCCCGGTGGTGAAGGTTGGCGGTCTACCGTGAGGGTACGACTTCTACACGGCATAGCCCGCTGGCGGGTAGAAGAACGCTGGTCAAGAGAAGGCAACGCGCAACCTGGTGTTCCTATAAGCCAAGAAGACATGGCAGCGACGTAAGGCCTCTTTCCCTGTGCCTTTACATTGACTTATTTGACACGATATGTGCAGGCTCGCTGCATTCTCGACCGTCCCCATATGGTCCCTCCACCGCCTCGGCCTCCCGCCCTCCCCCGCCGAAGCCAGCGCATACCTCGCGCTCTGGCGGCACGTCGGCTACTACCTCGGCGTCTCACCCCAAATCCTCCTCCGCCACTTCCGCGCCACCCAAACCGCCGACAAGTTCCTCGCGACCGCCGCGCTCCACCTCTTCTCCGACCCCACCTCCACCTCCGCCTCGTCCCCCTCGCCCCTCCGCGGCCCAACCATCCCCATCCTCGTCGCCGTCTCGAACCGCGCCCCCCTCCACACCTCCCTCTCCTACAACATCGCGCTCACGACACACCTCCTCGGGCCCTCCCTCTCCTTACACCTCGGCCTGCCGCCCACCCCTCTGAGCGCGCGCCTCCGCATGCACGCGTTCCTCCTCCTGCAGCGCGTGCCGCACGTGTTCGCGCGCTGGTACCCGCGCGCGGGCTGGCGCGAGAAGCGCAGGGACGTGCTGCGCGAGGGCATGGTGCGCAGTGTAAGGTGGAATATGGGGCAGCGAAGGACGGCGTTTCGTCCGCGGACGATGGTGAGGGATGTTGGGGAGGACGGGGACGGGCAGGATGGTGGCGCGGGTGGGGAGCTGGCTCCGGGTGTTGTGGAGGCGGAGGGTATTCAGCGGGACCCGGTGCGGGCTAAGGTGCTCGGGAGGATGTGGTCGGAGGTGTGGAAAGAGATGGTCGCTGTATGCGTCGCTGTTGGCGTTGTGGCCGTTGTCGTGAGTTACTTCGGGCTTAGGTATATCTTACATTTGGCATGGTAGTAGCGAGAGGATAGAGGTTTGGCATGGTAGTTAGCTTGGTTAGGAAGCGGCATACAGGGCATGCATCTTGATGCCATAATTGCGGCTCACTCACGCTGCCACTATGATCCAACCAAACGCGGTATCACAAGCATTGCGCAAGATGGTACGAATACATCCAATTTGTTCTTCCTCTTTGTAAACTTCAGATCTACGCACTTCCCGATTGTCCGTTCTCATACCCGATCCCCTGCGACGCTCCCCGTTTAGGTGATGACGGTGGGCTTCTCGCGGCCGAGGAACTCGGGCAGGTTGCTCAGCTGCAGGGCGACCTCGATGAGGCCCTTGAGACCCTCTTGCGCGTCCTTGTTGAGCTCGGCGGGACCTGCCGAGGCAGGGACGTAGCGCTCGACGTACATCCGCACGGTCGCGCCCTGGCTACCGGTTCCGCTCAGGCGGAACACGACGCGCGAACCGTCATCGAAGGTGACGATCTGGCCCTGGTTGCGGCTGATGCTGCCGTCGATGGGGTCCGTGTAGTCGAAGTTGGTGACACCCGCGACGGTGAACTTCTGGCCGGTGCTCTTCGAGACGTGCGAGGTGCTGGCGAGCGAGCCGGTGCTGATGTGCACGTTGATGGCGTCCACGAGGGACTGCGCTCCGACCGCGGGGACCTCCTCGTAGTCGTAGCGGGAGAAGAACGAGCGGCCGTAGACAGCGTAGTGCTTCTCGAGCAGCTCCTTGATGCCGATGAGCTCGTTTGGTGACTGCTGGTTCGCGTACGCGAGGATGTTCAACCACGCTATGTATTTGGTTAGTGCGGTCGGTATGAAGCGTATCAAATAGTACTCACCAACGACAGCCCAAACACCGTCCTTCTCCCGAATGTGGTCGGAGCCCGTACCAAAGGACTCCTCACCGCAGATCGAGAGGCGGCCAGCATCCATCAAGTTGCCGAAGAACTTCCAACCTATTCATACCGATGTTTAGTGAACGTGCGCGTCTAGAGAATGATCGTCGTACTCACCAGTCGGGACGACCGCGCATTCTAGGCCCTTCTTCTTTGCGACCTTGTCGATCTGTGCGCTCGTGGGCATGCTCCGAGCAAGGCCCTTGACACCGCCCTTCTTGAAGTAGGGGATCGCCTCGGCCGCCCAGTCAGCGATGATAGCTACGCTGTCGCTGGGAGTGACGAACGCGCCCTTGCCGTAGATCATGTTCCTGTCACCGTCACCGTCACTGGCAGCACCGAAGTGGATGTTCTCGCGCTCAACGCGCTCGACAAGTTCGTGTGCGTATGTCAGGTTGGGATCGGGGTGGCCTCCGCCGAAGTCGGGAAGAGGTACCGCGTTTTGTACGGAAGTCTCGGGGAGACCGAGGGCGTCGATGAAGATAGCACGCCCGTAAGGCCCAGTGACACCGTGCATACCGTCGAAGAGCACTTTGAACGAGTCCGCATGAGACTGGAGGAAGTTCTTGATGAGGGGGAAGTCGAAGATGGATTCGAGGAGCTGGACGTAGTCCGAAACGGAGTCGATGATCTCGACGTTCGAGGGACCATAGGTGAAGAAGCCCTTCTTGGAGAGGTCAATCGGGGCAAGCTCAATGACCTTGTAGCTGGAGATCGTCTTCGTCTTCTCAAAGATCTTGTTGGTGACATTCTCCGGAGCAGGACCGCCGTTCGAGACGTTGTACTTGATACCGAAATCCGCGTTAGGGCCTCCGGGGTTGTGGCTGGCAGTGAGAAGGATACCGCCGTCCGCCTTGTACTTGCGGATGACGTTGGAAGCAGCGGGGGTGGAGAGGATGGAGTCCTTGCCGACGATGAACTTGGCGACACCGTTAGCAGAACCGATCTTCAGGATGGTCTGGACGGTCTCCGGGGAGAAGAAGCGACCGTCTCCACCAATAACGATGGTCTTTCCGTTGAGGTCGACGGCATCGAAGATGGCCTGGACGAAGTTCTCGGTGTAGTGCTAAAGCGGGGTACTATCAGTAGAGCGTCTTGGATGGAGCGCGATAGACATACCTCCTGCTGGAAGACCTTTACCCTGCGTGACCGTTAGCATGCGTGCTCTCCTTGTAGTGTTTCCGACACTCAATCGTAAGGAATCCTGCAGCCTCCTGCCACGTCCACACACCAAAACCCAGCCTGACGCGAGCGCACTACTGATCATAGCCGATGAGGTAGGGAGGCGCTCACCTCTTGCGGAGGCCGGACGTGCCGGGCTTCTGGCCATCGTACGGCTTCGTCTTGACTTCCTTGACTTGGTAGGACATGGTGTAGAGGAGATGGGGGAGAAGGGGGAGATGACGAGGCGGATAGGGCCTGCAGCCTCTTATATACCTTTGCCCCCGCCTATGACGCACGTTGTGCTCTCTCCCGATTAATCCATACCCGTCACATTCGCGTCAGGTCACATAATCGCCCATCGCGAGCACATCGGTTACGCGTCCGTCACGAGTTCCCTGCCACCAACTTCGCGCAGACCGTGACGGTCCTCGCCCTCCTCAGGCTTCGAACAAACCGTGGCTTCGTTCCCAAGAAAATATAATACATGTCAAAATTACCTCTGCGCTCACGATCGTCTCCAGCTCTCTTGCGTCCGGTCGCAATTGCGTGACCCGTCCCCAGCCTGATAACCTGATCGTCGCGCGTCCGAAGCGTGCATATACCCAGACCCGGCAGAAGTACCGCTAGATTCCCCGTCCCGCCGAGCCCATGGCAGCGTGGTCTGGTACGTAGCGCCGCCTCGACGTCCGCCACGCTCGTATGGGTTGCCGCGATGTGACGACGACGCGCCTCGCGGGTAGAACCCTCGCTGCTGAAAACCCTGTTGTCGGAAACCGCGTTGTTGCGACAGGCCGCGATTATATCCGCCTCCCTGGAATCGAGGATGCGCGACAGGAACCACTTCTGGCGATTCGCGAAGGCGCCGCATGACTTCCCGGACCTCTGCTTCTGTGTACCCGCTATCGGGGCAATCAGATGGCGTGAGGCGCAGGATGCGAGTGTGTCCTTCATGGGGGGCGGGAGGGCGGAATTGCGATCGGAAGCGTCGCAGCACCTCCATCCCCTGCTGAGGACTCGTAATAGTTGGGTGTCCAGTCCCTGCCGAGGAAAATGAGCAGCTGCGTGTCGGTCGCATAATTGGTTGTTGTACTGACGTGTGCTTATCCTTGCCGCGCAGACCTTCAAGGGCGTGTTCCATGACCTACAGGAGACGTGGCAGCAGCCAAGGTCTAAAGCTTACCTCAAAAGGCGTGTCAAACACGACCACCCAAGGCTCCGCTTGAGCGAACTCGCGAGCGATGTTGATCCAATTGGCGCGTTGACTAGAAGCAGGGCAGAAGGCCTCAGGAGACGATCAAATGCAGGAGGAGGATGCGCGCCTCTCACCTCTCGTCGAAATTGGTCCTGTCTATACACACGGAGAAGCCGTCGGACAGTGTTCGCCTGGCCAGTGCCTCCACGCGACGTCGGTCACCGAGCTCATCTTGGTTGCACCGGCGAAAATCAGGAAAGTAGCGTTCTAGGGCTTCGGCGAATGTTGACTGGATAGCATTTGTGTCAGAGTCTCCAGGCTCAGCGTACTTGAGAGAACCTCACCTTTCCGGACCCAATCAGACCGACAAGTATAAGGACGATTTGTCTCCCAAGTGGCACGATGGGTTCCGGCGCGTCCGCAGTTGTAGCAGATGTGCCCGCGGCGGGCTGAGCTTCAGATAGAGCAGACATAGAGCAGTGATACTGGCTCTGGGATCTAGTTTCACGCGCGTTGCTCTTCGGGGAGCTCTGGCCTGTGCCTGAGTTGCTTGTGAGGAGAAGCCGCAGAGGGCTAGAGCGGGGAATCTGGGGTACGGGGGAGGAGGTGATCACTGCAAGCCCGCGCGTCTGCAGGCGTCTGCACGCACAAACAGAACGAGCGCTTGCTCTACACCCAATTCCAAATATGGCAATTCGTGCAGTAGATGGCCACGCAGTTCCGTAGACCACGGATGAGTTGGAATATTCCCCAGGCCTGACAACTGGGCGCTGTGGTGGAGCGTGCAACTCAAGGTACTATCGTCCATGTTTGATACGACTGCTGAATGATAACGATGCGTGTTGTACAGCAAACGACCACCAGACCAGCCGCCGCCCGTCCGGCGGTAGAGAATGCAGCGAGAGCTGTACGTTGTGGGTACCTGTGATTGACATACGTGAGTACAAGGATGTCAAGACCCTGTTTCTTCATGCCAAAAGGCATTATGTACTTCGGTGCCAATCCGTGGGTTTGACGTATGTCGCGCGCAGGGTGTGCCTATCACCGTACAGTTGACAGAGCTCCCCTGCCTTGCCGCAGATGCCGTCGGCATCGATTCTATTCAGAGATGAAGTAGAATGCGTATGCAGCATTCAGACGTTGTACTTAAGGAGAGAAGCCTTCGGTGCTCACCAGGGTTTCTCAGCTTCTGCGCGGTACACAGTACGCCCACAAACGCCACTGAGGCCCCATTTAGAGTCTTCGTCAATTGCGGGCGACGATGTCTTCGCACTGAAGGAATAGCATCGTCATCGTGAATTGAAGACAAAAAAGAGGTTGAACTCACGACCTCCAGCATGATAACGGCAAGCCCCATTATCTCCTCTACGGAGAGTAATCCTCCGGGTCCCTCGAAAGGGTACGAGGTCCTTAGCGAAGTCAACCCTCTGTCACCCGCGGACCTCGCCAAGCGCACCTGTCCATCGAGCGCATCAGGTGTACCACAAACAGCCTACATGCGTACCTCGCGAATAGCACATCCCGGAGGCCCTGCAGCCTTTTGACGTCAGAGGCACCCTCCCACGTCCAAACGGATTCTCACCCCGCCAACGACATGTAACGGCTTACGAGGTCGAGCCCGACCCAGGCGCCGTAGAGGAGTATAAAGGCTCTACGAAACGGTCAGGGAGAGCATCACCAGTCAGACCAACACACTCAACAAACCCTAGAAGCCCCCCAGCTCTACTCTCCAGCCCACCTCTACTACAAGATGCAGTTCTTCAACAAGCTCTTCCTCATCGCCGCCGTCTTCGTCGCGGTCGTCGCTGCCGGCCCCGTCATCGAGCGCGAGGGTGAGCAGTCCGATTCCACAGCCGCGAGGGGCCGACTTAGACGAGGGTGTGCTGACGATCACTGCGACAGATGCCCTCGAGATTGCGCCGTGCTCCTGCAGCGGCAAGACCTGCTCTTGCAGCGACTAAGGAGCCGTGGTCGTAAGTTAGCAGCCTCAGAGCAACAGGGATCGATACTGACAAACTCACAATCGTCACAGGCTCCAGCCTAGAAGGCCTCGCCTTACCGCGGGTGCCGCATACTAGGATGTGTTTGTACTCGAATCTTGCGGGGTTTGTGATATGCTTTGGCTGGTTGATCGATGGAGAGAGCCTGATATGTGTATGGGGTCTTTGTAAAATTGTTGTATGAAAACGCTATATATTGTGTGGACAGAGGTTTGGAGTGGGTTCTACGATGCGAGTCAGTGACTAAATTTGCATCCGGATTAAAATAGGGAACATACCCCACCAGGGCGACTTGCATTTTCTCGTCACTCGACTCTTGGAGTGTACCCTTGAAGAACATGTAGATGGCGATCAACCCACACGCGCCGAGAATAACGATAACTGGTCAAATAGATTCAAGAGCGCATCATCGACATCGAGAACAATATACTGCAGTGCGACTAACTGATTGCAAAACAGACCAAGTGTGAGCATATACACGACAAAGTTCAGACGGCTTTCTCCTTTCCTCCCCCGTTCACGAAGCACCGTTCCGGCGGGCCCGCTTCGGCTTGCCAGAACGCCTTCTCCCCATTCCGCGCCCACCACCGGCCTTCCCACCGTCGTCGCCCTCAAGGTCCACCTCCATCGACTCCGCGTGGGCGCTCACACCACCCTCGCTGCTCCCCTGCGACGGGAATCCGACCCTGTCGCGGAGAGACGATCCCCCGTCGTGCACAGGAGGATTGTCATCCAGCGTCAGCCGGTCCAGGAGAGAACCCCCGCGCTTCGCGCCGGGACGATGGCCGTTCTGCATCGGAGGCGGAGACCTCTCCCGAGGCGGAGGCAGACGCGCATCGTCGATAGGCCGCGACGGCAAGTTCCTGTCGATGTCGCGGCGCATGTTGTCCGGGTACCCCCGATCAGGGGACCTTACCGGTTGGCGAAGGTGGACGGGTACATCTGGTTCTCGGACGAACAGGCGAGCGCGCTCTGGGTGCAGCTTGCTAGACGTTACGGGCTGCTCTAACGGACGTTCGATGAAGCGAGGGACGTAGGGCTGAGGCGGCGGCGTGATCGATCTGGGGCGTAACGGTACCTCGGGAGAGCGAGTTCGCGAGCCTGCGGCGTCCGGCCCGATAGGACCTGGGGGATAGGTATCGTTCACAGGCCATCGCCGGGGCGGAGGACCGTCCTGACGAGGCTCCCAGGCGCCTCCATCGCGCGTGAAGCGGTTGTCCCTGCAAGTAGAGGTCAATATGGCACTTGCGACGACTGTGTCCGTGCTTACTCCCTAGGAGGGCGATCATCGTTGGAACGTGGTTCTGGAGCGCGTCCACTCTGTGCCTCGTCGCGGGTTTGCCAGACACGGGGTGCCAAAGCCGGCGAAGTAGCTGCCGGCGAAGTATCTCCAAACCGTGACTGAAAATGGTGAATACAACGTTGTTGGACACTAACGATTATCTCACCTGGCGTAGAGGCTGATCATCTCTGGGAGCATCCCTAGGACGAGGAGGCAGTGCACTGGTCGGTCGATCAATCATGGGTTCGCCGCGAGCTCGCTGTATTGAAAGTGAATACGTGTATATATGTTCATAGATAATGAACGCACGTTGAATCCTTCCTGGCCAACCGACAACCGGCGATCGAGACGGTCACCACGTGGAGGGTCCGATGGTGGCAAGTCATGGGGAGGGGGAGGCTGGCGCTGCCATGAGCAACTACACATATCCCGCGATGAATGACCACATACCCGTCTGTCATAAGGCTCTAAGTCCCCAGGAGGTGGACGACGAAGACGATCCCCGACGTCATCCACACGTCGGTACCGATCGACAGGGGAACGGACGCCATTGGGCGCGAAACCGTCAGACGGATGGTCGGCGGGCTTCGCGCCGATCGGGACGTTGTTCGTTCCCGAGATTCGAGAAGGAGGCCGCTATGGCAGGAGCAGGTCAATCATCGTGTCAATGCAGGGAAACAGCGAGGACTTACATCGTCGCGACGATCATTCGGGAGAGGCGCTCTACCACCAGGGCGGTCCGGGAGGTCGCGTGGGGGAACCATGTCTAGACGCCTAGGAGGGAAAGGCGGAAGAGCTGAGGCCTCGCGTGAAGGAGGTCCTGAAAAGCTCGGTCGTCTATCCTGATCATTCGTCTCCCATCGACGATCGTTCGGCCGCCCACGTCCCCTGCCGGCTTCAGGAATAGATGGGTCCACGGGCGGGCCCATCGGCGGTCGGGCATTGTAAGCCGGAGGCGGCGGAGGGGGAGCTCCACTGGGCGCGGAAGAGTAAGGACCACCGGGACCATCTCTCGCAGCCATTGCTCGAGGCCCGCGAGGTGGCTCCGCAACCATACGATCAGCATGCATCCCGCCCATGGTCGAGCGAGGAGCTGGAGTCGTCTTCATCGGAGGTGGCCCATCTACATCCATCCTATCTGCTGGAGACGGGAGGGGGTCGAAGCGTGAGTGTCTATCCCCCGGCCCGGTGGGCAGAGGCCGACGCATTCTGTCAAGATCGTCGCGAGGGGGTGACCTTCCTGCACGACGAGGACCAGAAGGACCGTTGTCTGACGGCGGACGGAACCTATCGTCCCTACGGTCAGCGGGAGGAGCATCAAGAGCCCCATAAGGCCGCCGTCCGTTGTCGCCAGGCGGAGGTGGCGGCGCGAACCGCGCGCCCTGAGGTGCAGGAGCACCAATAGGCGCGTTAGCGTACGGACCCGCAGGCGGCGCGGCGGGTGTCTTCCTGTTCTCGCGCCACTGCTGGTCCTGTGGAGGGAGCGGGGCTCGTTTGCGATCTATACGCGCACAACGACGGCGAAAAGAGAAGAGCGACGAAGGTCGGTATGAGGGTCCGTGGACGTCATGACGGGAAGATACGTACGGGATGCATCGACCGGAGAGCTTTCAGCTGGGAAGCTGGCAGGAACAGGTTTGGCGGGGAGAGACGCTGCAACAGGTGGAAGATCAGGAGGGAAACGACGAGGTGGTCCTAGGTCTTCGTTCAGACGTCTTCTCTTCGTTTGGTCGTACCCAGTGTCCTGAACGTCGATGTCTCTGGTCCGCCTGAGCGGGAGACTGTCGGTCGACGGGTGGAGCGGCTGGTCGCGCGGTGGGTAACGTGGTGGCGGGGTGTTCGATCGCCCGTACCGGAAGGAGTCTCTTGGATTGCTTGATGACGGCGTTAGGAGACCTTCAGCTGGAGGCGGGAAGGATGATGGAGCAGGACGCCTTGGCGGCGAGGGTTCGCGCAGGTGTGGCGGCGGCGATCTGGGTCCTGCAAGAGAAAGGAAAATGATTCGTAAAAGAAGCGATTGGAGCGGGCTGCAGGAAGAGAGAGAAAGCGACAACGAGAAGGGGAAGTTGGAGGGTTCCACGAGGTGTTTCCAATAGACAGTACGCATTTGGCCAGGCAGAAATGTGTGGGGACAACGTAACTCCGCTGCGAGGCTTCACGAGACAGTCGACGGGCACCTGTCCTCCACCTCGAGAGGAGCCTCGATTGCTGAAGACGGGAGTGGGAGCAGGATGCGAATAACGTACTCGGTGCCGGCCACTCATCGTTTGCGTGGCGGGAGCTTGGTTGCTTCCGAGGGAGAGGGCGGATGGGGGGTTCGATGTCATCTTTGCGACGCAACGGTGGTTCGATGTCGTCTTTGCGACGGGACCATGGTTCTACGTCATCTTTGCGACGGATTGGAGGCTCGATATCGTCCTTGCGGCGGATTGGGGGCTCTATGTCATCGTTGCGACGACGCAGGGGAGGTTCTATGTCATCTTTGCGACGAGGTCTGCGGTTAGGCGGTGACCGAGAGGAGGCCTGCATATCATCCACGCTATTCGGCCGTTGAGAACGACCCCAAGTGGCGTCGACGCTGCGGTCCTGTGAGAAGTCTCTAGGTGCCTCTCTCAAACCCCCGCGAAGAGCAGGTGGCGGCGACAAGTCACGTCGAGGTACACGCCCCCACGCAGGACTAGGTGAGCGTGGCCTCCGCCGGCTCTCGGGGGGAGAGGGAGATCGCGTCCGGACATAGGGCGCTTCAACCGAGTGTGCAGGTTTCACGCCCAATCGTTCACTCCGTCGGTCACCAGACTCTGATTTACCCGCAGGCAGTGGAGTCTCGCCTGGCCTGTAATGCCGATCATGGTACGTGAGATCTCCCGCAGGGGGCAGAGGAGACGTATTCCGCGACGGCGTGTCTCTTGATGGGACGCGAGAACCCTGACCTGTGGCAGACATATCCAGCAACGCAGAGTCAAGGTCATCAGGAGAGCGGCGCCCAGACAAATGCATGTAACCATTCTCCCGTTCTTTGGTTGGTGAAGACGTGCCGGAGAGAGGCAGCTTCGGTCGCACCCAAGTTGATTCCTCGGTCTTCACGTTGAAGTAATAGGCTTCGTTGCCGCCGGTTCTTGGGTACCTGATCTCCCAGTCGGGAGGCAAAGGATCGCCGCCATCAGAGGCCTTCAGCGAGCCATTGGACTTTTTCTGTCGGTGGACCATAGCGCTTGCGAGGATGCCAGGTCCTGTGGGGGAGGGAGGTCGGAAGTGCGGCGGGGCCACGACTGGCTTCGGAGGAAGTGCATGCGTGAGAGGAGCAGGGAGAGTGCTTGCAGAGTGAGTGCGCCGAAGACCACTGGAGGGCGACTCTGGGTTTTTGGACTGGGAGGGCGCTCGAGCGTGCTGCGAGGATGTAGCGGATTGGCGCTGGTTGTCGCGTTTGGTGGTATGGGAGTGGGTGACAGCAGCTGATTTGCTGAGAAGGCCCCCGCCGACGGAGGCTGACTCTGTAGAGTGGTGAGCGTAGAACTCGCGCTCATCTTCGTCGTCGCCACCAAGGGAGACAGCGTCCTCGGCGTCCTCGCCCGCATACCCACCCGTCGCTTGTCGCGGAGAGTCGCTCGGGTAGGACTCGGGTGGCGCCTGCAGCTCGTCGTCGTCGTTTCCCCAGTCGACACGTTCGGCGTCGTCTTCCATCGTCTTGTTGTCGAAGACGGTAGTGAGCGTGGTGTGAGTGGAAGTCGCGGAGGACTTGGCGGACGACAGCCATCGAGCGTACAAGGGTATTTGAGGCTCCGATTAGACTCCTTGATCTCCGCTTGCCCACGGTAAATGGGCGTCTAACGTGCACATGCGGTCATTACGGCGAAGTGTAGCTGCCACTGGGGACACCGTACACGACCTACTGGACTCTTTCGTTAGGCCACCAACGCTCTCTGGGTCTCGCTTTGTGAATTTGCCTTCGATTGCCTCCCATACCTATCTGCCGCTTGGAAGACTGCAAGCTGTCTTTCCACCACTCGCTGTTCCGTCGCCCGAGGATACGCGCAGACATGGACCTGCTGCCTACAATCTCTCCCACCCCTCAACACAATGGCGGACAGTTCAGAGGGTCCTCCGTGTCGAACCGCGTCCCTGTGATATTCAGGAGACTGACGCGAGTCCAGCAGATGGTACGTGGACACAGCAGCTGGAGGGTCTCATGGAAACATAACTTGGCGCGGAAGTAGGATTTCGAATTGGCGGCATGGCAGTTGACATACCTATGCATTTCTCCTAAAAGAGTGTAAGCTAGAAGCTTCATGGGTCTTAACCGGCGTACTGACCGTACGGAAAGGTACCGCAATGTCTACTTTCATAAACGTAAGTGCATCTGTGCTTACCCTAGCGCGCCTCCTGACACACGCCTACAGAGACGAAGAATACGTGGGCAAGAGACGACCCCGCCATTCTCATTTTAATTGCGGCGTGTTTAGTCGGTAAGCGTCACTGCGGTTTTCTATATAACTGTCTACCTGAGCTGAGATATCGAGCTAGTGTCCGCTATAGCATGGTCGGTTGTCTACTCATACAGCCTCTGGGGAGCTATTGAGCTAGCCTTCCTCATGATATTTCGCGACTTCCTCCTTGGTGGCATCGCGGTCTCAACAATCATATGGTGCGTCAAAATCCCACGGGAAATCCTGCGGTACTGAATTCTTATATCAGGTTCTTTGCAAACCGAGTGCTGTTGTCACCCCCATCGCATTCTACGCCGGAAGATGCGAAAGTAGAGTGGGCATATGCGTTTGACGTCCACACGAACGCGTTTTTCCCGCTCTACTTGACCCTGTATCTGGCACAACTTTTCTTAGTGCCAATCGTCCTGAAGAGCAACTGGATCTGTTTATTCGTATCAAATACGCTCTATCTGGCGGGGTATGTGCATTGCTATCTCGCTCACTCTAGCAAGTGCTGACTGTGTGCGCTTTCAGGTTCGCACAGTATATGTATGGGATATACCTAGGACTCAACAGTAAGGAGACGTGCTCCTTTTCGCACCGGGTTTGTCTGACCATCATCCAACAGCCCTGCCGTTCCTTGTCCGCACAGAACTTCTGCTTGCGCCACTACTACCTCTCTTTACGGGTTACATAGTGTCGTTGCTGGGGTTCAACGTCGCCAAGCATGTACTACCTCTATACTTCGGTTCATGACGGTCATGTAGATTTCGGCTGCTCTTCAATGGATATATCCCCATATTTAACATCTCGACATGCCATGATATGTGTTGTGGATGTGCCTGCGTGTGCCTGTTTCGAATTCGTTGCTGGACGCGGGGCACGGTCGCGTAGCACTACGCGTGTTGTGGACAAGGCTCGGTCATTAGCCGCCTAGGACGCCGTTGAAACTCCGCTCGCATGGGCGTCGATTGCACCGCAGAAGGCCTTCACCGCCCTTCACCCATCTTATCCCCCGCCGCTGTCTTGTCTCTTACCCCGCTGTTCTCTTCACGACCACGCAACGACGAGCAGCAGCGACACGATGAGCGGGTCACAGGCGCAAATACAGAAGGCTATAGGCCAAATCCAATCAAAGGCCCCCCTTCCGGAGATCGACTTTACCCAGCACCAGCTCGAGAATGGCTACACGATTAGCACCCAGGAGCGCGTCGTCAAAGAGGTGTGCAATGTCCTGATGTACCTTCACCGTTGGGCGGGCGATGCTGAGCTTGTGCATGACTAATAGGTGCAAGCCCCGGCCATGACGCTCCCTACCGACGCTCAGTTCTTCTCGAAAACGGACCCGTCGAAGCCGGACGTCGGTTTCTTGAAGAACCACTTCTATCGTGAGGGTCGCCTCTCTGAGGAGCATGCGCTCTTCATCCTGGAGAAGGGAACGGAGATTCTGCGTGCGGAGCCCAATCTCCTGTATGTCGACGCGCCCGTCACTGGTGCGTCCTATCTTCAACCTTCGTGTTCGATCACTGTTTCATTGCTCTTGTGCCCCCTTGTCGGACTCGCAACCTTCAGTGTGTGGCGATATTCATGGACAATATGTGAGCGTCTTGTCGAGCGGTTCCTCGGATCGGTACTGATATCCCTATTACACCCAAGTACGACTTGATGAAACTCTTCGAAATTGGAGGAAACCCTGAAACCACGCGCTACCTTTTCCTGGGAGACTACGTCGATCGCGGCTACTTCAGCATCGAGGTGCGTCGCGTGCACAGCCCTTGTCCTCGAGATGTGCGCGTCTGACCCAAACGGGAAGTGTGTACTATATCTCTGGTCCCTGAAAATCTGGTACCCTGAGACCCTCTTCCTCCTTCGCGGCAACCACGAGTGCCGGCACTTGACGGACTACTTCACGTTCAAGCTTGAATGTATGCGCTCTATCTTTTTCATATGCCGGTCAACGCGGAATTAATCAGCGACCCCCTCACACAGGCAAGCGCAAGTACTCCGAGCGCATCTACGATGCGTGCATGCAGTCGTTCTGCGCCCTCCCTCTGGCTGCCATCATGAACAAGCAGTTTTTCTGTATCCATGGTGGCCTATCCCCCGAACTCAATACCCTTGATGATATCCGTGCTGTGCGTCCATGTCTTTGATACCTACCTAATATTTGCTGACATCATCTGTAGATCGACCGTTTCCGTGAGCCTCCTACTCAAGGTCTCATGTGCGACATGCTGTGGTCGGACCCGGTCGAAGACTTCGGCCAGGAGAAAACGTCGGACAGTTTTGTGCACAACCACGTGCGGGGCTGCTCATACTTCTTCACGTAAGTGTTCCGACTCTTCAACTATGCACCATCCGCTGACAAGCTTTCTAGTTACCAAGCTGCATGTCAATTCCTGGAGCGCAACAAGTTGCTCTCAATCATACGTGCACACGAAGCGCAGGACGCAGGGTTGGTTCGGTACACCCTCTTGCCCTAATGTTTTCTGACAATGAAGGACCAGGTACCGCATGTACCGCAAGACGCGGACAACTGGTTTCCCCTCCGTCATGACGCTTTTCTCCGCCCCCAACTACCTCGATGTATACAACAACAAGGCCGCAATTCTGAAGTACGAGAGCAACGTCCTGAACATCCGTCAGTTCAATGCTACCCCACATCCCTACTGGCTTCCCAACTTCATGGACGCGTTCACCTGGAGTCTGCCCTTCGTTGGCGAGAAGAGTAAGCGATGCGCAGATACGCGCCCACGATGACACTGACGTCATCGCAGTTACCGACATGCTGTTGGCGATGCTCAACTGCTGCACGAAGGAGGAACTCGAGGAGAGCTCGGACGAGGAGACGTTGATCTCACCAACGCCGTCTGAGGAGCAGCAGGAACGCCGCAAGGTCATCAAGAACAAGATCCTTGCTGTTGGACGCATGTCCAGGGTGTTTGCTCTGTTGCGGTATGCGCCATCGGCATTCACCCCACGCGCCCTATACTGACAAAAGTTACAGAGAGGAATCCGAGAAGGTGTCCGAGCTCAAGAGCGTGTCTGGCTCTGCCAAGCTGCCGTACGGCACTCTTGCTCTGGGAGCGGAGGGTATCAAGGATGCAATCTCTGGATTCGATGATGCGTACGTTTCGTCACATTCTGAAAATGCTAGCCGCTTTACTTATGACGTCCTGCAGCCGGAAGTCGGACATCGAAAACGAACGCCTCCCTCCCGACTTGTACGACCTCGAAACCCCCGAGGGCATGGCCCTCATCTCGTCGCAGCCCGCGACCCCCTCCGAAGACGCGTCATCGCCCCCTTCCCCTAATGGCGTCGCCGCCGCTCTGGAGCAAGTCATCTCGGGCGCCACTTCAACGGGCCCTCCTGGTGCCGCTCCCGGATCTCCCCTGTCGCCTACATCGCCTACCTCCCCCATCTCGTCGTCGACTTCGCCGTTCAGGCGGGGCCACGGCCGTCAGGCCAGTCTCGGGACGACGATGACGAGCCCAAGTACCCGTCGCCGCAGTCTGGAGAGCACGATGTCGCTCATCCAGGAGGCGTGGGACGGCAAGACCCCGGAGAAGGACAACGAGCTCATGAAGCTCGCGGACCAGGTAGCGGGCAAGAGCACGGGCAAGAATTCGTCCGAGTCCGGGCGGACGAGCCCGAGCTAAGCTTGCGGACGTATGGGGGACATGGACAGCACTCGCTCGTCGTCACGGACAGAGTGGGAGGAGCGAGAGGGATTGTCACGGTAGTCTTTGCATTGCACTGTATATCCTGGAGGCTGGTGTATTTCATCGTTGTTTTTCTTCTCTCTTCCTGTACTTTCGCGCTTCATACACAGATTGGCAATCGCTTTGCGCGCTCGTGGTGCCGCTCTCAGCACCCCCTGATGTCCGACTCTCCCGGCTGTGACCTGTTGCGACGGTGGGGATCTGCAGTTGCGCATTTGCGCGGCCGAAATAACCGCATCGCCACATGCCCCCGACCGCGGACGGCTGTGCCAGTTGTGAGTACGCTGTCTTCCATTTCAACGACACCGGATTGTGCTCATGCGATGAATTGCAGCCGGAGGTCCGACGAGCTTTTTTGTCGGGTTCGGCTATGTACATGCACGTCTTAGCACCCGGTCTCTGAGGGGAAGAACACTTCATTGCGTGCTGAAGCATCAGATACAAGGTTGAGAGATGCTAACGATACATGAATAGGACAGCCCCCCGCAGGCTCAGTCACACCGGCTAGTACACCACACCGGTGGCTGAGCGCACGCTTCGAAGCCCGCCGTGGACAGCAGATAAAGGTTCATATACGATGTACGTGAAGATGACCCCACTCACCTCTTGAAATCCATCAAGCTCACCGACAGCCCCAGCACCATGATCATCAACAATAATCCGTACACCTCTGAGAAGCAGCCCGTCCGGACAGCGCCTGCACACTATGACGAGCCTCCCCCCTCGTATGGCGAACGCGCTCCTCAAGACGTATCGCAGCAATGGGGCCCCGGCGGTTCCTACCAAAGCACCCCGCGCCCCACCCCAGGCATGCCGTCTAACGTGGGCCAGCAGTACTATGCGCCGCCGCCAGGGCCGCCCCCAAACTTCCAACCGCCCGCCTCCTCGTCCAGCAGAATCGCAGACTACAACCCGGCTTACCCAGCCGGCTCCGGCTACGGACCCCCGAGCACACCTCACAACTACCCGCCTCAACCCACCCAGCCTACCCAACGGTTCCCCGCCCTCCTGACCCCACCCCCACCCTCCTTCCAGCGCGCGGCCTCGCGTAGCATGCCATACGGCTCCTTCGAGCCACTCACGGTCCCCGCGGCGGGCAAAGGACTCGAGGACGGGTTCGTTGCGACGCTGCCCTCGTCGCTCACGCAGCCGCACCCGTTCGGGACGCACGACGTGAAGGAGTCGGACTGGCTGCGGTTCCTCGACGACGTCAAGCGCGCGGGGGTCACTGCCGTGCGGGACCGGGCGCCCTCGCAGTCGACCCCACAGCTAGGGCGGGGCGGTCTGATCTCTGGTGAGTAGTGCGACTGCCATCGGTCTATGTGGGAGCCGTGCTGAATGATTGGGTGTGTGTAGGACTCTTGGCACAAGGCATACAGAGCATGCAGGGCACTAAGCTTGGGTCCCGCGACCTCGCGCCCGTCGTTGAGCTCTTGCAATACTGGAACCAGGTAAACCTCATTTGATCTTGGACATCCACAGTACACGCTCCTAAACCGCAGTCATCAGTACTTCTTCAACCCACGCTCTATGGAGGTAGACCTTACCGGGCCCGTCCACGAAGAGGAAGACACTCCGCAGGCTCCATCCCCCGGCTTCGGCGGCAGACGCGAACGACTGGCAGGCCGCCGAAGAGGGGGTCCCCTCAGCGGCGGTCTGATAGGGTTGGTGAGCCAAGCCGCCTCTAGTGCCGGAGGTGGAGAGGGTCAGCGCTGGCGCATTGTAGTTCGCTACAAGGGAATGAATGCATGGTGAAAAGCATAGCCGTAGTAGCAGTGCCCTCGATGCCCTGTGTACTTGCCTGCGCTACGTAGCAGCCGTAATCTATTGCTGGTTTCACGGCGCTTGTCGCGGGGCGCGTCGCGCGGATTTCGCGCCGCGCGCCCGTCTGGAGGATGTCGACGCGGATCGTCGATAGCTCGCTCAGTTCTCCATGTAATTCTAAATTTCTTTCAGATTATTAATCTCCTCGTCAATGCGGAGGGCACGGTACCAAAATCGGCGCGATATTCTAAGATTAAGCGAACTCCTCCTCGAGCCCCTGCCCCAGAGCAGAACGAAGATTACCCCCCAGGATCCCGTTCAATACAGCTGAAATGTTGTGATATGGACTCTATAACACTATATAGAGGGCACAGACTTTAAAACAGATCACGCGAAGGGGTAACACTGGTAGCGTCCCAGTCTGTTCTAGCCTGCCTCGCCTCCGCTCAGTTACGTCCTCTAGATGAGACTCTTTCTTACCATTTTGCTCAACGTTATGATCCAGAGCTTAATAGGCACGGTAATTAGTCTCGATAAATACTTTCCTGACGTTACGGGGATTTAAGAATACACACATTGAGGTCTGCTTGTGTGCGATGACGTGGCGCTCGCATTGCTCTGCTGCACCCACAAATACCGGCGCTGATGTCGTAGATGAGACTTCGACGTAGGCCAGGCATCTAGGAAGATATGTGGGGGATAAAACTGCCCTCGAATGAAGTATCAACGCTATGCCTGTTCACCCCATCGATGAGGTTCACACAAGATCAGGTACATCCCCACGATCACGGCCAAATCACCTCTATGCCCTCCATACACGTCAATACTCTCTGTAGAAATGCATTCCAGCAAGACTAAGGCACCGTGTCGCCCGCTGTGCTTGTTCTGCTTGAAGGCCGGTTCCCGAGGAGGCCTTCACTCAACCTTCGTTTTCTGCGCTAATTTTTGCACCGTGCCCTCCGCGTCAATAAGGAGACTCCGAATCCGAAAGAAATAGTGAATTTTATGGAGTATTGAGCGAGCTATCGACGATCCGCGTCGACATCCTCCAGACGGGCGCGCGGCGCGAAATCCGCGCGACGCGCCCCGCGACAAGCGCCGTGAAACCAGCAATAAATACTGCAAGAATCACTCGTACGGCTCCTTGAGCCTACCTCCCATCATGATGCTAGACAAGGCGACCATCCGCAACGCAATCATTTTCTGGTGCGAATCACTTGTCCCTGGAGATCCTCCCGGCAGAGTTTGGCACACCGCGAGCTTGCCAATATAATCTATGTTTCATTCGGACGGGAGCACTAGGGCGGGGGCTACTCATACAGCTGAAGGGACTACTATTCGACAGTTCCGGACCCAGAGGAGACTATGTACAACGGGGGCCGCCGCGCCGCAGCGTTGCGCCGTTCACATCGCAAGGACGTGAACGTGCGCACGCTGAACGGCGAGGCTAGCAATAATAGAGTACTACGACGGCACAGAGGGGAGAGGGGATGGAGATATGGAGATGCTATTCGACGGTGAGAGGGGTCCAAGGAGGGTAGGCGGAGGACGGAGAGAGAGCGGGACGATGGAGGGGTTGAGCGGGGTGGTGGTGGGCGGCAGTCGAGGCGGATGCGAATCGAGGTGAGAGTCCGGGGTGCTTTCGGAAGCCTTATGCTACGATTAAAGGAAAGCGAATATATAACTAGGACGAGGAGGGAGACGTCGATGGACAGAGGTAGAGAGAAAGCGGAGATGGACAAGAAGGAGGGTGGGATCGCTCGACGAGAGCGAGCGGCGGATAGAACGACAACGAGGATTGACTTCTTCGACTATGCTGGCTTCGGGCACTTCTCTTGGTTTTCTGCTGTAGCGACGACCTCCACGGATTGCAGCGACTTCGACCTGGACACGAGCGAGCTCTTCGCCTCCGTGACCCTGGTCTACATCGCAGCATAGCTGGGGAGGTGGTTGGCAAACGTCAACGTTTACTTCCTGCCCAGGTTCAGTGTCGCCATGCTCTCCGCGAGCAGGTCGGACACCGAAGCGTGGCAGCGGGGCTTCTCCTGCCTCTCTTGTACCGGGGTAGGTCGCGGGCTCGGAGCACGCGCAGCAGGCTGAGGCTCGACGTCGACGATCTGTACGACGGCGGTACCCTCCATAACACGGCGGACCTTCTCCGCATCCCACTCGCGCTTGGCGTGCCCATTGGCGCCGATGGTGCCAGAGGGGCGGGCGAAGGCATCCCAGAACGCCGAGCCGAGCTTGCTGAAGAGGGTCTGCGACGCGATGTTCGCGAGCATCGCGTGTTGCGCGGTGGGCGCATCGCGCGGTCCGAGAGGCGGGGAGTTCGGCGGGGACGGGTAGGGGTTGATGTGCGAGACAGAGGAGGTAGCGGCCTTTCCAGAAAGGAGGGCGTTGAGCGAAGGGCTCTTGGCAAAGTAGTGAGGGCGGAGGTTGCCAGCAAGACCGCTGGGGGACTGGGTGGGCTGTTGCTGGGCTTGCCCTTGCCTCTGAGGCACTTGCTGCTGAGCCATCTTGCCCCACAAGTGCATCCGATACCTGAGAGCCGGAGTCAATATCGATGTTTCGTATAAAAGTAACGATGTGAAAGATACATACGCATCCAGGGACTTGAGCGTGAAGGGGTTGATGTCCGAGAACGCATCGAAGGCCCCCATCGGCAACTGCTGCTGCTCCTTGGGCTTCTCCTCGTTCCTGCCGCTGAGCAGGTGCGCAAGGGAGGCAGCGGAACCGTTGAGCGTGGGGTTGATGTTCTCCTGGAGCGTCGGGCTCTTGCGCCCTGCGACAGGCTTCCCGCTTAGCACACTGCTGAGGTCTGGGACCAGAGTCGTGTGAACGGGCGTGAAGCTGCCGTAGCCACCGATAGATGAGGCTCCGCCCCAGAAAGCGCGAGAGCCCATCCGTGGTGATGTAGGGAGATCCTTCTGCATGTTCGGCGTGAGCAGAGGGCTGCGAGGGAGAGTGGGCGGCGGCGAGGAGGATGTCGACGCCGAGGCGGCAAGGACGGAGGCAGGCACTGCAGGCAGGGGAGCGGGGGGAGGGAGCACAGGGGTATCGGCGCGGCCGCGGCCATCGAGGAGCGCCTTCTTTAGCTGAGCAATCTCCTGTCTGAGCGCCACATTCTCGTGCTTTGTGCTGCCGAGCTCGTTACGGATCGCATCGATGAGCCTGTCGCGCTCTGCAATGTCGCCCTCGAGCGTGGTGATGTACTCTGCAGAATGTTTAGTATTTTTTCAATTGTGGCGCATGCACGGAAAACGTTCACTTACCCTTTCGGCGGACACGGAAGTTGCGCGCGCTAATCTTGTTGCGGAGCTGACGTTTCTCCTTGGAGGACATTTTCTTGTACTCCTCGGGCGTCGGCCGCCAGTCGTCGGCCTCCATCGACGTCGTCGAGATCATGCCCGACGGCTTCGTGTTCTCCTTCTTCTCAGCGCTCGATGACCGCTTCACGATGCCGCCCTCGCGGACGGTACCTTTGCGGTTCGACTTCCCCTTCCCGCCGACCTTCACTGGGGCAACCACCGAATCCTCGGGGATGCTCTGCAGATCCATCTGGTCGTTGAAATCGTCATCCTCGTCGCCCTCTTCCTCCTCATCATCGAACTCGCTCGCAGCCTTCGAGGGTGCGGGCGTGCCGACCAGCTGGGGGTCGATGGTAGTTGGAGACTCAACGATTTCAGAGGAGCTGCCGGAACCGGACGATTCGGGACTGCTGCTCTGGTTGATTGATGGGAGGGAGAGGAAGTCGTAACCAGGAGCGGTGGCGGGAGGGACGGCGAGGGAGTCGTACTTTGACAGTTCATCCCCCATGGCGAGCGAGAAAAAGGACTCGGGAGCGAAGGAGAACTCGTCCAAGGGACGAATCTCGGGGGGAGTGAGGGGGATAAAGGAATTAGAGGGGGAAGGACTGGGAGACGAGCCACTCGAGCCGGGGCCGTGGTAGGAGGGCCCTGCGAGTGCGTCCATATTGAGATAGTCCTCAAAATTGTCGCTGTACATGGCGAAGTTGTGCTGGATGGGATCGACGAGCATGGCGGGCGGATGGTGGTGGACGCTGCGGTGAAAGTAGAGAGAAGAGTTTGAGCGGCCTCCTCGCAGCAACCCGTACCACGCCTACTCCGCCAGGTATTATGTAATCCCAGTCCGAAGGATCCAGAACCCGCGATTAATCAACCCTCTCCCGTTTCCTCGGCGCTGAGTTTCACTCTTTCGCGCACGGAGCATGCTTCTTTCAGGCTCAGACGTGCGGGCTTTCGAGCTGAGCTAGCAAATAACATCTTTATTCCTGGTGCATCAAACCATAACCTTGTCTGTCTTCGGCGCGGCCTGCCTGACTCAACGTGCAGTACGCGTCCCCCGAGCCCTCGGCATACTTTTTACGCAGCCACCGACGTCTTGCGGGCGCAGCTGGACCACGTCTTGATGCTGCTCTCCTGGGACCTGAGAGCGCCACGAGAGTGCCACTGAGTGCCACCACATCGATCCACCCGCTATCATTCGACGAAAGGCCTTCTGGAGCGCGACCAAAACAGAGAGATACCGCGTCGCACACGGTGAAAAGGAACTAAAAACATATATATTCCATCGACCGTACAAGTACACTATATATTACAGCTAGACGAGGACATGCGAAAGGACCTGCGAAGACTTGTAAGCACGGTGTTACTCAGATAGAGGATCGAATAGAATCAGAAAAGCCGTTGTTTTCATATTCCTTCAAGCAGTGACCCCATCTCGCCCGGCCTACGCCCACCAAGACGATGAACGTAGACACGACACTCAGCTCGCAGAACGAGCGGAATGTGGGCGAAACGAGGTGTGCAAGAAGGCGTTCAACGAATGGATGAACTTGGTTTCGTCTTGTCAAATACGGAGAGGTTCTTCACTCACCTATGACGAACGTTGCCCGCCTTGAATCTTGCTTAGACGGGAAGGAGCACGCAGATCTGAAGAACGACGCGTTAGCATCGGTACAAAAGCGTCGAAACATGGCAAAGGTGTCAGAATGAGAGTTTTTGGTATCAGGATGTCCACAAGAGGTTTCCCTCCTTCGGAAGCAGAACTGATTATAAGAATCATCACAATAGAGAGCGATATGAAGGCTCTATCACAATTTGATAGAGATACTCACCATCAGGAACCTTGGACAAAGGCATTGGAAGGAGAGATGGGCAGCGGCCACGACGACGAGCAGCAAGATGAGCGACGCGAGGGCTTTTTATACGCGAGCAACTGTACAGCTGGTCAACTCCGCCAGCTCAGCCGCCCATGATTTGATCTCCGCTTTAACAGCGCCTACGTCCCCAGCGCGTTTTCTGCCCACGATTTGCATCATGTCTCCTCTCCTTTTCTTTCCCTCTCGTTTGCGCCGTCGCCAGCCGTTGCCTCACGCTGGGAATGCTTCAGCATTGGCTGGCATGATACGTCCAGGTGTGTTTCGGTTTCATTCGCTGTCCCTGCTATGAAGATAGTTTTATCCATAAACACACGAGTTGGCGAACACCCCCTGTGCCGTACTCTTTAACATGCATCACCAACGGAGCTCCTACCATCCTTTCGCGTTTCGCATATTGCGCAAAGGCTACAGATGCTGATATCCATTTTCTTCATAGATACAACGCGGACAGTGTAAGTGTCTGTACCCTTACAGCGTCCACCCTAGGACGAACAATCATACAATATTGGCGACGAGCATACGTGCTCGCATGCGCGCAATTTGCAACACCACCCACTGAGGGCCCCGCTCCTCGAGCGCGGATGTTGAAGGGCTGCGTTCACGCGTAGGCTGACAGCACCTCTCACAGGCATCATGCATCGTCGTCGATGGTCCGCATGGTATGTCGGCCTTGCAAACTGTGAGTATTCCGCCCAATGTTGCTTTCGCCCCCTCCCCCCGTCTTTGATGATTCCATAAATTTTGACAAGCATATGTCCGAACCTCCATGTAGGATATAATATCTTGTCTGAGACTCTACCTTGCTTCTCGACGTCGTACGTCGAATAGTTCGCTAATGCCCGTTCTGCAGATCCCAGTGAGTGTCCAATATCATCGTACATAGTATCTCTACATTGTAGTATCGCTACTCGTCCGTGTCTAATCAATATTGCCTGTTGCCGTAAAACTCTATTTTGTGTGAACCGTTCAACCTCCTCTACCTCGCATGGACACAATCTCGAGCGGCGGTCATGCGCGTCGATTTTGAGCTGCACCCCGAGAGTCGCTCGTAGCACTGCCGCCACCAGCATAGCAACATCTGTATAGCAGCCTGCAGCACTTGTGATAGACTCCGGTGTGTGGGCGGCCGGCGCGTATGTAGATGCTCATAACCGGACTGCACCTCTCCACAACGCCCCCATCTCTGCCCGCCCCTGACCTCCTCCACCCCCACCATCCCTCCCAGCGCATCACCCTCTACCCCCCACCTAACCCCCGTTCTCCGTTCATGAGTGCCCAACGACTATTGTAGACGAACATTTTTCCTTCTATCTCCTCAAGACATGACCAGCGCCCGTCTCCATTCCCCCGCGGGGAAACGGGCGTACGAACCCCTCGTATCCAGCCTCCTCAACCCACACGACGCCCCGAAGCACGCGCGCGACACCTCGGACACCGCACGCTCGTCGCGCACTGAGTCCTACGACGACTCCCGCGCGTCTACCCCGGACTATCAGCCGCTCGAGGTGAACTTCAGGCGAGCCGATATTGACCGCAACTGGAACGAGAAACCCGAAAATGCTGCCGCTGCCGCCCGGCTCGTCATCACGGGGGAGGACGAGCACGACGAGCACGTCCATCTTGTGGGTGCCGCGGGGAGGCAGTCGGAGGAGGTGTACGAGCGAACGCTCAACTGGTGGAGGGCGGGCATCCGGCGCATTATAGTGCGGCGGGTGGAGCAGGAGACGAAATGGCTTGCTGTCATGCAGGTAGGTGTCGCTTCATATGCGTGCATCCAGGAGGTTATCACTGTACGCTGACTTATGTGCCCTTGCGTAGGAACGCGTACGGACACCTCTCCTGGATTCGTACTTCGTGTATACGTCCTCCCTGGGGACGCACACGTTCTTCATGGTTATGCTGCCCATGTTCCACTTCTTCGGCGCAGCCGAGTTCGGTAGAGGGTACGTTCCGAATTGTTACCCGCCGTAATTCCCCCTCATTTATTCCTTGCAGCCTTCTCCTGATGCTCGCTGTCGGCGTGTACATTACCTCGTTCATGAAGGACCTGTTCTGCTGCCCGCGTCCGTTTGCGCCGCCGGTTACCAGACTCAGTGCGTTATTCCCCGCATTTCTGACTGCACTATGCTGAATTGCTACTGCAGCTCTCGGCAACCATCACTTGGAGTACGGATTCCCCTCCACGCACTCCACGAACAGTGTCTCCATCGCGCTATTCTTCTTCTCGCTCGTACAGCGGCTCCACACCCCTCCCGCCGTCAAGTCTGTCGTTGAATCTGCCGTGTCCTCAATTAACGGCACTTCCGACGTTCTGCCCGCGGTCGAAACCCTTGTTCGGTCCGAGGCCATAATCTCGACTACGACATACTGGGCTCTCATCGGTGTCTTGGTATTCTACGTATTCTCCATTGTGTACGGTCGCCTCTACACGGCCATGCACTCCTTCACCGACTGCTTCGGGGGCATGTTCGTCGGCGCCGCCATCTGGGCACTGCACATTCTCATTGGACCCCATGTCGACGCGTGGGTGCGCAATAACGGCTGGATAGGTGAGCGCGCTCACCCGGCCCCATCACGATCGCAGTACTGACAGCCCGCGGCCGCGCACAGTCCCTGCGGTCATAGTGCCGCTGTGTCTGTTCCTGGTGCACAAGCACCCGCAGCCGGTGGACGACTGCCCGTGCTTCGAGGACGCGATCGCTTTCATCTCGGTCGTGATGGGCGAGTTCCTGGCCCGGTGGTTCATGCAGCACAACGGCTACGACCAAAGCTTCTTCGTGCGCGCGATGCCGGGCAGCTCCTGGGCAACTTGGGCGGACGTCGGACTCTGGTGGACGTTCGCAGCCATCAAGATGGTCATCGGTACGTCCCTCCTCGTGTTTCACCGATCCACACGGAGAGACTAACGCAGTGCTGTGCTTGTGTAGGCGTGTTGGCGATCGTCATCTGGCGCATGCTCGCGAAGTCGATCTGCCACTTCATCCTCCCGCCCACCTTCCGGTTCCTCTCACACGGCCTGAAGCTGCCCAACCGCCGCTTCTACACGCCCGCGACGGACTACACGTCCATGCCCGTGGACAAGGGCCTGCGCCCGTTCCCGTCCGTGATCGACCTGCCCGGGATGGTCGAGTACGAAGTCGACGGCGTGGGCGCGGACGCCGCCGCGGCCAGCACGGCACGCGGGAACGGGCTGCGCGCATACAGCGCCGCGATCAAGCAGCGCGGCGGTGGCGGGCGGAACAAGCAAGAAGCAGCAGTGTCGGAGTCCGAGAAGCACGCGCGCGAGACGGACGAGCGGGACGCGCAGGAGTGGGGCGCGGCGACGCGCGCGGAGGAAGAGCAGGACGTGAAACACTACGACGCTGATGGTGCGTGCGGTGCTGCCTTGTTCTTTCTGTGGCGCGGCGATACTGATGGTGTGCTCTTGGATAGTGTTGACGAAGGTGTTCGTGTACTGTGGGATTGGGATGCTCGCTGCGGGCGGCATCCCGATCATGTTCGAGGTGCTCGGCTGGGGGTTAATATGAGCTGAGCGCGGGGAGAAAAGGAGGCCGCCGCATGTCGTCAGGGTCTGCGTCCGGTCTCGGACCGGCCTACAGCTCTTTGGGCGTCCTCGACCTGGCCGGGTGCAGACACTCGATCGGAGGAGATATTTATATATGGGGGAGAGATGACCAGACAGACTACTCTACACGTACTCGCCTAATTTCACAGATACCCACTGAGCGGTTGTTGTATCGTGAGGGGGCCTACGCTTGGTTTATACGAGGCTCCCAGCAGACTATCTGATACAACACGACTAGATATATATATTGAATACAGTGTTAGTGAGAGATGTATGGTTATGCGAGGAAGAATGAGTGTGCGGACGGTCCATTGAGCGTACAAGGGACACTGAGACGAATGCGAAAGGTAAGGAGGGTATGTGTGGGGGTACGGGATCACCGTCGGACATAAAACAATCCGGACTCGGAGCGCGTACGAGACAGACGAGGTCCGCTCGGAGGAGACACCCCTACCATCCTCCGCCGTGCGGTCGATAAGAAATGACAAGACGCCAGTTCTTGTCGATGAGCTGGGGCCGCCCCCGCCGAGAATGTCGATCCCGGGGACCCTTCTCGAGCGCTATGTGCATAAAGCGCGGGTGGAAGAACAGCTGATAAGTGGAAGATCAGCGGTGAGCGAGCGGGCACACAGGCAGTAGCTCCGACGCGGATGGTGCCACTTACGTGGTTCCAGTGGTCAATCAGCTGCGACACTGGCCCCTTCTTCTTGCGCCGCATGTGGTTCTCCACGCCGAACGTCGCGAACAGCCCTGCGCACGGGCGGACGTGCCCCGATCAGCCCACGTCCGTTAATCTGTGGTGGCGCGACGGGACGCACCTAGTATGAGTCCGAAGCCGAACGCCATGGGCAGCACCCCGGAGACGATGCGGTTCGTGGGCGAGAGCGAGCCTGCGATGCGGATGTCGTGTAGGAACTGCCGCCAGTCGTGCTCGGTCACGTCGTGCGTGATGAACGGATGTGGGGCCGTCGGGCAGAACGGCGCGAGGTAGGGGAAGCCTTGGTCGAGCATTGTGCCATTCCCGATGAGCTCGATGTCCGGGAAGTCCTCGTAAGACAATGTTGGTGGTGGCGGGCGGGTGAACGAGGGTGGTGGGGGCTCGAGGAGCTTTGCGGGGCTCTTGCCTGGGGCGAGGTTTTTCATCTGGGCCTTCCAGCCCTTGGGGTTGTCCTCCGGGAACGAGAGGCTCGGGAGGTCATAGGGAGAGGGCGCGAAGGAGGATGCGTGTTGCGGTGGGACAGTGTGTTTACCATTGAGGCCAGACGGTCCTGCATTGGGAGAATACGGTGGCGGCGGAGAGAGGGAGGCCGGCGAAACAGGCTTTTCATGGACCTCTGGGTGTTGTCTGCGATGGTGGTGCTTGCTGTGCATGGCGGCGGGTCGAGTGTGCTGTGGCGCACAGAGGGTGCTCGATGATATACAGCGCAGAGTCGGATCGAACCGTCCCGAGCATGATGCACACCAGGTTCCGGCCTTGATGATATGCACCCCGCGCCCGGAAGTGAGCGCTGCGGAACGCACATAGAGGCGTCGGCGAGCCGCTGAGAAGCGTCGAGGATGGCACGATCACGATGGGCGTCCGCTCTGCGCAGCCCTCGAGCTTCTCGCCATCGCGACCGACAGCTTGGAGGATGTCAAGCTTCCAAGGCTTGGCTGTATTTGCTACGTCCCGCAGCAGCGTGCGCGTGGCAGTAAATGCCTTGGAACTGTGCAGCAGCCACGCGTCTACGCTGCGCAGCTAGAGCAGAATGCCAATAATTCGCACGAGGGCGGCTGGGATGCGGTTACCTATGACCTGCCCTGTTAGGATACAGCATCGCGCAGCAATTTGAGCAGACGCAGTAGGGTACGCACCTTATGAGCGATGTCGCGCTGTGCGCATTGGTGGCGTCGGGCGACGGCCCAACTGATGTCTTGTGCATCTGCCCAGAAGATTGCGCGGTGCTAACAAAATCAATCATCTCGAAGAATATCATCCTGGAATAGCATCAGGCTGAGTTTGATACGAGGTGGATTTATACAGTAGCATTCCTATGGGTAGACCGCTGCGAATTTCTTACGCTCATGGAGTTTGGAGCACCGACACGCCTTATACCGTCAAACACGGCAGCTTACCTCCGGCGCTGGTGCGGGGCCACTTGTGGGAACCTCACCACAACTCAGTGCAAGTGTGGTCTCCCGAACGTTTGAAAACTGTTCTACACCGCAAAATCTGTCCAGAAGATCAGTGTGGGTGGTACATGATAGATGTCGTACCGTCGAGTTGGCGTCGACGTCGTGTTCGAAGCACAAGGTGGTTTGGCGCCCACAGACTATGCCCGATCGAGAGTAGTTGTGGGCGCTTGTTGATCTCGAACAACTTGGACAGAACGTCCACAGCTGTACTTCGCCGCAGGAGCACTACATACTGGTCTCGTCTTCGCGCTCCGTGTCTGCTCCCCTTAGGATTTGGAAATATAACCCCAGGCCGTCCCGAAGTTGTGATCAAATAGAAATACTCCCGACGTCCCCGATAGCCTCCGCAGCCTGACTCAACGACCCAACTACTTACCATCATGGTACCTAACAGCAGCCTGCCAGTGAGTGGTATCGTCCTTGCGTTGGACGAGCATGATTGTGACATTCCTAGGCTACTCATGCCGCCGTTAATGCGTCTATGGTGCCCGTATCTGCGGACATCAGTACGCCGGGCGCTTTACAAGTATCTGAAGATGGTAAGCCGCCGGGCCTCTACTACGTTCACGAGGCTAACTCGTGGCTCCCCCGCCCCTCTTTCAACAGGAAAGCATTTGATCATGCCAGAACAAGGTCGGGCAGGGATGAACATGCCTGCACCCATTAGCCTGGACTACTGGCCAGCATACTCCGATCGCGATGAGAACCTGGAGGTCTTCTTTGCAATCTACAAGCCGCCCCTCCCGTCATCGAGCGTGCGCGACCTGCGCTGGTCAATCTGCTGGAAGATCCAGAACCACCTGAGCTGGCGCCACATCCAAGCCGTGCAGGAACAGTCGCTGCTCGGGCTCCCGCCGCAGCCGCGCTACGTCTACTGGGGTGCACTGACCAAGTCCGCGGGTCCGGCAGACGCGAGCGCGCTCAGACACTTGATGGGCGTGTACTCGCTCGCGGACAGGCGGAGGCTCGAGCAACTTGCGCTGGAGATACCCGTGATGGCGCCCGGCGGGACCTGGAATTGCCAGGACTGGCTGCAAGAGCTCCTGAATCGTATGGTGGCGGCTGGGCTGCTTTCGCGGGAAGGATGGGAGGCGGTCTTCGCTTTTATGCGGGCAGCATACTGACGAAAGGTGAGTGGACGCGGCTATACGGTGGCACCTGTTAGACGAATCGATGACATACTTGCAGTTGAAGATAAACATCGTCAAGAATACCGCCTGGAGCACCCGCTATACTGATTGGAAGAATGGGATGTTGTATCGAATAATTAGCACGCTTATCAGTCATGGGATCATGAGTTCCGCTGACACTGAGGACAGAGGCAACAGAGGCCGCACATGAGCTGGGACCTGGCCGAAAAGGCATGGCCACTACCAATGCGATGCTCAGGACGGACCGACTCGCCTGAAACGGCGGCATATATAGGACAATAGGAAAATCCATGCCGCAAGTGGGAGGCCCGCGTGCTCGGCTGCAGAGATCGCCGTGTATCGCAGTGAGTGCGATGTCCATTAGTCGTCTTGCTGAAGTATTGAGTGCAAGCTGCAAGCTTGTAACTTGAGATCAGGGCATGGCTTGAAATATGTGGCAGCACAATGGGGACTTGGGTCTAGGAGCGTGTACGGTGCCTGTCGGAAGGGAAGATGATGGCCAGCGAGACGAACGGGCAGTGCGGAACACATGGTGCAAGGATGCCTCCGCGATGCTGGGCCAGCGCATGGGTGCCGAGTGAACTTAACGGAAGAGAGGGAGGGACAAGGACACGTCGATGAACGCATGGGCCTGCATAAACGCCGCATTTCCCCGGATCCGGGTAAAAACCGGTCGCTTGTGGTGGCCGTTGTGCTCTATTTGGCAGGTAGGCTTCCATAAGAAGCAGGAAAGGGACATAAACTGTAGACAAATAGCAGTAAACAGAGCGTTAATTGCCGGTTACCTCACGAACAAGCAGGCACGGGCGCCTGTGAGCAGGCTATTGTTCCCAGAACGACCGTCCTTTTTGTTTGCACGGTCGAGGCGTACGCGCGCGGAAACAATGGAGGACTGCCAACAAAAGCCGGGAATGGCGGCGGACGATACTAAAGCTCCTGCTGGGCAGAGTCCTTCGCCACTCCTCACCGTCGACAACGCGGCTTTCATCGCTTCCAGCATCCCTCGCCTTTCACGTCTTAGATTGTTACGACCTCCACGATGGCCTCATGTGAGTATTCCGAGGATGCCTGTCAGAGCTTGCGCTAATCCACATACCAGTATTCGCCCACAACCGCATCCTGCCAAACCTGAAGCGACGCGCCCGCTCCTCCAAGTCTGATGCTTCCCCGACCAAGGCGAAGCCCCTCCACATCCTACCCAACCTTGCGGAAGAGGACGAGCTCCCTCGTCACTCATGCTCCTCGACATCATCGGTCCCGTCCGCATCACATCCCAGCCGGTTCGCTTCGGGATGCGCTACCGTTGGCGGCCGCCCATCAGCCGACCAGGTCATCCACATAAAGCGCGACTCGCGCAGGGTGGTCTTGACCGGCGCAGAAGGCTTGTCCTTTGACGACTTCTTCCCCCCTTCAAGCGCTCCGCGGGTCCGGACTCCTTCTCCCCCTCCTATGACACGTTCCCCCTCGCCCCCTCCGCGTTCCGCGGCGTCCTCTCCAGGGTCTGATTCCCCTCTGGACGACATCAACCTTCGGTTTTCTGGTCTCGGTATTTCTTTGGATTTCCCTTCTCCCCCTTCCGCCTCGATCCGCTCCTCAGCGCGCTCGTTCTCAAGGAGACGCGAACAGTCGCCTACGCCCTCCAACGCGAGCAGCGAATCTTCGAGTTCGTATTCCAGCCCCAAAACGCCTTGCACGACTCCTCCGACTTCCGATGACGAATCCCCATGCAAGTCCAACCTTGCTCGCGCGCCGACCTTCAAGTCGCAGCGCGCCTCTATTCTCTTCATGAAGTCTATGCCCGACCTGTCCGAGCCTGTGCGCAAGAGCTCATTCTCTTCGATAGTCGACGACGACAGCATCATGGAGGAGCTAGAGTGGATCGCACGCGACATCAGCGAAGTCGTTACGCTCTCCACTCCGCTTCCGCCTACGTTCCCGGCGACGCCTACAGAAGCTTCGATGAACGCCCACGCCCGTCCTGATTCTGTGATGCCCCTTTCGCGGAGGGAGTCCCACCTGGGCAGGGCTGTGCCTCCTGTGCCTCGCATTTCTATCCAGGACAGTTCAGAAAGGCAGCGTCCCAGTGCCCAGTTGGACCCTACCTTTCCCCTTCGCAGACGTTCGTACATGGTCCCGACTCGCCCCCCTCCGCCGCCGCCTGTGCCCAAGTCTCCTATCAGCTCTATGGAACAGGCCACGGAAGACTTGCTCGCTGAATTGGCGAATGCCGCACTCGGCGCCGGGTTCCTCGGCACTGAACTTACCGTCCCTCAGGACGGCTTCCTCTCTACCGAGTCCCTCCCGTCTACCCCCAGCAGCCAGTTCATCGTCACGTCCCCTTCGGGTCTTCGCCCTCTCCCCCGCTTCAGCGTCCCCGACGACATCAACGACTTCGGAGATGAGAGCCCCGTCGAGCTCGTGGTGCCGGACCTGACGTTGCACATGTGGCCCACGACCCCGCAGACGCCGCAGAGCATCAGCGTCTACTCGCAGATGTCCGAGTACTCTCCCCCGACCTCCCCGCTGTCCTCATTCGACTTCGAGGTGGACGTGAGCCACATCCTCAGCCACCGCGAGGAGGCCGCTGCTGCGCTCGAATGCGCCTCGACCATTTCCCGCTCTCCGTCCACGGTCTCCCTCGTCCCGTCCGAGCGCCCCCTGCGCTCGCGCTGGTCCTCGTCGACTCTCAGCTCCCTCGTCGAGGGCTCCTCGCACTCGACCTCCTGGCTGCCGCGCTTCAACCTGTCGCCCTCGAAGAAGAACAAGAGCAAGCCCGCTCCGGCCCCGGCCCCGGCACACACCGCGGGCCCGCTGCAGCGCAAGAACGCGGTCAAGGCCGGCCACGGCGCGAAGCGCTCCGTCGACTCGGACCGCGGGCTCACGCGGCGCGACAGCCGCGCCTCGCGCATGAGCGAGAGCAGCGCGAGCGACAGCGGGGAGAGCACGACGAGCTCGGGGCTCAAGCGCAAGCCGATCCCCATGGCGCTGCTCGCCACCTCCGCGTAATCGCCGCCGCCCTTTGTCCTGGATCTGGATCCGAACCCTCTAACGACCACTCATGATGACCCTTGATTCTTTTCGACCTGCTCTCGCTGCTGTATCCATAGCCCACCGTACCGCTCCTTGCATCGTCCATTCGTGCCACCCCTACACTCAACAAACCAAGTACTGGCATATACTTATTGTAGCATTCGCATTCCCCCTCCGAGCGAGCCCCATCTCGCCTCCCCACATTTGTAGCCTTCCCCCCTCCCGGTCTCCCGCCTTCGTTCGCTATCTATTGGACTGCGTCTCTCTTCCTCTCTTGCATATCACTCGTAATCCGTGCGCGTTCGTTCGTGCCGCACTGTACATACTTCTGGGCGCGGCTCCCCCTAGAATGCCCAGACCCCCACCCTCGTTCTTTTTCGTGCTGCGGCGTACATATATAGGCTTCCTGTACATAGTCGCTCTTTCGGCTGGTTCGAGTGTATCCACTATACTCACGCGTCACGAATTCTATCTGGCTTTTGATGTCTTAGCCAGCCCGAGGGCGTGTGCATATCTCGGAAGACTCCATTGGTATTCATCACAGAGGTGAGTATATATTCCATCATGTCGTACCTCGCCCGTACTAACTTGTTGCGATTCGCTAAGCTGAGCACGGCCGTATTGGCATCGTCGTTTGCCCTGTAACAGCGAGAAGCACTAGAGTATCAACTTTTGACTCAAGCGGCGGGCTTCGTCGCGGTTATGGTTCCTCCATGACGGTACACTTTGATTGCGATGTGTTGACACTGATATACATCCAGATATCCCTATGTTACGATGAAGGTTCGTAAAGCTGACACTAATGCATCTCATTCTACTTGCTGCGGAGGTCCGCGAAACGCGCGCTGAACGCCTTCGTGACATAATCCTATCGAGGAGCGTGGTGAGGTTACAGATGAAATCCACTATTACGGCACCCACCTCATCGAAGGTAGACGAGAAGCTCTCGCGCGCGAAGAGGTCCTCCGCGTACTTGCCAAGACGCGCAAACTTGCCCGAAGTAAGCGCCGCCCAGACCTTCTTGCCGTCGCCCTCCGGGTACTTCCCAATTTCGTTCACGAGCGACACGCGCGCCCGCGCCAGGAACGGCGCGATCGCGATGTCCGCGGCCGAGAACTTGCCCACCGCGAAGCCCTCCGCGGGCAGGAGCGACTGCACGTACTCGGCTGCGGTGTAGAGGTCGTCGACGGACGCCCCGCGGAGGAAGTACGCGTACCACGCGGGGATGAGCTTGCTCGAGACGCCCTCGATGAAGAAGCGCGTCTGGGCGCGCGTGACGGGGTCGGAGGAGAGGATGCCGGAGTTGGGGAAGAGGTCGGCGACGAACTCGACGAGCACGAGCGACTCGGCGAGCTTGACGGACTCGGGCGAGGGCTGGTCTGGGGGGACCTCGGGGCCGCCGTAGGCGATTGCGGGGACCTGGAAAGGAGGTCATTACGATGGCCCATATGTTGGTGTGGCTGGCGCAAAGCTTACCTTGCTGGCGGGGTTCACCTTAGGGGCGTACCATTCCGGCTTGTTCGAGAGGTCGATCTGGAAAGGGGTGAACTCCGCCTTCGCCTCTGCGAGAGCGATTTCTGCCTGTTGTGGTATATGATATCAAGACGTGTTTAGGTGTGTGTTTGTTGATTGGACATACCCTCTGTGCGAAGGGGCAGATCTGCAGGGGATCAATGTGAGCTACTCGAATTCTCTAAGGATCGCATTGCATCAACGTATGCACAGACCTTGGCGGTGTAAAGTGTAATCCTCTCAGGCATGTTGGTTAAGTTTGGCGGAGTGATCGATGTCCAAGTCGGTGTGAGCAGGAGCGTGTGCACTAGATCTCTTATATAGACCACGAGTGAGTGGGCTCGCGATCACCCGACATCGGTGGCAGGTACGATCGAGCTGTGGGAGGGGATGGTGTCATCGTCTGTTAGGGATCGTGCTGACTGATATCCATCGGTACATATCCGTATTTCCCGGATTGCCGGAGACAGTTAGTGCGCAAGGGTGGAGGTATTAGGGAACGTCAGCACCCCGCGCAGCTGCGGAAGCTTAGTAGTTACTCAGCGTAGATAGGCCTTATGATAAGTACTAGCACTTGTTCATTTACCAGCTTGCAGACCATCTCCAGATAGCTTTACCATATCAAGCGCAAAGACGTCGCTGGCGGCGCCGCACGTCAAGACCGCGGGCCCATGCATGTATACAATAATGTAGGGCCCGGGTTTCATGAGGCCGACTGTTTACCGTCGTGTGCTACTAGATGGTAAGGAATTGTCGGGGAAAAGACGTTGTAGAAAGCACTGAAAACCTAGTCAAGATCAAGCTGATAATTCTGTCATGACACCATATCGCGCCATATCGTGAACGAAGGATGCGCCCAGGAGGTTGTTAGCGTCTCGCTGTGAGAGCGCCACTTGGTCAGCATGTATATAGCAGCGGAGATGATGGTTTGAAGATAAGTCAAGCTGTGTCTGGGCATTGATAAGAAGACAGTTAAGCATGAATCTAGGAGGTCTTGAAAACGCGTCGGAGGTGCCACAGGAGATGATGAGAACATTGAGAAAGGCGTTTTGGCGCCTAGGCCTGGCGTTCAGTACAAGCGCCACGTGGCGAGGAGTGTGTAAATTCCATATGCGGCCTGTGGGCGCCAAAGGCCTCTGCTCCAGACGGTGAAGCTGCGGTGAACTGGTGAACCACTTGGACGACGACGACCACTCCGCTGCATTTCATTTGTGTATGAAGTGGGCAGAGACAAACGATGCAAGCCCTACGCCAGGAGATTCTCCCGCCAAGCGGAGTTGAGTTCGCGACATGTCTCAACTTCACCCCGTCTACGCTCTCCGACGCCGGACCCTCAACTTCTCAGAGTGGCCGTACTCTCTTCAACGTGGTCGTTGCGCGCGCAAGCCACCTTCGCATCTTCGAGGTCCGAGAAGAACCCGCCCCTATATCTGCCCACCGGGAAGATGAGAAGGACAGGCGCGCTAGCGTGCGCAAGGGGACGGAGGCGGTGGAGGGCGAGGTCGAGATGGACGCGTCCGGGGAGGGCTTCGTGAACATGGGCTCGGTCAAGGTGAATGCGGGTACCCACCCCTTGTCGCAGTATCTCAGTCCGTCAATTGATTGTTTTGCGCTGTCTCCGCCGTGTGTGCGATTCCCATTGAGACCTCTTGCTGACCTTCCTGCGTGTTAGCCTACTGGTCAGAACGGCGTTGCCCACCCCGCCACTGTCAACAAGTTCTACCTCGTCCGTGAACACCGGCTGCATGGCACCGTAACAGGTCTAGAGGCCGTCCGCACGGTGCACTCACTAGAAGACAAGCTGGACAGGCTGCTCGTATCCTTCAAGGACGCAAAGGTGCGCATACACCTCCAGCGGCTTCCGGTACTTTCTCATTAGCAGCACAGATCGCATTGCTCGAATGGTCCGACGCTATACATGATGTTATGACCGTCTCTATTCACACCTATGAGCGGGCTCCTCAGCTAGTAGGTCGGCTTTTCGAACACTGTGATCTCCAATTGACATTGCGTAGATGGCTCTCGACTCGCCACTCTTCCGCGGAGAACTTCGTGTGGACCCACTGTCTCGCTGCGCTGCGCTTTCACTGCCAAAAGACTCCCTGGCCATCCTCCCCTTCTACCAGAGTCAAGCCGAGCTAGACTTGATGGAACAGGAGTCAAGCCAGGCACGCGACGTACCCTACTCCCCGAGTTTCGTTCTCGACCTCGCAAACGACGTCGATCAACGAATACGCAACGTGATCGACTTCGCATTCCTCCCCGGCTTCAACAACCCCACGGTCGCAGTTTTGTGCCAGTATCAGCAGACGTGGACAGGGTAAGTCTTTCCATCACATGTAGTATATGCTGTCTGACGCGTTCCCCAAGACGTCTGAAAGAGTATAAAGACACTGTGGGGCTCTTCATATTCACTCTCGACCTGGTGACAAACAACTACCCCCTGATCACTGCCGTCGACGGTCTGCCATACGACTGCCTCTCGCTGACGCCCTGTTCAACCGCCATCGGTGGGGTGTTCATACTTGCCAGCAATGCCATCATCTTCGTTGACCAGGCCTCCCGCCGCGTCATCCTCCCGGTGAATGGGTGGCCGCCTCGGACGAGCGACCTAACGATGCCGTCGCTCACGCCTCAGGAGCAGCTTCGGAACCTGCAGCTCGAGGGCGCCCGCTTCACATTTGTGGACGACAAGACGCTCTTCGTCATCCTGAAGGACGGCACCGTACATCCCGTCGAGCTCGTCCTGGACGGGAAGACGGTGTCGCGTCTGTCGATGGCTGATGCACTTGCGCGCACGACTATCCCAGCTGTCGTCGCGAGGGTCAGGGATGACTACCTCTTCGTCGGAAGCATGGTTGGGCCCTCAGTGCTCCTGCGTACTGCGCATGTAGAAGAGGTGATCAAAGAGGAAGACGTGGATATGGATGCCGGTCCTGCGACTGTTGTAGCTCCTGCAGACACAATGGATCTTGATGATGACGATGGTGAATGCATCCAGCTTCAGTCTTCTAAACAACTCTCTGAATCTTGTTCTCAGATCTCTATGGCCCCTCTGGCAATGGGGAACAGCCTTCGGCGAACGGGGCTACGAACGGAACCGTCGATTCAGTGAAGAAACGAACAGTTGTACGCCTTTCCTTGTGCGACGCGCTGCCTGCGCATGGGGCTATTTCGGACATGGCATTTGGACTGGCTCGCAATGGGGTACGTTTGTGGAGCAGTCATTTTTGACAAGTTACTGAGATGCGGTGCAGGATCGAGTGGTTCCCGAGCTTATAGCGGCAACGGGTTCAGGGGAGCTGGGAGGCTTCCACCTATTCCAGGTAAGAGTCCACCCTTGGGCATGCTCCCCGTCGTGATCTGACCATTTATGTACACAGAGAGACATGCCCACCCGATCAAAGCGCAAGCTGCATGCGATCGGAGGTGCTCGAGGGATGTGGTCTCTGGCAGTCCGCCAAGCAATGAAGGTCAGCGGCGGGACGCTCGAGCGTCCAAGTAGTCAAAACGACTCCGTGATCATCAGCACGGACGCGAATCCTTCTCCCGGTTTGTCTCGGGTGCGCGCAAGGTTGTAGAAGTGCTTGCGGTGGAGGCTGATTTATTTTCTAGATTGCTACGCGGTCTGCACATTCCGACATCGCGATCACCACTCGAATACCGGGGACGACTCTAGGGGCTGCACCGTTCTTCCAGGGCACTGCTATACTCCACATCCTCTTCAACGTCACGAATGCCATCAGGGTACTCGAACCTGGTACGCACTTTGTCCGCGACGCGAAGTGTAACGACTCACTAGTGGCGCGTAGACGGGACTGAGCGGCAAATCATCAAGGACCTGGAAGGCACCGCCCCGCGGCCAAAGATCAAGTCTTGTAGCATATGTGACCCGTTCGTGCTTATCATTCGCGAAGACGACACCATTGGACTGTTCATCGGGGAACTCGAGCGGGGAAAGATCAGGCGAAAGGATATGTCTCCAATGGGTGACAAGGTTGGATTTACGCCACCTTCAGTAGTGTCTCCGTGGCTGACGGGATCGCCAAGACCTCTCGCTATGTCGCAGGCGGTTTCTTCACAGACACGAGTGGTCTCTTGCAGACGTTCGTGAACGAGCAGGCGCCAGCAGAAAACGTGACGTCGACGCTGCAGGGAGCGATGAACGCAGGAAACAAGAGTCAATGGCTGATCCTCGTCCGTCCACAAGGCGTAGTCGAGGTACATATCTTCTCTACACAATTTACCATGACACTGACTATGGTGGGCTCAGCTTTGGACGCTCCCGAAGCTCACGCTCGCTTTCTCCACGACGCTGCTGGCGACGCTGGACCCTATACTAACAGACTCGTACGACGGTCCTGCGCTCTCCCTGCCACAGGATCCTCCAAGGAAGCCGCAGGAGCTCGACATCGACCAGATCGTCATTGCGCCTCTGGGAGAATCACGACCACGCCCGCATCTCATTGTATGTTGCTATATATGTGCGGGGCACGCTCGACACTCACCCATGATCTGCTCTAGGTCCTGCTGCGCTCAGGGCAGCTCGCAGTCTATGAGGCAGTCGCCATCCCACCACCCCCTGAACCGCTGCCCTCTACCCGATCATCGACGCTCCTGGTGAAGTTCGTGAAGGTGGCGTCGAAGGCATTTGATATCCAGCACCCCGAGGAGGAGCAGAAGTCAGTCCTAGCCGAGCAGAAGCGCATCTCACGCCTGTTGGTGCCCTTCGTAACGTCGCCTGCGCCAGGCCAGACGTTTTCGGGGGTCTTCTTCACAGGCGATCGGCCCTCCTGGATTCTCTCCACTGACAAAGGCGGCGTGAAAGTCTTCCCTTCGGGACACAGCGTCGTGCAGGCGTTCACCACCTCCTCGCTTTGGGAGTCCCGCGGCGACTTCCTGCTCTATTCGGAGGAGGTAAGGCTATTTGCAAGCGGCGCGTCGAGCGGAACTTACTGAATGACGTTGCAGGGCCCCAGCCTCGTAGAATGGATGCCTGACGTCCAGCTAGACGGCCATCTCCCCGCGCGCTCCGTCCCACGCTCGCGGCCGTACTCCAACGTCGTGTTTGATGCCTCGACCTCATTAATTGTCGCCGCGTCCTCCTTCCAAAACCGATTCGCGTCATATGACGAGGACGGGAACGTCGTCTGGGAGCCAGATAGTGAGTGTATAAAGACCCGTTATCTCGCCTGCAGGTCTCCTAACGATCGCGATGCCGCCTCAGGTCCAAACATCTCGTCCCCGCTGTGCGAGTGCTCTACCCTGGAGCTTATCTCTCCGGACGGCTGGATCACCATGGATGGGTGCGTGGTTCTCAGACTGCGCGCGCCGTGCGCAGAGGGTGCTGATGATGATTGTGTCGCTTAGGTACGAGTTTGCTCCGAACGAGTTCGTGAACTGCATAGTCTCGATACCACTCGAGACTATGAGTACCGAGTCTGGCATGAAGGACTTCATTGCCGTCGGGACCACGATCAATCGAGGCGAGGATCTCGCGGTCAAAGGCGCAGTGCGTAACGCTATGGGCCCCTGAGCGGGAAGGCTGCTGCTGACGTCCACCCGACAGGTGTACATTTTCGAGATCGTCGAGGTGGTGCCAGACCCGAGCACGCACGTCAAGCGGTGGTGGCGACTGAAGCTCCTCTGCCGTGACGACGCAAAAGGCCCCGTCTCGTTCCTCTGCGGAATAAACGGCTACCTCGTCTCATCCATGGGGCAGAAGGTGTGTAGTCGTGCCTTCATGAAAGTCTCCACCGGCACCGTCTGAGACCTGAAATCTAGATCTTCGTGCGCGCCTTCGATTTAGATGAACGACTAGTCGGTGTGGCTTTCCTCGACGTCGGCGTGTATGTCACCTCCCTGCGTGCAGTCAAGAACCTGCTCGTGATTGGCGACGCTGTGAAGAGCGTCTGGTTCGTCGCGTTCCAGGTGCGTACGCGTCAGTTTGCCACCGATCGTGCGCTGACCTTCCCCGCAGGAGGACCCGTACAAGCTCGTGGTCCTCGGCAAGGACCCCCAACTCTGCTGCATCACCAGGGCCGACCTGTTCTTCGCGGACGGGCAGTTGTCTATTGTCACTTGTGACGAGGAGGGTATCGTTAGACTATACGCTTACGATCCTCATGGTGCGTCCCACGTTCTTTTCCGGCCCATTGCGCCGAAATAACCCCACCGCTAGACCCGGAGTCAAAGAGCGGGCAGCACTTGCTCCGGCGTACGGAATTTCACGGCCAATCCGAGTACCGGAGCTCGATGCTGGTGGCCCGTAGGCCGAAGAATGGCGACCCGGAGATCCCGCAAGCGCGCCTCGTCTGTGGTCCGTAGTATCCGGAACTTGCGTTTGCGGCTCGGCTCTGACGGGACTTCTAGGCTCGGTGGACGGCTCCCTGAGCACGCTTACCTACGTGGACGAGGCAGCCTCGAAGCGCCTTCACCTCCTTCAAGGGCAGCTGATCCGCACTGTGCAGCATGTGGCGGCACTGAACCCCAAGGCGTTCCGGTGGGTGGCTCTGCCCTATCTGCGGGCACAACAGAGTTGCTGATGTATGAAACAGCATGGTGCGGAACGAGTATGTCTCGAGGCCACTATCAAAGGGCATCCTCGACGGGAACCTCCTCGCGACGTTCGAGGACTTGCCCATCGCCCGCCAGAACGAAGTCACCCGCCAGATTGGCACAGACCGCGCAACGGTTCTCAAGGACTGGGCGTCCCTAGTCGGGGCATGGTGATCCGCTGTACACATATGCGCGTCCGCTTCGCCGCTGCTGTATTTCTTAGAACGCTGTGTTAATGATGTGTGGCTGACCCGCCTGCGAGACAGGAGGCCGCCGGAGCGTCTTCCGCGTGTTTTGCTGCGCGCCTGAGGTGCGACTTCCCCCGGATCAGTGAGTCTTGTGAGCGGCTCTGGCCTCGAGGCCTCTTCGTGCTACCGTACTGCGAGATACTGCTCCTCGGCGAAGCGTCTGAATCGCCCCGGGCATGGCCGTGAACGTTGGCGAGCTTGTTCGCCATGCGACGTCCATCTTGCCAGATCGTCCGCCCCCGCTTTGGCTCTCTTCCCGCCCCCATCTTCCCGCGTTCATACGAGGGCCCGATAAGTTCGCCGTGCGTCATTCTGAAAGGTGTTCTAATGGCTGAACGGATGATGCGCTGTATTGCGCTGCAGCAGGGGCTTACTGAGACTAGTACCGCTGTCCACTATCGCCTTCACATGCACTGATCTTCTCGCAGCCGGGCTGGTGCACGCGTGTGCGGCCGTGAGCTGTACGCCCGCATGTTCTCCAAATGGATAACTCGTGTATGGGAACGCGCGGCGAGCTCGCAGCAGCCAACGGGAAGATTGGCCAGACCGCGCTATAAGTTGGTCGTCTGCGCGGCTTCCCCGTCCCGCCCTGCTGGCACCCCACGATGCTCTCGTCCCTTGGTTTCGACCCTAAAGGCACTGGCCGTAATAACCGCACCGGCTCTACCAGGGTACGTCTCTCGCCCCGCTGTCCCGCTCATTTCTCTGAACAGCGTTTGCTTCAGTTCCTCCCCGAAATAATGTCTCGCGGTCTCTCCGTTCACGTCTTCAAGAATGCCCTCGTTTCGCAACCGGCACCACCCCCACCGGCACCTAAATATGACCCAGCGCAAGCACGTCCTCCGGCTAGCAACGGCGGCGCACCTTGGAATCGGCAGCTGAGCTACCAAGCCTCCCGTAACGGCGAGCAGGACAGGAAACAGGCCCCGGTGGCACTTTCCCAGGACCGCCGCCTGGTGCAGGTTCCTCAGCCGGCGAGCCAGCCATGGCCGGTGGACACAAAGTACGGGAAGTCGCAGTCGAAGGGCTACCTGATCCATCCCAGCCCCGAACTCGATATGTACATCTACGAGCGGTCGATTTTGTCCACGGACGACGGCCTGTCGAGCTCGCCGTCGTCGGACGAGAGCTCCGACCTCGAGCTGTTCCCGGACAACTCGCTGGCGATGTCGCGGCTGGAGATCTCGTCGACGCGGGCGAGCAGCAGCACGGAGACGTTGGAGGCGACGCTGCACAACACAAGCCGGAACGCCATCACGGGTGGTGGCGGTGCCGTGCCTTCCCTCTCTCAGACTCGTCCGCCACTCGCCATCACCGCTCCACCTCCCCCTCCTCCCTACCCGACCTCCACTCGCCCGCCCCCCGAGCAGAGCATCCCCGTCATCCCTGTGCGCCCCACACTCACGCGCACAGAGAGCAGCTACCGTCCCCGCAAGACGAGCATCTCCCACCCCGTCTACCCTATCCAGTTTTCAAGCGCAGACGCGCGCTCCGACTCTGACGACAGCACCCTCTTGAACGAAAACCCGGGCGACATGGTCGTCGACATGTATGGCGCCTCCAACTCAAACTGGGGCATGTCTTCAAGCGTTGCGCACTCCGCGCGCAGTACCACGCCTTTCCGGCGCGACTCAGACTCACGCGCCCCCTCGTCCAGCGCGCCCCCACCCCGAGCGCGGAGGGAGTCCCTCGACACCCAGATGCGTCCGCCAGCACCGCCGCAGGGGCGGATGGAGGATCCGTCGTATCCCCGCGCGCCCCCCGGGCTCTATGCCGTTGCTACCCCGCCTGATACCGATAACCAGCGCTCCGGACCTGGGCAATCTCCACAGCGCGGAGCGGCAGTCCCCGCCCCCGCCGGAACGTCGTCCGCCCCTGGGCCGTCGAATGCGAACACCTCGTCGTCGCGCGCACAGCAACAGCAGGTGCAGATGCAGATGTCCAAGTCGTCGTCCGGATCGCCGACGCAACCCCCGCGCACGACGCCGAGCGTCCGCGCGCCAGAAGCGCTCGTGAGAAGCGACACATTGACCGGCGCCGGGCCCTCGAGTTCCCCGCCTCGCTCTTCCCCTCCGCGAAGGGACTCCCAGTCATCGACTACGCAGCCAAGCCCCGTGCTGGCTGAGGGCGTGGTCGTCATCGCCGCCTCCAAACGATCCGTCCGTTGGACAGAGAACCTTGTCTGTCCCTCGCCTGTGCCACCTGAGCAACGCAGGAAAGGGTGGTTTAATCGCCGAGGGTGAGTCCGTTTCCATGCGAGCTTCGGCTCACTCATAGACTAACACATATGCGCACAGGGACCAGCTCTGGACAAACGACGGGCAATTCAAGATGCCTGAGCCGGGCCAGGAATACCCGCTCGACTTAGCGGTAAGTATTCTCCCCTCGTACTGGGTTCCTCCAGATAGCTGACGTTGTTGCGCTGTAGCACTACCCCGAACCCAGCACAGGCTGGATGAACGAAGAGGGTGTCCGCATCGACATGCAGCACCGACTCGTCCCTAAGCGGCCGCTGCGCTCCGCCCTCAAGCAGCCCAAGAACACCGTCAACACCGTCTGATCCATACCCGCCCCACCCTTTTTCTCCTCCAGTCTTCTCTTATCTTTATTCGTCAGAGGGGCCTAATGTTCCTCACCTCTTGCTACTCACGACATAATGAGCTCACGATCTAACACCCGCCCGCGGCGGTTTATGATTCTTATTAACTTTTACGCACCCGGGGACGCGCAAAATAGGTGCTAATTGCCGACCTCGCCCCCATTGTAACTTATGCCTGCATGTAGAACTATTAGGATACACTATGATCGCAATGCTATGCTACAGCTCTGTCCACCGATACAACCAGGTCCGAAACGCTAGTCTGACGACAACTCTATCACGTCGCCCCACGGCGGCGTCCTGCTCGAGCTCGACGCTTCCTTGACTTGGCTCTTGCGCGGTCGCTTCGAGATGGTTCGCGCGGCTGGCGCTGGCGCGGCACGCTTGCCATCCCGTAGCGTGGTGCTCCACTCCATGTCGGCCTCATCGGAATCCTCGACATCGGAGTCGGCGGCGATGAACCGCTTGACCATTGGGTCATCATCGATGTCGCCGTCCTCCTCGTCTTCGTCGTCCTCATCTTCCTCTCCAAGGCTCTCGCTCACCTCGCGCTTCCTCTTCCCCCGCGCGTTGCTGCTGCTCCCCGAGGCCGCCTTGGTAGTGCGTGGCGTGGCGTCCGTCTTCGCGGCCTGGCTGTCTTTCTTCGCAGCCCTGCGCTTCGGCACCTTCTTGGAGAACGCACACTCGAACGCAGGCCCCTTGCCCTGCTCGATCTCTGCGCGGCTGAACCGCGTGAAGCGCGCAGCCGTGTCGGAGGGCTTGAGATACACGTTCACAGAGTACGTGGTCGGCGCGAACGACATCTCGAAGAAGCCGTCGACGAGCAGGCGCACGCACAGGGCCTCCGTGTGCTGCGCAGGGCGGATCAGCGTCAGGGTGCTTCGAAGCACACAAGGTCAGATAGCCGGGCGTACCTCTTCCGACAGCTCGACCTTGCCCCCCGCGGCCTCCTGCACGTCCACATTCTCCCTCTCCTTCGGCGCTCCCCCGCGTCCCCGGCCTCGGCCTCGCCCCTTGCCCTTCGCCCCGTCAACCTCGCCGAGGCCCGAGACGCGCAGGCCACGCGCGAGCTTGCACAGCTGGGCCATTGTAACGCGTTGGTGCGCGCGCTCCGCGGCGGCCGCGATGCGTAGAAGCTGCCATGCGGGCAGGCGCGCGTCCTGGCGGTCGACCGTCTCGGGCGGGCGGGTGCAGTTGTCACAGTGGCCGCACCGCGCGAGCGCGTCCTCTTCGGCGGTGCCCCATGAGTGAAGCGAGAGGTTGGAGGACTCGGAGAAGTAGCTGTGGGAATGTTGAGCACGCATATGGTAAGGGGGGCAGGACGGGGAACGTACCGCGCGAACTGGATTTTGCGGCACTCTTCTAGATCACAAGCGAATTTGAGCATGGAAAGGACTAGGAAAGAGTTCAGTAGACGTGGTATTCATTTCAACTTATTGAGAAACTACCTTTCTCTTCGCCGTTGTGGTCGCCGCAGGTTAAAGAACCAATGCGCGTAGCGTCTTGAGGACGGTAGTACAAAACACAGTCAGCATCTTTCCCGTCGCGCCCAGCGCGCCCGGACTCCTGGTAGAATCCATCTAATGATTTCTAATTGTCTTCAGTAACGTCATTATACGTAGCCTGCGGAGGAAGACATACTGATAGCTGTGCGATTATAGGCTAGTCAGAGGGTCCGCCTAGACCGGCAAGAAGAAACACGAACCGTGTGATGCAGGACGTATCGCACGTCACCCTTGTCAATGCCCAACCCAAACGCTAGAAACTAACTAAGAGGGCGTGTAGGGTAGTCCAACTAAGCGGACTCACCAATGGTCGCGCAAACAACCTTGACTTGCCCACTCCGCCACTTCTTGTGGAGTGATTCCTTGACGGAATCCGCAACGTCTGCGTGGTACACGCCCGTCAGAATCTTGCGACCGCTCTCTTCCGATAGAGCCTCTGCGACGTGCTCGGCGTCCTGACGAGAGAATCAGCGCATGGATTAGGGAACCGCGGGTTTTCACATACCTTCTTGCTCAGGCAGTATACAATGCCCGTGTCTTTGGGGTGGTGTTCGAGGATGTAGTCGCACATGGCGCGTATGCTACTCTGTGCACTAGAGGGTTTTGGTAGCACGCTGTAGTGAAGGTTCTTCCGGTACAACGGCGCCGAAAAGAGGACCGTGCCTTTCGTCGTCGCAGCTATACCACAACTTAGCGCTAAGAAATGCGTTGTGGTCGGAGAGAAATTTACCTGTCCCGATGATTGGTGCTCCCATCTGCAGTGTTTTGAGGAGATCCCTCAACACAATTGGTGGACATGTGGCTGATAATGCCAAGATGGGGACCGACGGGAAGAGTTGTCGGAGTGAGGAGAGTCGTTGATAGTCTGGTCTAGTCAATGCTATGAGACTAGGTAAGGAGAGACACCTGAGAACACCTTACCGAAAGTCATGTCCCTGCTGAGAGACACAGTGCGCCTCGTCTATCACAAAACGAGCTGATGCGCCGTAAGTACTAGCAACAGTGCCGCACTACGCAGACAAACGGGTACCTAGCTTGTTTACTCTGTAAAGCTTTTCAAGCGCAGATGTGAAAGTCTTGCTTTTTGCGATCTTTTCTGGCTTCGGGCGGGTCAGACACGATAATATGGACGGCGTAGGCGACATTGACGAACTGTCACATAGCATAACTTGATTTCCGGCGCGTGCGACGCGCCTGAAGCCATTTCTCGTAGCCGGGAATAGATATTGTTTTGCTCCGCTTGCGAGGTGGCACTGGTTAACATGACCGCATCCACTACAATAATTGTCAGCGCTCGGCATTAGAAGTTCGGTATGTAAAATGCGAACCGCCTGCTTCGTTCAGGTGCATGATTTGGTCTCTTATCAAAGCAAGTAGAGGAGAAATCACCAACGTGCACCCGGACACCATGAGTGCCGGCAGCTGGTATCCTAGGGACTTGCCGCCCCCTACGGGTGTTCAGTGATAGAGAGAAAATGACAGATTGTAGACGGACCAGTAGGCATAATCCCTACAACATCACGACCATCCATGCTAGCATTACAGATGCTACGAGGACGGTTAATGTCGACCAACGCCAGCATGGTGGGTTGTGGAAAGGGCTTACCCTTCCTGACAAAGGCGGAAACTGTCGAAGCCGAAGACCGACTTCATCTTGGCCCGTAGCGCCGGGGTCCAGTCAAACTCATCAGTGTAGTCGATGCTTGCTGCCACGTTCTTTCCCTTCGAAGGTTCACGTCCGGGTACGACTTGTGCACTCCGAATTTGTTGCAGCTTCTCATCTCTCTGGCGTTCGAGCGTGCGAATGAGCGCATCTAGTGCTGCTCGCTGAGCCCTCGCATCCTCTATCTCTTGGTCAAGCTTATGGAGGTCCTTGTCGGGAGGGGAGGTGCCCTGTCGCGTGTTACCATTCTGTTGTCGACTCGGTCCAGGACGACTGCTTGTGCTGGGGCCAGCAGCTCGCTTGGTTTCCTGCAATGACATTTGGAGTGCCATCTGCAGCTCCTCTTGTTCTCGCTGCCACCCTGGGTTAGCGTCGCGACATCATATCATACGACAAGTCGCTCACCCGATCTACTTCGTCTGCCGCCTCCATGTCGTCTATGATCGACGGAGCCGCCGCCACCGCTCGTCGTGACATGCTGAGCAATTGCGAGCACGTAGTACGCGTCCCCAAGTAGTGCAAGTCGGCCGTCCTACGCAAGATGAATGCCGGTGGTTCGAGAAGAGGAGAAAGCGTTAAGGTTCGCAGCAGAACGCGTCGCGCTGCTAATTGGGTCACGTGTACGAGGATCTGCGTGGGCGCCTATTCCCGCACTCCTCGAGCCGGACACCTTCGCTGCTCTTCCACTGCACTCACCTTCACATCCCCCGACCCCGTCCTCCTCTCATTCCGATGCCTTTCGGCGAAGTTGTCTGCGGCTCACCTGGCAGTGGAAAGTCAACATACTGTCATGGAAAACACCAGCTCTTCACGGCTCTCAACCGACCCATCTCAATTGTAAACCTCGACCCTGCCAATGAAAACATTCCATATCCATGTGCAATCGACCTAGCCTCTCTCATCAAGCTGGAGGATGTTATGAACGAGTTTGGTCTGGGCCCGAACGGCGGAATGCTCTACTGCATGGAATACCTCGAGGCAAACTACGACTGGCTCGAGGACCGATTGAAGGAACTCGACAAGGAGGATTACATCCTGTTTGACCTCCCGGGTCAGGTTGAACTCAGCACGAACCATCCCAGTGTCAAAAACATCATACGCAAGCTGACCAAGAGTGGTTTCCGGGTATGTGCGTGCGCAGATCTCCATGCTTCGCTGACCGTGGACTTCGGCAGGCCAGTTAGCCACCGTGCATCTTTGCGACGCACACTATGTCACGGACGCGGCCAAGTACGTGTCTGTCCTCATGTTGTCCCTTCGCGCCATGCTCCACCTCGAATTGCCCCACGTCAACGTCCTTTCCAAGGTCGACCTGATCACGCAGTACGGCGACCTAGGTACGTCCCTGCGCTTCTACTTCGCGATCGCGATCGACGCAATGTCCGTGTGCGAACGAGGGACACGACTTACACTATGTCCGCAGACTTCAACCTTGATTTCTATACCGAAGTTCAGGACCTGTCGCACCTTGAGAACCTCCTCAATCAGCAGTCTCCGCGGTTTGCCGCGCTGAGCGTGCAAATATGTTCGCTGGTAGAGGACTTTGGCCTCGTGGGGTTTGAGACCCTTGCCGTGGAGGTGCGCACCCTTATTTCCGCGGTGTACTTCTTCTCACTCATCCCACGGTTAGGACAAGGAATCCATGCTGAACCTTACGCGCGTCATCGACAAGGCGACGGGATGCGTTTTCGTGCCGCCTCCCACTACGCAGCAGCCCCCAGATACCGTCGACGCATCACGTCTGCCCGCTGCCCAGCGCCCTAATGCGTACTCGCTCATGTCGTCCGCGGCGGGCCAGATGCGGGGACCACGCTCGGACGTGAGGGACGTGCAAGAACGCTGGATAGATGCGAAAGACGAGTACGATGTGTGGGAGAAGGCGCAGTGGCGAAAGGAGGGTTTGAAGGTGCAGGAAGAGGCGGCGAGGCAGAAGGCAAAGATCAGGCAGCGGACGCCAGGGGCGAAAACGCCACAGGAAAAGAAGTTGTGAGCGGCGTATCTCTCTTGTATCATGATACGTAACCAGTGTATAGTAGCCCCAGTAGCATGGTCAATCCGAGGCATGCTGCACTAATAGAGTGTCGTGTTCGTCGCCGGGTGCATTTGGATATCGCTGAGTATGATAACACATCTCCATACTCCTGCTTACCACAAGCTCACAGTTCTCATCCACACCATATGCCCGACGCCGCTTCAGATGATACGCTGCTGCGGCCACGCTCGCCTGGCACAGCCCGGTGACCAGAATCTCCTACGTCGGCATATCTTCCGACGCCGGTGTATATCGATGTATACTCTTGTGTTCTGCGCCGCTTCGCAGCCAAGATCGTGGTCCCATTGCTGCGTAGCAACAGCTCTCCGCAAATTCGTCTCAGTACTGGTGCTGCTCCTTGCGGACAAGATCTGTCACGCAGCGCTACTCTCGTCCGTAGCAGGCCAGGGCGAGTCATGCTCAAGCGGCGCCGCTTGGTGTGCGCCAAACCATGTGGGACGACAGATGGACCCCGTGGTCGCAGCTTCTCCAGGTATGTGAATGGAGATCCTTCTCTTGACATCACGAGCCGCAGGAACCCAGTGAGAATACACTGACGGCTTGGAAGCCGCTGTAAGCCACCGGCGATGCGAGAGCGCAGCGCTCGGGGTGCTATAAAAACCTGAAGGAGAGGCGAGTTGTGACCCATCACCCTCAACGACTCAGCTTCTACATACAGCAACACAGCGCATACCGCAATGGTTCAGCCCGGCCAGATCACCTTCTACACTCATGTGGTACGTTTTTCCTCCGGAACATGACCTCGTATGCATATATCTTACAACTATTTACGCTTCCCTCCATCCAGTACTCTCCTTACTGTCACCGTGTCCATATCGCCCTCGAGGAGGCCAAGGCCGAATATACCCCCTGCAGCGTCAACCTCATGGACAGGCCTCCCTGGTATAACACCAAGGTGAACCCTGCCGGGAAGGTAAGGCGCTCTCCCATCCGTTTCAGCTCCAGTCATTCTGACAGCGTCTGTACGGCAGATCCCCGCCATCACCTACGGCGGCCCCAAGCATGCCCCGGAGGACCCCTCCCCGGAGGCCGCGAAGATCAACGAGTCGACCGTCATCCTCGAGTTCCTCGCGGACATCTTCCCCGAAGCGAAGCTGCTCCCCGCCGACCCCGTGCAGCGTGCGCAGGCGCGCCTCGTGATCGCCACCTGGGAGGCGAAGGGCTTCGAGGGCTTCAAGGACTTCTTCTTCATGTACGCGCAGGCCACGAGCCCGGAGAAGACACTCCTCGACGGGCTCGACGCGTTCCAGGCGCGCCTCCCGGCTACTGGGTTCGCGGTCGGGGAATGGTCGAACGCGGACTCTGCTGTGGCCCCGTTCTTGCTTCGCGCGGAGCTTCTGCTGAAGAACGACCTTGGGACGTACCCGGTTGGCGAAGGCAAGAAGGTCTACGAGGTCTTGCAGGGCCCGCGATTCGCCCGCCTCAGGAAGTATCTCGAGGACGTCAAGGAACACCCGACCATTAAGACCACTTGGGACGAGGTGAGCAGATTGCAGCTTGTAGAGAGACTAGCGATGCTGATGGTACCGTGGAAGGCTCTCCAATTCGGCATTTGGAGCCAGAACCCGATGTTCAAGCGCGCCTGAACGGCGTCTTGCATTATAGAGTTGGCGATGTGTGTTTTGTAACAAGATTCCTATATGCCGTGGATGGACTCAATAAACTCGCGCTTGTACGCCCCATATAAGCTTGGGCACTGAGTGCTACGCCAGCGTTAGACACAACGTAGCCAGTCGTCGGCTACGAGCAAATCGGGATGGGTGTGACCGTGACGGGACGGGAGACTGGGCGGAGCCTGGTGCGGGGCGATGACACGTCGTTGGCCAGATCTACGCGCGGCTATAGACGTTCTGTACACATACTCCCTCTCCCCCACTCGACCCATGAAACTCAAGGAAATTCACCGGACATCGACCTTCGCGTGGTCGCCCTCGCCGGACCTGCCGTTGCTGGCGACCGGCACCGTCGCGGGGGCCCTGGACGAGTCCTTTAGCAACAACGGCCAGCTGGAGATTTGGGCTCCGGACTTCCTCGACCGGAACCAGTTTGACCTTGGCGGCGAGGGCCAGGCGGGACCCAAGGCACATGTAACGACGACTTCAAGGTGCGTGCGGTGCTCCGGGGCGCGGGGGAGCGCGAAGTGTGAACATATGCGTGCAGATTCAACCGCCTGGCATGGGGGTATGTGAACGGAGAACGCCCGCGCGGCGTGATTGTAGCGGGCATGGAGAACGGCGAGCTGGACATTTGGGATCCCGCAAAGATTGTGGCCAATGCCGAGTGAGTCTACTGTTCAAACGGACGCGTCGGCAGCGTTTAAACATATGCCGCAGCCCGTCCGAATCACTCATACTGCGCAACAAGACGCACACGGGCCCCATCCGCGGATTGGACTTCAATCCGATACAGACGAACCTGTTCTCATCCGGCGCGGTCAATGGCGAGGTGGGTGTAGATTCTCCACCGTAACCGTGTCGTCTGACGCGTCGGCAGATTTACGTTTGGGATCTCAAAGACCCAAGCAAGCCCTACTCTCCCGGCACTCGCAGTACGAAGCTCGACGAGATCACCGCGTTGGCGTGGAACCACCATGTCCAATATGCGCTTGCAGCATCAAGCAGCACGGGATACACGGTCGTGTGGGATTTGCGCGGCAAGCGAGAAGTGGCTGCACTGGCGTACGGTGGTGGGGCAGGTACCCTCGCCGGAGGGATGCAAGGGTTTGGCGGCCCTGGATTCGCGGTAGGCGGACGTCGGGGAATGAGCGATGTCGCATGGCATCCTGACAACGTAAGTCCATCGTTACTGCAGAGCCCCCAAACTTGCCAACTCCTCACCTCAGGCCACTCGTTTGGTCACGTCTTCGGAAGACGACACGTCGCCCGTGATCATGGTGTGGGACCTGCGTAATGCGCGCGCCCCGGAGAAGGTGCGTCTTCGCCTAATATACTTCGCTAGGCTGCCCTAACTCGCAATGCAGATCTTGACGGGCCACGAGAAGGGCGTGCTTTCCTTGTCATGGTGCAAACAAGATTCGGACTTGCTTCTTTCCTGCGGCAAGGATAACCGCGCTCTCTGCTGGAACCCTCAAACCTCTGAGATCATTGGAGAGGTGCGCATTGAACGTGTTCCACGTACACACTTGAATATTGAACGCTTTCATAGCTTCCCTCTGCAGACAACTGGGCATTCCAAGTTGACTGGTGCCCGCGTAACCCCGACCTCTTCGCGGCGGCGTTCTTCGATGGAACGATTGGCATTCACTCCATCCAATCTACCAACGACGCCGCCGAGGTCCCCGCTGCTGCTCCTCAGACTGACGCCTCTGACATCTTTGGGGCTCCCGGTTTCTCTCGCGGAAGCCAGGCTACACTGTCGTTGAAGCACCCTCCGAAGTGGTTGCGGCGCCCCACGTCGAACTCCTTTGGGTATGGGGGCAAACTTGTCACCGTGTCCAACCTGCCTTCCGCCCAGGGCAAGAACCAGAGCAGCATTGTCCATGTTCGCAAGGTGGTCACCGAGACTAGCATCGTGGAGCGCGCACAAAAGCTTCAGTCGTCGGTCGAGTCTGATAGCCTGAAGGACCTTGCGCAGGAGAAGACCTCGGATGATGCGTCTGCCACTTGGAAGGCTCTTCTTAGCCTGTTCAAGGCCAACTCGAGAGATGAGCTCATCACTCTTCTTGGCTTCTCCAAGGAGGAGGTCGCAACCCGGGTCGCTGATGCCATCGCAAACCTGAAGAAGGCAGCAGCAGCGAAGGCGAGCTTGCCTATTGAGCAAGATGTCACCGAGACCGACATTAAGGCGCATGAGCCTGTCGTGTCCTTTGCCGAGCCCGAGCGTGAAGCGACACCCGAAGATGACGAAGGGGGCGAGGACACCCTCGACAGCTCCGCCCTCGCTGCGGAAGCCACTCCCTCCGAAGCAAGCGCCGGTGGGCTGTCTGATACCACTAGCACGACGCGCCAGGCGGACGGAGAGTCCACCACCACTGCTCCTAGTCTCTTCGGTGACGACAACCTCATCGGCACTCCGCAGGGCGATGCAGCGGCCGACTTCTTTGGCAGCATCGGTACCGCACGCACCGACGAGGATGACAGCATCCGGGTCCCACATCACAACTACCCGTTGGACTCCTCGGTGGCCGCGACGATCGGCTCGCGTCCCTCTTCCGTCGCGTCGGAGGTCCTGAAGGACAACACGTTCAAGATCTACCCCAGCGACGAGTCCGAGACGGACCGCTTAGTCACGAAGGCGCTGGTCCTCGGCGACTTCGAGTCTGCTGTTTCCCTGTGCCTCTCTTCTGACCGCTTCGCGGATGCCATCCTGCTTGCAGTCAAGGGCGGCCAGGAGCTCCTCGCACGCACGCAGAAGGCATACTTCGAGCGTCGCACCGTTCAACTCCCCTACCTGCGTCTCTTTCAGTCCATCGTGACCAACGACCTCGACGACATCGTCCAGAACGCCGATTTACAGGAGTGGCAGGAGATTTTCGTCGTGCTCTGCACGTTCGCGAACCAGGAAGAGTTCTCGGGCCTTGCCGAGCAGCTGGGTCAGCGCCTGGAGTTCCAGTCGAACATCGTCAAGTCCTCCGGTGCATACGATGCTGAGTCCAAGGCTGCTGATCTCCGCCGCAACGCCACGTTGACCTACCTCGCTGCTGGCCGCCTCGAGCGTCTGGTGAACATCTGGATCGAGGAGTTGGCAGAAGAGGAGAGACGCCTCGTCGCAGAGCACGACCACCTCGACGGCTCCCTGTACACTGTCCACGCCCTGGCTTTGCAGAGCTTCATCGAGAAGGTCACCATCTTCCGCAAGGCGATCAACTACGTCGACGATGATCTCAGTATCAAGACAGCGGTGAACGACCCGTCGGCTCGCTCGTACAAGCTTTCTGGGCTCTACGACCGCTACTTCGAGTACGCCGACCTGCTCGCTGCCCAAGGCTTGATCAAGGAAGCAGTGGCGTTCCTCAAGCTAGTACCCGCAGAGTACACTGGTTCCGCCGGCTCTCCCTACGACTTCACTGTTGGTAGGGACCGTCTACTGAAGGCCGCCAGTGAGCCTCCTCTGAGGACCACGTCTCTTCACGCTTCTGGTCCTGCTGTGCCGACCAAGGCTGGCCCCACTGCTTCGACCAGCACCTACGGCTATGGCCAGTATGGCCAGCCTGTCCAACAGCAGCAGCAGCAACCGATCAGCCAGTCGACAACTTCGTCGTCCATCTACGAGCCTTACGCGCCTGCTGGTCAGTTAGCGGCTTCGCAGAGCTCGAACCCCTATGCTCCTCCCGCCCCCGCTATGCAGCCCCAGCAACAGCAACAATACCAGGGCGGTCCTTCTGCATACAACCCCTACACTCGTTCTCCCGCTCAGCAACAGAACCCTCTTCCTCAACAGCCCAGCGTCTTGCCGCCCCCACCACAGCGCGGCGCAAACGCTACGCCCTCATTGCCCCCGCTCGCGCCGCCTCCCCAGGGACCGCCTAGGCGGGACAACGGCGGCTGGAACGATGCCCCTGCTATCCCGCAGAGGAGAACGCCTGCTCTTGCGAACGGTGGGAAGGGTGTCATCACCTCTCCTTTCCCTAACGCCCCATCGCCGTCGTCGCCGTCTCCGTACGGACAACAGCCCGCAGCTTCGCTTCCCCCTCCCCCTCGTCCCGGCAGCGTGCAGCAGCGCCCCCCTCCCCCTCCCCAGGCTCACCACGGACCCCCACCTCCAGGTGCTGGAGGACCCGGACCCTACCCTCCCCACGCCCGTCCGCCTTCAGGACCTCCTGGCCCTCCCCCGCAACAACACTTCGCGCCGCCGCCTCAGCGCGGTCCCTCACAAGGCCCTCCTGGACCTGGCATGGTAAGACCTCCTCAAGGTCCTTACGGCGCTCCACAAGGCGGACCCATCCCTGGCCAGACGCCGCCGCCCCCTCACGGACATGCGCCATACCCGCCTCCTGGCGGCCCAGGTGGTCCCTCCGGCCCATATGCTCGTGCGACGCCTCCCCCTCAGTTTGCGCGTGCGATGTCACCCCCAGGTGCGCAGGCAGCGGGTCCATATGCTCCTCCACCCCAGGCCCAGCAGTTTGCGCCGCCACACGCCCAGCAACAGCAGCAGTTCGCACCCCCACAGCCCGGGCAGCATATGGCGGGCCCGCCGGGCGGTGCTCCCCCTCCGCAAGGTCCTCCGCGCGGACAGGCCCCTCCTGGTGGAGCCGCCCCAGTCCCGCCTCGCGCGAAGCCTGGTCCGCCGCCCCCCAAGTACCGTGAGTGTTCTGTGCACATCCATGGTATACGACTGGACTAATCGATTTTGTGCAGCGCCTGGTGACCGGAGCCACATACCCGACGGTCTGCGTCCTGTCTTCCAGGTCATCTCGAACCAGCTAGAGCAGCTGAAGCAAGTCACGCCGGTGAGTAAAATGACACTTCTGCTTCACAGAGGCTAAGAGCCTCTATTTATAGCAACAGCAAAGACGGATGGTCGACGATCTGGAGCGTCGAATTAGCCCGTTGTTCGACGCCCTGAACTGCGAGACCTTGTCGCAACCCGTCTGCGAACAGCTCGTGATGCTCACACGAGGTACGCGGCCTCCAGTCTAAAACTGAACCGGTGTTCTAACTTCGGCTTCCCTATTCTTCAGCTATGGAAGCTCACGACCGCGAGGCGGCGATGGCTATTCACATGGACCTGCTCACGCGTGGCTCGCTGACTGACGACATCGGCTTGTGGATGTCTGGGGTCAAGCAGCTCATCTTGAGGCTGTGATGGACGTGCCTGACGTACGACGCGTCCACGATGACTATTTATGCCGTTCACCACGCAACAAAAGAGACGACGACGACAAGGATATGGATGGACTGGCAGTGGTATAGCAGCGTCGTCTCGGTTTGGATGTCTGTCCGTAGATAACGATGTCTTCCGTGCAAGTGTTCTTTCGATGTCTATCACTCTCTGGAATGCCCCTTCTTTTCATTGACGAGCGTCGGCTGACCACCGGCTGAACACTACCTGTATATATGATCGAAAACACATGCGCCACCAACACTCCCGTGAGTGTTCTCCTGTCTGCCAACGCTGCATATTCTGAGGACCCGCTTTCCATCAGACCGACTTCCCCGCAGCTTCCCCGCATTCTCTAGCACCGGAATGAGCTTGCATACCCCGTTCCACCCGGCGGGGATGAGCGTCGCCACATCGGGTGATGCATCAATTTCTGGCCTGGCAGTTCGTCCACGGGCTCAATGGCCCTGATGCCTCCATGTGCTCGTTGCTGCTTCCTCTGACATTGTCCACCGTTAGCGACTCGGTACCCACCAATACCGACGAGCGTGGGGGTCATCCGTACAGGCATCTGCGCTAAATGGTAGCGGCGGGATCGCAGACGCTGGGCCGCCGCGTGCTGTGTTCTGCCTGCACCCGTCCAGAATGCCCTATTCAGCCGACGCAGTTGAACGGTGCGAGTCAGCTGAGGCTCATTCCCGTCGCGATTTGCTGCTAACCCGCCCTTGGTCGCAGTCGCGTGCCGTGAAACGAACGGGCGCGTTGCCGTTTAGCCTGCGTGCCTTGTGCTCGCCCAGGGCACCCCATAATTAGCGGCTCGACGCGTACGGTATAAGTTGAGAGGAGATGCGCTGACTGGCGGCACCGTCGCCCGGCCACTGGACACCTGCGTAGACTTGCTAGCGATGTTGCGCTTCCTCTCTATCGCCTCTGCGGCTTGGGCTTCGCTCTTCGTGCTCGACGTTGCGGCTCTCCCCACGCACCCTGTGCGCGCCGCGGCAGCCGTTACGGCACTTTCGAACACGGAACTGGCGAGTTATGCGCCGTTCACCCAGTTCGCGAGGGCGGCGTACTGCTCGCCGAGCGTGGTAAAGACCTGGTCTTGCGGTGGTGCGTCTCTCGCTTGGTTTCTTGTATGTCCCCGTCATTTATTTTGGAGAACGCATACAGATGCTTGCAACGCCATCCCCGGGTTCCAACCCGCCCTGACCGGCGGCGACAATGCCGCCCTTCAATATTGTGAGTCATACCCTTACTTAGCCAGTTGTATCCCCTAATTTTCGACAAGATTTCGTGGGATACTGGCCCAGCCAGAAGGCCGTCGTCGTCGCCCACGAAGGAACAGACCCCACCCAATTGTAAGCAGTCCGACTTTCCGCGGTGCTCTGCGCAACTCATTCTGACGGTGGATTGTGTAAAATAGCCTGGCGGACCTGACGGACATCAACATCGTTCAGACAGCCTTGGACACCACGCTCTTCCCGGGCGTGCCATCCAATGTTCTCGCGCACTCCGGCTTCGTGCAGGAGCATGCGAAGACGGCCGCAAGTATTCTGGCGACGACCAAGAGTCTGCTCGCAGCGAACGGCGCGTCGACTGTCATTACGGTAAGCAGCGCGACGGTACCTAGATATTCATAACGCTAACAATAGGATTTTTGAAGGTTGGGCACTCGTTGGGAGGTGCCGTTGCGGAACTGGACGCGTTGATGTTCACTTTGAACCTTCCATCGACTGTGCACATCAAGTCACAAACCTACGGAACACCGCGTGTCGGCAACCCCGCCTACGCAACGTTCTTCGACTCCAAGGTATGTACCCGTCTACTCAACGTAGTCACGGTCCGCCCTTAACAGCGAACTGTACAGGTCTCCGACTTCAAGCGCATCAACCACGCCAGCGACCCCGTCCCGATCGTCCCCGGGCGCGGGCTCGGCTTCCAACACCCCCACGGGGAGATCCACATCCAGGCGGACAATTCAGCGGTCTCGTGCCCCGGCGACGACGACGCGACTGATTCGCAATGCACGATCGCAACTGTGCCGAACATCTTTGTAGGCAACATCCTCGATCATCTCGGCCCGTACGAGGGTATCTTCGTTGGCACCCTGGCCTGTACGTGAAAGTATACCATAGTTTGTACATGTACGCGTAAAAGGGCGTACTATATTGCGAGGCCCGCCTCCACGGCGGGCGCGTCGTTATTCTTATCCACATTTCTGAATCTACCCGTGGGCCTTACGCTACAGGAGGCTCAGGTGAACAGCGACACTCACCTTGATAGACCATGGATATTTAGCACCCCTTAGGAGAAGGTAGAGCAAATGACCTGTATGCTGTAGCTTGCGCCACCGACGACCTCAGACTACTTTTCGAGTCTCTCACATCTCCTTCCACGGGCGCTAACGATGAATATCTTTCTGTGCTATTCAGGGCGACTACAAATCTCCTCGAGTCTCCCGTTTCATATCCACACTCATCGCCAAAAATCGCGATCTCATACCGCGCGCAGTACTACGTGGGTCTATCTAACATAAGTTCGAAGATATCTGGACGTATTGCGAATCACATCGGGGAGATTACCCCGTGCGATTCGCGACTTCACGCAGTAATTTCCTCTCCGTCTTATCCAGTCGTCTACCAACGACATCATCTGTGTCTCCCAACACTTTGCTATGACAAAACCGACGATTCGCAACTAGTAAGCCCCCTTAGCCTTTGTGGTCTCTTCTCGTCGCTGACCGTTCGTTCCCTAATGTCGTCTCACTCCCCCCTCGGCATCGATCAGGTCTTCCTAGGCTCCTGCGACGAAGTCTCTAAAACGCTGAGCTTTCGGTCTCCTACCTCCACCCTCGTCTCCCTCTCCCCCACTGACTGTAAATTTGCAAAGCTCAGCTTCGGCGAGAACGAGGAGGACGTCGTCTCTGACGCGGAACGCCTCTCCGCCTTCTACGGCAACGCCATCAACGACTTCTACGGCACTCCTAGCGGTGCTCTGTGCGTCTATAAGAGCGGAGACGCCTGGCCCGTACGCACCGGTCCCGAGTCCCAGCGGATCATCAGAGAAGCTCGCGCTGTTCACGGTCATCCTATGCAAGCCACCTGGCCTGCTCTCGGCGAGGGTGTCTACAAATTGCTCGACGACAAGATGGTTCGTTGGACGTCGATAGACCCCCTCGCTTTCGCAGAGGCGGGGAAGGGGACGTTCAGCCCGCTTCTTATCTGGATCGGTGTCGAGCCCACGTCTCTCACCTTCGAGCTTGCCAATACTGCGGCTGAGGCCGTCACTTTCCTCCTGGCTGAGGCTGGCTTCAGCGGGATCGAAATTGGCTTCCGTGAGTCGGTCGTCACCCGCTCCACCGCTGGCCCGAAGATGCTATCCTTCGACCTCTTCAGTGACTCCGTCCCCGAGTTCCGCAAGCCCTTCACTCCCGCTCTAGGCCTCGCTATCGCGCCTCTCAAGACTCCCCACTATGAGGGCACCGGCGCTCTCTACTTACGCGAGAGCAACGATAGCAAGCGCGTTTTCCTCCTCACTTGCGCCCACGTCGCTCGACCTCCTCCCGTCTCTTTCGATACGGGCCTAGCTCGCAAGACCACGAGCCATCCCCGCGAGGGGGTTATCGCCCTAGGCGACTCGGGCTACACCAGCGCTCTCAAGATGATGATGGGCGCCATCGGCGACCTGAACCGCTCTATCAAGGACTGGGGGGTCGTGCTTCGCCGGCTGGGCGAGCCCCAGGAGGGCGAGTCGCCTGTGAAGATCCAGAGGCGGCACGAGCACTTAGACCTGGTGAAGCGCGCGAGGGAGAGAATCGCCGAGATTTGACAAATTCCACGGCGAGATCCTTAAGCAGTGGACTATTCCAGACCAGCGCCTTATTGGCGAGGTCGTCCACGTTGAGCCCATCCAAGCTGACGTCCCACACCACGGGTTTACAAAGGACTGGGCCCTAATCGCGCTTCATAACGATAAGTTCGACTGGAGTACGTTCATGGGCAACAAAGTTTACGTCGGTACGTTTTTTTTATTTCGTCTGGTATCGTCCTGTAGTTTCAGCTAACCATTATATTCCCCTATAGGAGGTAACCTCTCGTCGTTGGAGTACGGCAAGATCATGTTCCCCCATACGGAGGACCAGGCCAACTACGGGTACCCAGAGGACGGTCTCCTTCGGGCATTCGGTGTCGTCCAGCCCGACGAGATCCACAACCCCCAGCACCTCGACTCTAACGGGGAACCATGCCTCCTCGTCGTCAAGAACGGTCTGACGACGGGCACCACGATCGGTCGGGTTACGGGAATGGACTCTTTCACCCGCGTCTACAAGGAAAACGATATCGACCAGACGTCGAGGGAAATCGCCGTCCTCCCCTACGGTAATACGAACGGTCCTTTCTCCGCCCCTGGAGACTCAGGCTCTATCGTCCTCGACAGGAACGGCCGTATCCTCGGGATGCTCACCGGGGGTGCTGGCACCACCAACAGAACCGACGTCACCTATCTCACACCGTACTGGTTCATCGAGAAGGAGATCAAGAAGCACTTCCCCAAGTCCTTCCTGTACGATGTCGTCCAGAAGAACGTCGAGTAGTAGCTCGTCGAACAGCTCGTCGAGTACGTCGTCGAGATCCACGCGCAACGGACTTTTCGCCCCCTTTCTCTTTCGTCTTGCCTCCCCCACCTATGCCCCGTCTTTACTTTTCTCATGTCATGTCGTGTCATCTTATCCCATCTCCCCTCATTGATCCATCCCATCTCTTCTCTTCTCGTCACGCTTGTTGTTTCCCTTTCCGTCCCGTTCGTCTATCTATACATTAATTACTATTCAGGTTTATCTTATTCTTCATTCTCTTTACTTTTCCCGCATAGCTAACGCCACCCTCTCTTCCTCGATTATACAGGTAGACCTCTCGGACTCGTCGACTCGTCGTGTAGGTCCTGGACGAGTCAATTCGATGTTGGTCGGCCCGTGTACGGTATTGCCTCCCTCTGCATCTCGGACATTCGAATCGTAGCTTTAAGCGTACAGCAAAAACATGCATCTCACGGTATACGTTCTGCTGCGGCCAGGAGCACACGCACCCAGTAGATGGTTGTACACATGTTCACGGGTGTGGGTAAGGAGCGGGGTATCCTCCACGCTCTTAAAGACGTTGCGAAATAACTTAAAACTATACAAGGTATTACACAACGATGGTACACACAACAGATCGCCCACAACAGTCCATACGAGCAGCAGCAGCGCCATAAAAGCACCACCGCACACCGGACCGCGCCCGTGCACCGCACGGCCCCGGTCAAGCCGCGTTGCTGAACGTCATGCTCGACAGGGGGTCCATGTGCGAGTCCATCTTGTTGTCCGACTTGCCCACGTACACCTCGAGGGGCAGGCCGTCGGAAGCCGTGAGCGTCGTCGCGGTGCCGCCCATGCTGCTCTGGCCACGCGTACCCTTCGCGACCGCCCAGGTGATGGTCTGCGTCGGCTTCTGCGAGTAGTACGAGTCGTCGTGGCGCTGGTGGCCGACGCGGAGGATGACGATCGAGAAGATGATACCGGTGAGCGGTACGGCCTGCACGGATTAGCGGTCGTGGTGAGCAAATACACTTAAGGGGGCGGGAGGAACAGCTGAGGGTGCGCACCATCTCGGACATGATCTCGAGGCCTTGCGAGCCGAAGTTGAGCGTCATGACGTACGCGAAGAGGTAGGCAGCGTTGAGCATGCCGCTCTCGAGCACGATGCGCACGATCGGGCTCAGCCGGGACTGGCTGGGCTCGGCCATGTTCTTCATCGAGCGGTCGACGGACCAGATGCGGTACGCGAGCGTGACTGGGGAGTGTGGTCAGCGCCCACTGTGCGGAGTGTGTTGGGCACGCGGAACGTACGGGTAGCGACTGCGTTGGCGACGAGACTCAGGGCGAAGAAAGCCTTGAGCCATTTTGCCTCGGTGAGGATGGTCTGGTTCGGCAGGTTGCTGTATGCCCACATCGTGTAGGAACCGGCGGCTGCGATGTACGATCAGCTTGGAATCGGGGTAACGCTGGATCCTGGACACTGACCTGCGCTCGTGAACGAGAGAGCAATAGGGAAGAGAACCACCCAGATGTTCTTTCCCCAAACGACCCAGCACCGGTAGTTCTGTAGCGAGTGTGAATGAACAATGCTGCCTCGGCCCCGAAACACCACCCGGACATACCACAAACGAGTCGCCAACCAGCAGCACCGCGACGAGCAGGCTGTGCTTAGTGGTAAAGAGCGGCTGGGTGACATCCTGGAGGTAGCCAATGCGCGCCGCGCGTGTTTCGTGTTGAATGAAAGCGACGAAGACGTTCGCAGTGTCCACCGAGAAGCGCGCGAACGCGAGGACGATGAGAAGCACGCCCGCGAGGACCATCGGCCAGCTCAGCTGGGACTTGAACCGCGTGCGCCGCTGGACAAGGTCGTAACCGCACACGCAGAATAAGCAGACGAAGACACCTGCAGAACAGCGGTCAGTGATTAGGTTATGGATCGACGAGAAGCACCACTGCAGGGGGCACTGACCGAACAGCCCGCCCTCGGCGGCGAGGCCCGCGAGCTCAGCGGAGTCGATCTTCAGTCCGGACGTCGCCATTGAGAGGGTGTATCGCAAAGAGGGCGGCGGAGGCGGGACTGTGCGGGGCTCGGTCGCGATCCGAGGACACTTGAAGAGTGGGTGGCGAGTGCTAGACGACCGCGGTGCCTATATAGAGCACTGGCAGAACTGGGGATAGACAGGGCGCGATGACAGCATGATGTACAGCCAATCGCCTGCTGTCGCAACAGCTGGTCGATTGGGCAGGGCGCGCGCGGTGCAGGCCTTCGCCAGGAACACGGAGGGGAGGGCGCGTCAATGTGTGGGAGGAATGGGCGTCCCGTGGATTGTCCATCAGCGCAGCTGCATCGGCCGCGGAGGGCGAGCGAGACGCGCGCGCGGTGCTGTGTGAACGGCTCCAGCCGAATGTGGTACGTATAGCCTCCCGATCGGAAGGGCTCGAGTGGTCCGTTGGGCATCTCCGGTGGTCAAGGGGTGGTCAACCCTTTCTTCGGGATAGCCGGGATGATTCTTGTGATGAACACATACCAAGGAGATGATGGACGCGATACCTAACCATTATCTCACACATCGTCCTAAAAGATGAAGATGACTCTCAGCGTTAGTGATGGCTTTCGGTGGAGACATACGACCGACCTCCTACCAGATACCAGAACCAGATACATTGCGAGCACGGCCGGCTTCGCACAGACTGTTCCGAGGCACTCTCCGCAAGGCTTCTCAATGCAACTGATATCTCATGTCTGTCAGAATAGTTGTACATACAATCAGGACGTTGGACACTCTTCTTTAGTCCACCTATCAACGACGGGCACAACGGGCATCTACTCCAGGAGCGGCTCAATCACGAACCCCTTGCTCCAGACCTTCTTCGGGTCATACTTGGCCTTGATCTTGCGCAGGCGGGGGAGATTAGCCCCAAAGACGTCTTCCGCCTTCTCCGTGCCGTTGCTCAGGTTCACGAACCAGCCAAGGTCGCGCCCCGACAACTCCGTGTTCTTCTCACGCACGAGCTGCACGACGTCCGCAGTGAACGCGCGCGCGGCGTCGACGGACGCGTCCGTCGTCGATCTGTCAAACAAATAAAAAGCAGATTGAGTTCTTGCCGATCTCCAGACACCCCCGCGCCCGATATCCGCGTTCTGACAGCGGGCGGGGGTGTCAAACATCAGGCCAAGCGAGGATCTGCTCACCTGCCCTGCACCGCCATCCAGTAGTGCGGCTCCCGCACTTTCAGCGCCGTCTCGTCCGCGCCGACCTCCGTCAGCTTGGCGGGGCTCGTGAGGTCCCAGAGCACGGCGGACCCGCGCACTTCCTCGCTCGTCTCCGTGAACGCGACCCACTTATCCCATACGGCCTGCAGGAGCTCGGGGTAGAAATCGGAGAAGAAGGTGCCGCGGATGGCAAGCCGCTTCGGGGCCGACGCGAGCGATGCGTCAGCGGCGTGCGAGACGGTCAGGAAGTCGGGCACCGTCGCAATCTTCTCAAACGCGGGCTTGACCGCGCCCTCGCGGAAGGGCGCAAGCACCGTCTTGGAGCGTGCGCCATCTGTGTCATGGAGGACGCTGGGTAGGAAGACAATCGAGGGCTGCGTAACGACGAGTACGTCAGGAGAGCTCCAGCGGGATGCTGCGCATCAAGACATATGAAATAAACATACCTTGAAGTGCGGCGCCGGGCGCGAAAAGTTGAGCGTGAAACGTTCAGCCGGCGTGTGCGTGGCTTTCCACTCCTGCGCGCGGGTGAAGATGCGATCAGAGCGTAATTCTTAGCGTAAAAGGTGGACTGTATCAAACCACCTTGATGATCTGGAGGATGCTGGCGAGCTCAGTCCCGGGAAAGGCGATCACGCCAGACCCGAAGGGGCCTGCGTAAGGGTGAGTCTTGAAGACAAACTCGACGACGATTCCAAATTGCCCTCCACCGCCTGTAAAAATGACATCAGCGCGCCGCCGTCGGCAGTGGCGGGAACAGACTGACCGCGGATAGCCCAAAACAGGTCTGGCTCTTCGTCCTTGCTCGTCTTCACGATCCTGCCATCGGCGAGGACGACGGTGGCGCTTAGTATGTTGTCGATCGCAAGACCGTATTCTCCACTCAGTGGACCGTAGCCACCGCCAAGGGTGTAGCCGCCCACACCGACAAACCACAGGGGCGAGCCGACGACGTCGACCTGCGCCTTCGAGGTGACTTCGTAAACGTCGCCCCAGAGCGCACCGCCCTGGACGGAGACGGACTGTTTGTCCTCGGCGAGCGTGACCTTGTTCAGCTTGCCGAGGTCGATGACGACACCGCCGTCGGAGCTCGCCCAGGTGGCTGAGTGTGCGCCGCCACCCTTGACAGCGATCTCCAGCGGGGGCGTCTGCCCGGTCGCATACGCAATGATAGACGGGATGTCCTCAAACACGGCGGGCTGGACGACGAGCTTCGCGGGGAGGATCGAGAGGTCAGAGTTGCGGCGGAGTGCGGCCGTGTAGGCGTCGCCGGACTCGGGGGTGAGGATGGTGCCTTGGATCTTGGACTGGAGGTCTGCCATTGTCGGGGTTGCTGCTCGTGCGGACTTGCGGGAGCGGCGCGAGGGTGAGGGTGATTTAGAGAACAAGGAGCGCAGGCGGCGCATGATAGCGTTCGGGGGAGTGGGCGCGGGTGGGGGCTCGGTCAGCCGGGCCAGACACGGCGGCTTGGGCGAGTCCGTTGGGTGAGCACGTCTTGGGAACCTAGAGCGGTGCGAGATCTAGCGGGGTTCTGATATCATCTGCGCACCGAATACAGCATGAGGCCTCCAGCCCCGCATGCCGAGAGATGATGCATACTTCATCGCGCTGAGAAGCTTCGAGGGACGCAAGGAATGCAGGTGGTTGTCTGCTTTGATGGAGAAGCAGCCATTTTTCGTGATCTCCCTATCAGTATGGAAAGGAGGTTAGTAATATAGTTACACCGCATGAAAGGTGCCATCGACTCACTAGCAATGTAGGTGTGAAAATGACAACAGTCACTCAAGGATCTCCGCAAGATTCGAAATTCTGCTGCGAGTGTACGAGGTCGCCGGTCGCGCGCCTTCGGCATGGCCCTCGCGGAGGCTTCCCACCGGCGAAGAATCCTGCCGCATCGCACAAGTACACGCCAAGTTCTGAGTTTTCATTTCGCACTCTCAGTGGGTCTGGGGTAAGATCATGAAGATCGTCGTTGCAGAGGAAGAAGAGTTGCTAAACGCAGGGCGCTTACTCCGGAGCATGAGATGAGTGTCGTATAAGCGCCCAAACATATGTTCTTTCTGCCACCATGGCCGCGTCCTCCACGCTTCTGTACTGCCCGTCTCCCATCTGCCTACTAATCACGGCATTTGACCTGCAGGACTTGCTGAATCCTACGCTGGCTCTTGATTCTCCATGCTTGATGAGTATTGGCGGGGAATACGACGGCATGCCGCGAACTAGGGTTATCACCTGTATGACCTCCGCCCAGTGGGCAATGCAACGATGGCGACCTTCAGCTTCTGATTCTTCTCCGTCACCCTCTAACTGGCTGCGCAACAGTTTCCTGCTGAGAAATATGTATCTTTCATCCTAAGGCTGTGACCTGCTGAATGCAGCTACTTGAGATCTAGAGCTACTACTGTGTCCTCGACATGCACCTTCTGATTCGCACATGCATCAATCACACGAACGCTGCGTCCTGGGAGCTCACGCTGGTTGGGCGCGGACAATGCATCAGACGAAGCACGATTCTGTGGTTGCGCGTCTTCTGTGGATAGGCCGCCCGCAGGCCGGGGGCTTCCGCTGCTGACAGATCCATCCTTGGTTCTCTCAAGTCAGGCGTGTACGGATTGCCAACACTGTCCCCCCAAAGATGTCACTGATCTGTCAAACACAACGCACAGTCGCCGCACCAGGGTATATATGGAGAGTACACCTCGTGGCCATGTCCACAACACCCGCAATCCGAGCACAGTTGTGACATAGTCAGACACCTCACCTACAGCATGGCAGCCCAACTATCGATCAAATCGAGCACCCGTCTGTCGTCCGGTAAGCATCAGCCGCCCTGTAACCTACACACTATTGACTTATACGCGAATTCGCAGGATATGACCTGCCACTCCTCGGGCTCGGAGTTTACCAGAACGATGACGCAAAGCCGGCCTCCCTGGCTGCGCTGAAGCATGGCTACCTGTATGCAGCTTTCTTAACCAACACGCGTGTATCGTTACCTAACGTACCCGCAGCCACATCGACTCTGCGCGGTACTACGGAAATGAGGCGCAGGTCGGCGAGGCCGTTCGTGAGAGCGGGATCCCGCGCGAGCAGGTCTTCATCAGTAAGCTCCATATGGGACATCTAACCCCGCTCGATCTCAATGTCTAATGAAATGTACAGCGACGAAGCTCACCAACGAAGACCACGGGTTTGATTCCACCCTCGCGGCAGTGGACCAATCCCTGAAGAGGTTCGAGTTTGGTAGGTTTCATTCTTGATTGCAAGAGGCAAATCACGCACTGATTACACTCGATGGCACAGAGTACCTCGACTTCATTCTCATCCACAGCGCCATGTCGGACAAGGAACGCCGCCTTGCGACATGGCGCGCCCTCATCGAAGCTAAGAAGCAGGGCAAAGTCAAGGCCATCGGCGTCTCCAACTAGTACGTCTACATCTAACCCTATCTACGCGCCTTTGTTGAAATACGTTCTTAGCGGTGTGAAGCACCTTGAGGAAATCCGCGAGGCCGGGCTGGAGACCCCTGCGATCAACCAAATCGAAGTGAGCTCCCAGCTCAGGCGGCCGCCGCACTTTGCAGGGTTCCGGCACTAACCGCTACCCCGCGCAGCTCCACCCCCTATGCCAGCAGAAGGAGATCGTCGACTATAGCAAGAAGCACAACATTCTCATCGAGGCGTACACGCCGCTCATACGCGGACAGTGGGACGTCCCTGCTATCACAGCTGCGGCCAAGAAGGTTTGCATTCAAGGTCGTTATTCTACTGTTCACGAATTGACCTGGAATTAGTACAACAAGACGCCTGCTCAGATCCTTATTCGCTGGTCGCTGCAGCGCGGGTACATGCGTCGATGATCTAGACATTGGACTCGCGCTGATGCTGTTTGTCTCTTTCTAGCTTTGCCCCGCTCCCGAAATCTTCCAACCCGGAGCGCGTTGTCTCGAATGCTGACGTGTTCGACTTTGAGATCGATGCGGAGGACATGGCGAGCATCGACGCGCTCGACCGCGGGAAAGCAGGGGCGATCACCTGGAACCCGGTTGATGTCGATTAAGCTCGGCGGCCTTGCGACGACCAGTATGCTCCCGAAACATCCTAGCACGAACCGAAACGTCTGCATCAACTTGTACAACAGTTTTTGTGATTATATACTTACTCCGGTAACGTCGAGCGGCAGTGTTTGAGATGCTGCCGCCGCTGCACCGTGTTTTCCCACAGCCCTTGATCCCACTCCTTCCGCAGTCCCAGCGCTGCTCCGTCCGGCAGCGTCCCCTTCCTTCCGGATGAGCTTCTGATGATCTGCGTGGATGCAACGCACTAAACACGGACTGGCGCGTGTCCTGGAGGGTGGGGGGCATTGTCTGCGTGAGCGCGCAGCGCTGGCCAAGACCGCGGGCGTGAGACGCATATACATGATGGGGCCGGAACACGGTATGGACGCCAGCCTGTCTCATCCCGTCAGGACTGCCAGTGTCAGACGCGATGGTGTGCGCGAAACTGTCTGCATGGACGACACCGTCCGCTTGGGCCCTCGAGCGGGAGCCGTCGTCGTTCGCGCCCAGCGGACGATGGTCGAACAAGGACATGGACCCGGTACCGCCACACAAGGTCCGTTTCGTTCGTTCTGACGTTCGAAGACTGCGCTGACGCCCAGGATGATGTAGAGGACATGGTCGACATTCAACTATGTCGCCTACTGGGTGTCAGACGCCTGGAACGCCGCGGTGTGGCAGCTTGCATCTAGCATGCTCGCCATCGGGCTCTCGTGGTTAGTCAAACGTAGATAGATTTTGAGTGGTGTATCTCACTGAACTTGTCTATTTTATACAACGTAGGCGTCAGGCCCTACCTGCCATCGCGGTTGGGCACATCATAATCTCCCTCGTCATGGTGCTTAACGGGACCATCGGCGCGCGGCTGCACGTCAGCTTCCCGGTGCTCAACCGGTCGTCCTTTGGGTTCTGGTTCAGCTACTTTACGGTGATCAGCCGGATGGTGCTCTCGATGTTCTGGCTTGGTATCCAAGCGTACACAGGATCTCAGTGTGTCTTCCAGGTGTGTCCGTTGTGAGACGACTGACAAACATCTTGCTATGTTACTAACGGTTGCTAGATGCTGAAAGCGATATGGCCGTCAATAGCGAGGATGCCAAACCATTTGCCGCCAGATGCACATATCACCACCTCTGGTACGTCAACCAGTTACTCTGCTTCCTTGCAATATTCACGCACATGCAGGGATCATGTGCTACTTCCTGTACTGGCTGATTTTGGTGAGTGACCTCAGGGACGGCTGAACCGGAGCTTCCACTAAATGGTTATGGCGTGCTGGTAGATTCCTCTCATGTTCGTCTCGCCCCAGAAGATTCGTTGGTTCTTCCTCCTCAAAGCGGTAGTCGTCCCGCCAGCGTGGATCGCTATCCTCATCTGGTCGTTCGTCAAGGTGCCCGCCAGCCAAGGGCTATTCGGACAACACACGCACCTTTCCGGAAGCACCCTTTCCTACGCGTGGCTCAGTGCGCTGAACAGCGCGTTAGGCATATACTCAACCCTCGCGGTGAACATCCCTGATTTTACTGTGAGTAGTTCGTTGAGTATGTACTTCTTACATTTATTGATCAATTTTAACAGCGGTACGCGAAGAACGAGCGAGCGTGAGTTCTTTCCATGACCCAATCCCGCATCAGTTTCTGAGAAGGCCGAATACCCCAGGCAATACATTCAGCTTCTGGTGATCCCCGTCGCTTTCACCCTGGTTGGCTTCATTGGCATCGCTGTAACGTCCGCGGGAATAGTGCTCTACGGATCTGTCCTCTGGAACCCGCTCACTCTGATCAACCACTGGGACAACCGCCCGGCCGCCTTCTTCGCCGCCTTCACATTCGCGCTCGCGACCCTCGGCACGAATATTTCTGCCAACACCCTTTCCGCCGCGAACGACATGACAGTCCTCTTCCCGAAATACATCAACATCCGGCGCGGGCAGGTCATCACCGCGATAGTCGGGCCCTGGGCGTTCGTGCCATGGGAGATTGTCACGACAGCACAGGGGTTCCTGTCATTCATGAACGGGTACACGGTCTTTCTTGGGCCCTTCGCGGGCATCATGGTCGCCGACGTGAGTACCCCTGCCGTCACATTGTACGTTGGGCGCACCTGCTGATTGTGCCTGCGGAGCAGTACTGGATCGTACATCGCGGCCGCGTCGACGTGCCATCGATGTATCGCCCGCACGGCCGATACCGCTACACGTATGGCTTCGTGAGTGTTCTGTGCTTCTCGTGGGAGTATGCGAGGGAAGACTGATTTTGAGGGCGCTTCTGTCCAATAGAACTGGAGAGCTCTGGCAACGTTGTTGGTCGCGGTGCCTCCAAACTTGCCCGGCCTCATCGCAGCAGTGAATCCATCCGTACACGTCGGTGGGGCTGTCAAGATCTTCGATTTCGCTTGGCTCTTCGGGGTGAGTGAACAATTTACCCTGGTCTGTATGGCTCATTGCATCGATACTGATGGCGCCCTGTTGTTCCTGCAGTTCTTCGTCTCGGTCACCGTATACTCTTTCTTGTCGCTGATGTTCCCTGCAAAGGAAACTTTCCTCGACGAGGCCATCACCGGCGGTGAACCGTTGGAAGACTCTGAGGCCGATAGCGCATCACAGTCGGGAAAACAATCTGTCGAAGACGAGGTGAAAAGCGTGGTGTAACCTGAGTTGTAAGTCGTAGTCGCTGTACATATTGATTGTACATTCTCGCTTCGCACGAAGCCGTTCAGTAGATGTACGGAATAAGGCGGTACGGGGTCTTCTTCGTCCACTCGTCCCACTGCGCCCCGAACTCCTTGCTCAACACCGCGTCCTCCTTCGCCACCCTGCTCACAAGCGAAATTGACACGAATGTCAAGTACCCCATCAGCCCGACCGCGAAGACCTTGTCCGTCAGCCGCGTCCACAGCCCGGCCTCGACAAAGTACGACCCTTTGCTCAGCAGCAGCGCGAAATTCCCGGCGACCATGAGCACCCATCCGGTGTAGCTCGGGTGCCTCACGAAGGAATACGGCCCGCTCGTAACCAGGTGGTGGTCGTCTTGCACGGCCATTTGCCAGGTGAAGAGCTTCCCGAGGGTCCGGTGGCACCAGATGCGGATAAGGCCTCCCGTGATCCCGAGCACGCAGGCGGCCGTGCCCAAGGGTGTAATGGTCAGGTCGTACGCGCCGTCCGCCCCATAGGGAAAGAGTGCTGAGAGTATGCGATCAGAGACGGCCGAAGGATGGGCCCGTGCCAGGAGCGCGCCTGCCTCGAAGACGGCGACACTACACAGGGCATACTGCACGAACTCGGGTTAGCACATGGCCCGAGCACCCGATGTTGCCGGAGGAGACACACCTTTGCAACCGCGGTGACCGCGATCTGGACAGCCGTTGTCCTGGTCATGTAGTCCGGGATCGCGAATCGCTTCTGCTCGTCCGTCTGAGGGGGCGAACGTGGGGGCGTCATGCCCTGATAGGTGCAGACCGCATGGCCGAGAAGCAGCGGGACCTTCAGGAGAGGGGTAGCGATGGTTGGAACAAGTAGGAATGACATGTTGCTTACCCGCTGTTGATCGCTGTCGGCGTGCTATATGACCAGCGTCATCGTTCGGGTATTCTAGTCTACGCAAGCCCCGGCATCATCAGCGCAGCGCGTATGATGGAAAGTCGGCCAACGGAACCCGATGGACGACATCGGAAGCGATTGCTGTGAGGATGGGAAGTTGCAGGCACAAGCGGGTTTTGTGCGCAGGCCGCCGCCCGTCGCGCCCGCTGTTAATGATGGCTCTATCCCAACCAAACGCAGTCAATGCTTCCCGAGCCTCTTTGCAGGGTCGATAACATCATACTGAGCAGAGACCTCGGTTCGGCCACCCGAACGCCCGTCCGCTCAAGATTGTCGTAGCCGTGGGCGCGCATCTTTGCCATTTTTCGGCTAACGGGCAAGTCGCGTTTGTGCAGTTGGTATATTATTGAATATGCGCTACGATGCCATCAATTACAAGGACCGTGATCCACAAATATATACAAGTGACTCGTTTGCATGTACGCATACGCACAACTGAGTTGTAACATGTCAACGACATGATCTGTCCGGCTACATCACTAGCGCGACAGGGGGATGCCATGGGCTTGCTTGATCAAGTCCGCCGCACGCTCCGCGATGGCGTAGACGGGAGCCTGCAGATGGGCACCAAAGATGTGTGGCTGAAAGCAGTGTGCATCAGTAAAGTCTCGCGGTCCCGCACATTTGTATTAGATGATACGCACGAATACGGAGGCATCCACAATTCTGAGCCCGGAGATCTTCTTGACGCGCAAGTCGGGGTTGACCACGCCCGCCGCGTCATGTTCGGCCGACATCGTCGCGGTCCCCATGGGGTGGCGGAAGGTCGCGATCATGTTCCGGATGTACGCGCGGATGTCGTCGTCCGTAGTCGTCTGGGCGGCGTCTGCGAAGGGCGCGATGATGAAATCCTTCCACGCGGGCGCGCCCACGAAACGGTGCGCGGCCTTCACTGCCTCCGTCAGGATGGCCAGGTCTGACTCCGTCTGCATGAACGCCGGGTCGATGAGAGGCGCGTCAAAGGCCGATGCCGACGCTAGTGTGACCGAACCGCCTGCAATAACTGTTAGTAAGATTTGGGGATGCGATAGAACGCGGTCACATACGGGAGGTAGGCGACACGAGCGCGACACACATGCTCATGAAGTTTCCTGTGTCGGGCACGGGCTGCGTGAACGACAGGAAAGAGTTCTGTTGGCGCATCCCCGCGTGTGAGTATCGACAGATGCGGGGGTCCTGCGGCGGAGACTGCTCACCCCGAAAGTAAGCTCGAAGTGCGGCGACAACGGGCCCGCTGTCGGGTCGCCGAACTGCTTGAGGACTGACGAGTTTGAGGGTAGGCGGAACCAGCCGATCTGGTTTCCGCCCGGGTTGTTTGCAACCGGACCTTGTTTCTTCGAGTCGTACAACGCGAGGAGCTGGTTCATGAGCGTAGGGTCTCTGTTGATCGTGTCAAGCGTGTCGTTGCTGTTGACCTGCCACTGCAGCGGGACCCAGGGGTGGTCTTGCATGTTCTTGCCGACGTCAGGGAGCTCTACGACGGTGGCGAGCTTGTGAGCGGACAGCTCTGCTTTGTCACCGATCCCTGAGAGCATGAGAATTTGCGGGGTGCCGATGGAGCCTAGCCAACGAAATGAGCGACACCATACCAGGTTGTCAATGATGTACGTACCTGCAGACAAAATGACTTCCTTCGCTGCTGTGAGCTGCACACGCGGACCTGGATTGAAATGTGTAAGCACGGACTGTTTTGCAACGCAGAGAGCAATCGCACCCGTCGCAGTCTGAGCTAGCTCGACACCCAGGAACGTTGGCGTTGCTGAGGAGCTTTTGGACTGGATGAGCCGCGTGACCCGAGTGCCGATGAGTACGTCGAGGTTTGACCGTTTGAGTGTCTCCTCAGTTAAGAAGGCCGTGGCTGCGCTACTGCGGACGCCGTGTCCGATCGTCGACTGTAACCAGCCTTCGTTATAGAGTTAGCCAGATGTCGTCCAGTATAGCAGATAATACTACTGACCAACACCCAGAGGATTCCCGGAGTTCATGTCAAGATTGAAGGGGAACTCGGAGAGCTGCGACGTGGTCTGGATAACTCGCGAATCGAGAACACTCGCATTCCCCGGTAGACTCGTGAGGACGGGCCCGGACTTCCCGTGTATCCGCGCGTCGACTTGTCCCACCGTGTTGTGTCCGTCCGCTGGTGGTGTTAACGTTTCAGTCTGTGAGATTGTCAGTAATGTGCCTTGCCATTCATGTAGGACGTGTAGGTTTACTTTGAGGATATATGGAAGTATCTGCTTCCATGACCAACCGTCGTCACCGGACACACGCGCTAGCTTGTTGAACTCATCCGAAGACCCTCGGGTGTAGAACATGAAATCTGTCGAAGAGGGGTCAGTGCGCGTCCTAGTAAATGACACTTCCCGGCACGTACTCGTGGAGGTGCTTCCGCCGAGAACATGTCCGCGCGGGTACGGGATGGTGCGGTTCTGCAGCGCACCCTGGGCGACGGTCGTGTAGTTCCAGTCGAAGGTCGCGTCTATCTGCGACACAAAGTACGGGATCTGGATCTCATCGACGTTCGGCCCTGCGGCGTTGCTGCGAGTACCATCATACGGGATCAGAGCCGTGATGGACTTCGTGTGAACGATTCACACTTACTTGACGCCCGCCTCGATAAGGAGAACTTTCACCCCGGCGTGTTCTGTCAGGCGGTTTGCGAGGACGGATCCCGCAGTTCCTCCTACAGAGACGTCAGCGTGGGGGCTTGAGAGCCAGAACATGAAAGCTCACCTCCAACGACGATGAAGTCGTACGCCTTATGGGCGACCAGTGTGTGATCGGTGAGCAGCGACGCCGAAGACTGACCAAGGAGACACAAAAGGCCCAGGGGCAAAAGAGGACGGGAGAGCATGGTGGCGGCCTGGTGGCGGTCTGTTGCACGAACCAACGATGTGGTGAGCAAGAGAGGTGGCGCGCAGATCAAACAGGACTCGCCTAAATACCCGACTGGCATATGGCAGGATCAAAACTAACAGAGGCGGTGACGGTGCCTGCAGTGATAGACTCCCAGCCTGGTCGTCCCCAGCGGTGCAAGGCTGGGGTCCGCGAGGACGAGCATCAGGAAGCGTACGCGCACGGCACCAACAGTCTCATCTTCTTGGCGGGCCCGATGCATCCGTGCTTTTCGGTGACGGACATCGCCCGTCGTCCCTTGCGCGCAGCGGCGTCCTCGTCCGTGTACGACTCCATCCTGTGACCAATGGTGAAGCAGCGGATCTCACCGCCTGCGCGGGCCCGGTCGTTTGATATGAATTTCTTGACGGAGAAGCTGTGCGCGCGCACGGCTAAATTGCAGGGTCTGTGAACGAATTGCCAGGACGGGGCGACGTCCTGATCCTGCTGGAGACTGCCGACCGAGCACGAAGTGGCGGCGCAGCCTGCAGGATCCTTGGATCCCGCAGCGTTGCGCGGGATGCTGTCACATATGCGGATACCTGGCATATGTGCTAAGTTCATCAAATGGAAGTGGAGAGGACGTCAACGGGCACCTCGATAAATGACTGGCCATGCGAACCGGTCCTGCCAGGTAGTGAGAAAAGCGGTTGAGTGCCATACGTACCTTGCTATCGATGGCGGTCAATGGCTGGTCCACTTTGACATTGTGCCAGACCAATCAGAAGCACCGACGAACGACGATGCCCAGCAACGATACATGGGCGGGAGGAGACTCACGCCTGTGAGATCGCAGAAGAACAATCAGTTACAGACACATGAGCGGCATCCTGCAGGACATGCAGATGCAGCAGGGACATCGTCGCTGCTGGAGGACGGGCGTGCGAGATCACCGACAAAATTGGGGACATTGCGCTCAAGTGCTCGTCCTCCTGATCATCGGAGGTAGATGACCCGGGTACATTGGGCATGATCCGTGGATTTTCTGGAGGGAGACAACGTGCAAGGCTGCGGTACCCTCGCCGTTCGTCCTATCGCGAGTCAGAACGCCGTATGTTCATCGCGCTCAAATGTCGCCTGCCAAGTATATCAAACGAGTATGAGCGGACACACTGTTCATGATTGCAGTTATCATGTCACATAGAGATAGAAGTTCTCCAGGGAGGTTTGTTAGGAGAGGCGAGGCACTGGTGCAGGTGGTTAGGAAGAGAGGGTCGCAGGCGCCCAAGTCATGGACGGGCTCTCCGCTATACGCCAGCGCTTAAGACAGTGAGAGGCTCTGCCAGTACTAGTAGGTACTCTCTTCCAGCTCTGCCTTGCTTCTGCTCTCGCTCGAATGTCCCCTTGTAAAGAATTGTAAAGCTTGACACTTATTCAAACGCGCTTCGAAGATTACAATGGAGGGATTGATCTGCTTCCGGAGACATCCATATCGCGTTGAACGAGGCCCCCGGGCCTGCTAACTACTCAAGGCTGGCTATATATGTGCGCCGGGATGCGAGTCGCTGTAGGATCCATCGCACGGAATATCTTGATACGCTGCTCAAACTTCGCCTTCGTCGCAGCCTGTTTATCCTGGCTTCAGTCATTGCTGATACAATCTTGCCACGACTACTCACCGGGTCCCAGGACCTGGCCACGTTAGGCCGCGCGACGTTGTCGTCGATATACTGACGGAGCCGCGCGTACTTCGGGGACTCGAAGACAACTTCATAAGCTTCCTTCAAATCCTCGGGTTTGCACAAGCCGATGCCGTCTTTGAGCGCAAGTTGCAAACGAAGCAAGGTAGGAAGAGCGGCCGCGTCGGCGATAGACCACTCGCCCGCGGCGAAGCCCGTAGGCGGGAGTCTGCCCTGAATGTCGTCCAGGCCTGCGAGAAGATCCTTCAGGGGCATCCCCATGAAGAGAAAGCCGACAAAGCCCTTGGACAGCCCCGCGTCGAGCGAGCTGTAGAAGAGCCGCGCGCGGGCGCGGAGCGTCGGGTCCGCCGGGAGGAGGTGGGCGTCTGGGAAGATGTCGGCGATGAACTCTAGGATGACCAGAGACTCTGGGATCCCAACGGCGTCACCGGAGAGCGCGTCTCCCGGCTCCAGCTTGGGTCCGCCGTAGACGAGGTAGGGGACCTGGCGCGCGAAAGATCAATGGACGCCGGCATGGGAGGGGGCGCTAGGGTGAGACTTACCTTACCGCCCTCGGTGTTGACCTTCTGCGCATACCACTCTGGCTTGTCTACCAGATCGATCCAGATGACATCGTAGTTGGCTTTCGCCTCCTCGAGTGCCAAACGAACCTGTGCGGAGATGTTATACGTGGCATGCACTAAATCCTATGCCGACACACGTGCATACCCTGTGGGGGTACGGCGATTCCTGCGAAACGATTCGAGGTCAATGTGAGTCCGATCCCGAGAGCGATATCCACGTACAGGTGCCGCATAGAGCGTGATCCTCTTGGATTCAGACATGCTTCGAAGATGGAAGAGCTCTGCTGAGACGTCTACTGGTGTGGAATGCGTTGCTGGTTTTATAGTTGACAGGTGGTGGTCAAATGACCGCTGCGGATATACAGTGCTCGCCGGCGTGGTCGGTGAAAACACCGGTCTCGGAGAACTTTCTGGGGTCACAAAAGGACGCGTACTCTCTGCACGCTTCCGGCAGCCATTCCATGGGAATGCGGCGGCGGCTGTAATGCAACGAACAGCGCGGAGCGACTGCGAACTGCTGCATGTTGATAGAAAGACGCACAGACGGTGTCGAGATCGTGGGACTTGGCGCCCCGAAGTAGAAGGAGAGCGCGCACACTTGCTGACATGTACTGGTAGGGTTATAGGTTCGCCGATGCATTGTATATGAACGCGAACCGGTCGCGGAGCGACGGCTATGGAAGATTCAGCCAGCTACGTTAGCTCTCGCTAAGAAAGCAGGCAGGTGACAAGCTGCCGAACCCACTTTCAATAGGGCGTTCATATGTAAAGATAACGCACCGCGCAGTCTGAGGCTTCCTGTCTTCTTGTATGGTGCGTCGGCCGTCGAGAGTCGAGACATCGGATTTCCATGCGTGAGGATGGGATAATCGATATGAGCTGTGCTTCGTCGTGTGAGGCCCTTTGCGGGCCGTGCGCTGTAATCACTAAAGGTAATGAGGTATGCTCTCAGTGAGGCGTCCAGTTAGCGTCGAGGTTTACTTGAAATTCGAGGACTGCGCTAGCTCGTCAAATGGAGTCTCATTGACTGGTGGCTGCTGGCTGGCTAGAGAAAAAGGCGTTGGGTATGCTGGATAAAGTCGCCAGCCAGAGTAGGGGGTATTATATTGATGTTGTGTCGAAGATTGTCTGCCAAGAGTAGAGTAAAGAACGCCAGCTCTATGTGTCCAGGATGGTGAACATACAGAGAACGATTCCACCTCTGGAATCGTTTTGGCGATATATGCAGCTGTGCAGCGGAGACGGAAAATAGAAACGAGCGCCCGCTGTCTACCAATCAAAACTAAGAAAAGTAAGCGGCGACACTTCGGTCATCACCGGGTTGTCTGCCGCGAAGAGGGCAGCTCGACTCCAACGAGTCTCCTCAACCCAAGTCAGCCCAAGTCCGAGTCGCCATGTCTCGCTTGAAGTCAATATACATACTCCACTACAACCCTCCGAACTTACACCATTCACTGGCGCATTTGCTCTAACTGGCAGCGCCACGCTATCTACCCTGGCTACTACTCAGGTACTTCTCCATAACATGCCGACAGTGATAGTCACGAATGTTGCCAACATTCTCCCGCTCTGGACATACTACGTGACAAGAAACATATCAGCCGTATGTGTTGCGAGCATTAACGCGATAGTCCCGGTCGGCATATGCAAGCAAGCGACAACGCGGTCGGGCTATGTCCCGGGTGCCAGCCTATACCGCCAACCCATCTACCGATGTGACTGCACCCGGAGGCTTATAGGAGCGCCTTATTTGTCTGTAGAAAACACCCGTTCAAGGTGAATTTGAGTCTATACGTCCCTCGCTATATGGAATGCGGCTCTCATCGATTTGTCTGATCTAGATTCTAGAAACTAACGACGCACGCGCAGTACTTCTACTTGGACATTGCCTGCGCAGGCCCGGCTGCTCTTGCGTGAGGCATTGGTGAACCGAGCCGAAAGCACGCGTCCTCTCGGAACGCAGTGGCAGACATGCGCAGGCCGCAGGACCTAGGCCGTCTGCCGGTGGTACACGCCAGCTCAATTCAGCATATGCGGCGGGAAAGGTCCCGCGCGTCCTATAAAAGTTGCAATGGCTAGGAGACACTGGCAATAGCGCACCCCCTACTGTATGCACTCTCAGCTACCTCATAGTGCTTCAAACAATGGTCCAGACGAAGAGAATCACCCTTTACGCCTCAGTGGTATGCGGTTTTATTCTTTCCTCAGCACGCCATGTCTTAACATATGTGTTATGATAGGACTCTCCGTTCCCGCACAGGGTATGGCTAACGCTCTAAGTTTCGTGTGTTTTCGTGCATCAACAGCTTTGACGTAGGTCCGTCTTGCACTCGAGGAAGCTAAGGCAAAGTACGACATTATCTGGATCGACTTGATCGCGAAGCCCGAATGGTTTGAGAAGAAGGTCAATAAGGCCGGTGGCAAGGCAAGTAAAGCTCTGCCCATGTCTCACGAATAGTTCAACTCAACCTTTCCCGCAGGTGCCCACGCTCATCTACGGCGGTGGAGAGCTGCACGAGGACGAGGAGCCCTCTCCCGACGCCGCCACCTTGGTGGAGTCCCTTGTCATCTTGGAGTTCCTCGCCGACACCTTCCCTGAGGCCCACCTCCTCCCAGCCGATCCGCTTCTGCGGGCACGCGCCCGCACCTTCTACATGTTCATCGAAACGAAGCTCATTGTAGCGTTCTTGGGCTTCATTTTCGCCACCGTGTCCGCGGACGACATGCTCGCGCTCCTGGAGACAATCCAGGGAATGCTTCCGCCCACCGGCTATGTCGTCGGGGAGTGGTCGATCGCCGACGCTGCCTTTTCTCCTATCCTTCTTCGTTGGGTCCACTCGCTCGAGAATGGGCTGGCGATGTTTACGCCGGAAACTGTGAAGCAGTCGCGGGACGCCTTCAACTCTCCCCGCTTCGACCGGCTGCGCAAGTACCTCGAGGACAATGTGGCGCGCCCCAGCATGAGCAAGACCTACGACAGGGTAAGAGTGCAGCGATGAGCCGATTATCAGCAGCTGACATCTTGTCCGCGGTTGCGCAGGAGGCCCTCGAGAAGACTATGGTGCGGCGCCTCGAGAGGTTCCGCAAGACCGGAGTCATAACCAGCGAGCTGAAGATGCCCCTCCCCTGAGAAAACAGCACATTTTTTTATCTCTCTGCCACAAAGTCGTAATGTTAGAATTTGGTTGAAATCGAGCAAAATTATCTAGCGAACCGTTATTCAAAACTATGGATGGGTGTGCGCCTCGATGATTAGCGGTGAACGGCGATGATAAAACGGACCAATAACTTTATACATACCATTTGATCCCTCTGCCTTTCTTTTTTACCCTGGCTACCGCAATGTGCGTATGATACGCGGAAATCGCAGTTGCGGTGGCCCGTGCACTGGAGTTGTGCAGTACGGTGAGCGCCCGTTGGGGTCGCGAAGAGACGCTGGGTGCGTAATCGGAAATTGCCGACCAAAGTTTAGGTGGCCGGGTTGCAGCTGCTGCATCCTTCAACGCCGTCCACGACGTCGAGGACGCCCTCGACCCCCTTTCCTTCCCTCCTCCTACACTCGTTGCTGCTGTCATCATGTCGGGCAAACGGGACCTGTCCGGCTACAACTATGCTGCCATCTCTTCTCTGGTCCTGACCGCCGACCGCTCTGCCTTGCCTCGACGCGACAAGGAGCCGGATGGCGCGCCCACGTCTCTCGTCGGGCGCATCGACCCGCGCGAAATGGGCTCGCGCGTGCAGCGCGAGGCCCCGAAAGACCTCGACAAGAAGAAGAAGAAGGCCGCGGAGCGGCAGGAGGGCGCGGACAAACCTGCGAAGCGGAGAACGGCGGACGTGACGGGCTTTGGCTACACGGACATCATTGAGGCGACGGAGGACGTCGAGGGCCTCACGTACCGGCCACGAACCGCGGAGACGCGCGAGGTCTACGAGCTCGTGCTCGCGAGTGTTCACCAGGCCCTTGGTGACCAGGCGCAAGATGTTGTTCGCAGCGCGGCCGACATGGCGCTCGAGGCGTTGAAGAACGAGAACCTGAAGGACTTCGACAAGAAGAAGGAGGTCGAGGAAATTCTGGGGCCTGTCTCGAACGAGACATTCTCGCAACTCATTAACCTGTCGAAGAAGATCACCGACTACGGCGTCGAGGATGAGAAGGCTGCCGACCCGGACCAGGAGAAGAAGGAGACGGAACTCGACGACGAGATGGGTGTCGCAGTCGTCTTCGACGAAGAGGAAGAGGAGGAAGAGGAAGATGAGGGCTTCGAGATTCGCGAGGAGTCTGACGAAGAAGAGGAGGCGACGGAGGGTGCGGAACCACCACCCGAGTCTCTCGAGGGCGACGATGAGCTGGTTATCGGTGGGTCCTCGGCAGTAGGTCAAGGGAAAGCGCAAGTCGACAAGGACGTCGTCTCGCCACATTCTATCGACGCTTTCTGGGTCCAACGCCAAATCTCAGAGGTGTACCCTGATCCTGTTACTGCCGCCGACAAAGCCTCCTCCGTCCTCTCGATTCTCGGTTCTGAGTCTAGCGTCCGCGACTGCGAAAACCAGCTCATGGAGCTGTTTGACTACCAGCACTTCCCCATCATCCGCAAGTTCGTCAAGAACCGCGACGTTGTCGTCTGGTGCACGAAGCTCATGCGTAGTGACGCGGACGAGCGCGTCAACGTGGAAGTCGCGATGCGGGAGAAGGGTGTTGGTTGGATCTTGCGAGAGCTAGCGGGCGACCGGAAGACAAAGACGAAGACAGAGTCGATGGACGTCGACGCGCCACCAAACATCGAGGCCGTGCCGAAGACTGGTACCCTTGCGCCTGGCTCAATAGTGCAGCCGAAAGCCATGGTAGACCTAGAGGGCATGGCGTTCAGCCAGGGCGGGCACTTGATGTCAAACAAGAAGTGTAAGCTCCCTGAAGGCTCGTTCAAGCGCGCGAAGAAGGGCTACGAGGAGATTCATGTTCCTGCTCCGAAGTCGAAACCCACGCACGACTCTGAGCTTGTTCTCATTGAGTCTCTACCTGAATGGGCGCGCGAGGGTTTCAAGGGCTACCGGAACCTCAACCGCATTCAGAGCAAGCTCTACCCGGTTGCGTTCGGCACTGATGAGCCTATTCTGCTGTGTGCACCGACTGGTGCCGGTAAGGTGAGTATCATACTTCGATGTTTCGGAGGAAACAGACCAGCTGACCGTATTTTGCGTAGACCAACGTCGCCATGCTCACCATCTTGAATGAGCTGTCGAAGTACCGCGACGAAGAGACCGGCACCTTCGACCTCGACTCTTTCAAGATCGTCTACATTGCTCCCATGAAGGCTTTGGTCCAGGAGATGGTCGGCAACTTCAGCTCGCGACTGGCGGTTTACGGTATCAAGGTCGGCGAGCTCACCGGTGACTCTCAAATGACGAAGCAGCAAATCTCGGAGACGCAGATCATCGTCACGACTCCGGAGAAGTGGGATGTCATCACGCGCAAGAGCACGGACACGAGCTATACGAACCTCGTACGTCTCATCATCATCGACGAGATTCACTTGTTGCATGATGAACGCGGCCCAGTCCTCGAGTCGGTCATCGCTCGAACAATCCGCCGCATGGAGCAGACGAACGAGTACGTGCGGCTCGTCGGCCTGTCCGCGACGCTGCCTAACTACCAGGACGTCGCTACCTTCCTTCGCGTTGACACGACGAAGGGCCTGTTTTACTTCGACGCGTCGTACCGTCCGTGCGCCCTCCAGCAGCAATTTATCGGTGTCACCGAGAAGAAGGCGATCAAGCGGTACCAGGTGATGAACGAGGTTTGCTACGAGAAGGTTCTGGACCAGGCTGGGAAGAACCAGACACTCGTGTTCGTCCACTCCCGGAAGGAGACGGCGAAGACGGCGAAGTTCATCCGCGACATGGCGATCGAGAAGGAGACGATCACGCAGTTCGTCAAGCCAGAGGGCGCCACGCGTGAGATCCTGCTCGAGGAGTCGAACAACGTCAAGGACCCGAACTTGAAGGACCTTCTTCAGTTCGGTTTCGGTATCCATCACGCCGGTATGTCGAGGGAGGACCGTGGGCTCGTCGAGGAGCTCTTCGGCGATGGTCACATTCAAGTTCTCGTCTGTACCGCGACGCTCGCGTGGGGTGTTAACCTTCCTGCCCACACCGTCATCATCAAGGGGACCCAGATCTACAACCCGGAGAAGGGTCGCTGGGTGGAATTGTCGTCGCAGGACGTCCTGCAGATGCTTGGTCGTGCTGGTCGCCCTCAGTACGACACGTACGGAGAGGGTGTGATCATCACCAACCACTCCGAGCTCCAATACTACCTGAGCTTGATGAACCAGCAGCTGCCCATCGAGTCGCAGTTCGTCGCGAAGCTCACCGACAACCTCAACGCCGAGATCGTCCTCGGTACCATCCGGAACCGTGATGAGGCCGTTCAGTGGCTTGGTTACACCTACCTGTGGGTGTCTTTTCTCAAACGGTATGGAATGACGCTAATAATCGAAAATGACAGGTACGTTCGGATGCTCAAGGACCCCGTATTGTACAGCGTCGGCATCGACTACTCAGAGGGCGACCCGACGCTGGTTCAGAAGCGCGCTGATATCGTCCACACCGCCGCCGCGTTGTTAGAGAAGTGCCACCTCATCAAGTACGAGCGGTCTACCGGTCGCTTCCACAGCACGGAGTTGGGCCGCATCGCGTCGCACTACTACGTGACGTACAGCTCGATGGCAACCTACAACCAGCACCTCCGTCCCACAATGTCGATGCTCGAGCTGTTCCGCGTCTTCGCGCTCTCGAACGAGTTTAAGCTCATTCCCGTCCGGCAAGATGTGAGTTGTTCACGATCATATGCGAGTGTGGCTTCTGACGTTCTCTGCAGGAGAAGCTCGAGCTGGGCAAGTTGCTTGAGCGGGTGCCTATCCCTGTCAAGGAGGCGGTCGAGGAGCCTGCTGCCAAGATCAATGTCCTCTTGCAGGCTTACGTCTCGCAGCTCAAGCTCGAAGGTACGTCAATGATGTACACTATTCGCATTGAAACTGTCAGCTCATACTGGATACAGGTTTCGCGCTCGTTGCGGACATGGTCTATGTTCAACAGTCAGCCGGACGGTAAGAGGTTTACCTATTCTTGTCCATTGTACAGCTGATTGACTTCTTTTTAGTATCATCCGGGCCATCTTCGAGATCTGCTTGAAGCGTGGTTGGGCTGTTCCTGCGAAGGCGGCCCTTGACTTGTGCAAGATGGTGGAGCGGCGAATGTAAGACACACCATTGTCAGACGCGGAGCGTCGCTTACAATTCTTACAGGTGGGGATCCATGACGCCTCTGCGCCAATTCAAGGGCGTTCCGAGCGAGATCATCCGGAAGGCTGAGGCAAAGCAATTCGTAAGTACATGCACTTCACTGTGCAGGCACCTATGCTAATTTTATGTTGACAGCCTTGGTACCGCTACTTCGATCTGGTGAGCATATTCGAATGACATCGTCCTGAGTAATTTTTGTGGCTAACATTGTATGCAGAGCCCGCCCGAGATTGGTGAACTCATCGGGATCCAGAACGCTGGTCGGTTGGTTCATCGTCTCGTCCACAACTTCCCCAAGCTTCAGTACGTCTATACGCTTTAGCCTCATGTTTCAGGTCTAATCGTGGCTTCGCAGGCTGCAAGCTCAGGTTCAGCCCATCACGCGCACCTTGCTTCGCATCGACTTGACGATCATTCCCGACTTCCGATGGGACGAGAAGGTCCACGGCGGGTCAGAATCCTTCTGGATACTCGTCGAGGACGTCGACGGCGAGATCGTCCTGTTCCACGACACCTTTATCCTCCGCCAGCGATATGCCGAAGACGAGCACTACGTGACCCTCACTGTCCCCATGTTCGAGCCCGTCCCTCCCAACTACTTCATCTCCATTGTCTCTGACCGTTGGTTGCACGCCGAGACCCGCCTCCCGATCTCCTTCAAGCATCTCATCCTCCCCGAGAAGTTCCCTGCCCCCACGCCCCTCCTCGACCTGCAAGCTCTTCCGCTTTCGGCGCTGCACAACAAGGACTTCGAGAGCATCTACTCGTCGACCATCGAGACCTTCAACAAGATCCAAACACAGGTCTTCCAGGCCCTGTACACGACAGACGACAACGTTTTCATTGGCGCGCCGACTGGCAGTGGCAAGACTATTTGTGCCGAGTTCGCTCTACTCCGCCTTTGGAGCAAGCGCGAGCAGAAGCGGGCGGTTTGCATCGAGCCCTACCAGGAGATGGTCGACCAGCGCGTGGAAGAATGGCGTAAGAAGTTTGGCAGCCTGCAGGGCGGCAAGGAGATTGTTAGTCTGACTGGCGAGACGAGCGCGGACCTGCGCCTCCTCGAGAAGGGCGACCTGATTGTCTGCACTCCTATGCAGGTACGTTGCCTTCCTTGAGGACGTAATCGAGCATATGCTAATGTTTGCGCAGTGGGACGTTCTCTCTCGGAGATGGCGTCAGCGTAAGAATGTCCAGAACATCGGGCTGCTGATCGCCGACGAGGTCCAGCTCGTTGGTGGAGAGGTTGGGCCGACGTATGAAGTTGTCATCTCTCGCACTCGCTATGTTTCGGCGCAGACCGACATCAAGACCCGTATCGTCGCTTGCGGCGTCTCTCTGGCAAATGCGCGAGACTTGGGCGAGTGGATGGGCGCACCCTCACACGCCATCTTCAACTTCCCGCCTAGGTATGTTCCTGCATACGCTTTGCATACGCATGATACTAACAATGCCACAGTGCTCGTCCCCTCGACATGGACATCCACATCCAGAGCTTCCAGATCCCTCACTTCCCGTCGCTCATGATCGCCATGTCAAAGCCCGCATACCTCGCCATGTGCGAATACTCACCGCACAAGCCTGTTATCATCTTCGTCCCATCTCGTCGACAGTGCCGTCTCACCGCCGATGACATCATAACCCACTGCAGCGCCGACGACAATCCGAATCGCTTCCTGCACGTTGAGGAAGCTGACCTTGCGCCTCATTTAGAGCACGTTACCGACGCAGGCCTCAAGGAGACGTTGAAACACGGTATCGGCTACTACCACGAGGCTCTTGACAAGCAAGACAAGCGTATCGTCGAGAGGCTGTTCCAGCACGGCGCTATCCAGGTCCTCATTGCTTCCAAGGTATGAGTTTCTTACTATATCTACACCCGCAGCGTCGCTGATAATACATATAGGACACCGCGTGGAGTCTACCCGTCTCCAGTTACCTGGTCATCATCATGGGCGTGCAGAACTACGAAGGCAAGGAGCACCGTTACGTCGACTACCCCGTCATGGACGTCCTGCAGATGATGGGTCGTGCATGCCGCCCGCTTGAAGACGAGAAGAGCCGCGCAGTGCTGATGTGTCAGCAAACTCGCAAGGACTTCTACAAGAAGTTCTTGGCTGAGGGTCTCCCCATCGAGTCTCATCTACCGACGCATATGCTTCACGACTACTTCCTGGCGGAGATCGCTGTTAAGACCATTGAGAACAAGCAGGATGCGATGGTACGCACTCGGTCACAAAATGGCTGAATATGACTCTTAACACATTGCTCTAGGATATCTTGACATGGACGTACTTCTACCGCCGCATGACGCAAAATCCCAACTACTACAACCTGCACAACGTCAGCCACCAGCATCTATCAGATCATCTGTCGGAGCTGGTCGAGTCCACTCTCAACGACCTCGTCAACTCGAAGTGTATCGCGATCGGTGAGTCCGTTTATCTCGCTGGGGAAAACCCATGTCTGATGTATCATTCAGAGGACGAGATGGACGTGTCACCATTGAACCTCGGCATGATTGCGGCATACTACAACATTTCTTGTAAGTTACAGATCTCCGCAGTTTCCTGACGCCACCACTGACGTTGTTTCCTGTAGATGTCACCGTCGAGGTGTACACTCTGTCGCTCAAGGAACGTACGAAGCTCAAGGGTCTGCTCGAGGTTGTATCATCGTCTGCAGAGTTCGAGTCGATTCCCATCCGGCGACACGAGGACGTGCTATTGCGTCGCATCTACGACCGCGTTCCCGTCAAGCTCGAGAAGGCCGACTTCGAGGCGCCCCACTTCAAGACGTTCCTGCTACTCCAGGCGCACTTCTCCCGTCTTCAGCTCCCTCCAGACCTTGCCGCGGACCAGGTGCTCGTACTCGAAAAGGTCCTCAACTTGCTGTCAGCTTGTGTCGACGTCATGTCATCAAACGCGTGGCTCAACGCTCTCGGAGCGATGGACTTGTCGCAGATGTGCGTGCAGGCGTCGTGGGAGACCGACTCGCCCTTGAAGCAGATCCCTCACTTCGAGCCTGATGTAAGTGCTTGTAGTTCATCGTAACTATACATGGGCCGCTGACAGCAGTGCTTCAGGTCATCAAGAGGTGCAAAGAGGCCGGTGTCGAGACTGTCTACGACATCATGGAGATGGAGGACGACAAGCGGAACGGGCTCCTGCAGATGGATGCGAGGCAGATGTAAGCGACTGCCCTTCTGTTTGCCTTCCTTCGTTGGCTGACATGGTCCTTAGGCGGGATGTCGCAACATTCGTCAACTCGTATCCTACCCTGGACGTCAACTACGAGCTTGCGAAGGGTGAATACACGGCTGGCGCGCCAATCACCATCCAAATCTCGCTCTCGAAGGACGCCGACGAGGAGATGGACGTCAACGAGGATGACGAGGTAGTCGTCGCGCCATTCTACCCCAAGAAGAAGCTGGCGAACTGGTGGATCGTCGTTGGCGAGCCCAAGACGAAGCAGCTCCTCGCGATCAAGAAGGTCACGGTGCACCGCAACCTCGCCGTGCGCCTCGAGTTCTCTCTGCCACAGGGCGAGCACGCGCTCAAGCTCTACGTCATCTGCGATTCGTACATGGGCGCCGACCACGACATCGACCTCGATCCTCTCGAGGTTGCTGAGGGCGAAGATAGCGATAGCGAAGAGGAGAGCGATGATGCCATGGAGGAGTAGATGTCTGTTCGTGCTTGTTATGTGTGCTGTTGTCGTTCATGGACCGTTGTAACATAGTGCTGGCGCCTTGGCTTCCAGTTAAAATGTATCTGTAGAGCCTATAATGTTGTCTTCGTCACTCCAGGCTCCGACAGTTGCTCCGCCGGCTGAACGACAGTGCTTGCACTTCGAGCATGCTGAACAACGTAGAAGCAGCTTCGATGTTGAGTCTTATTGGTCTCTTTGCCGCTTACTAACTTTCTAATTTTCGATTGGTAGGCACACGGCGATCGTAGCGAGCGAGGGTCCAGTGGGGACGCGGCTGCCCAATCTTATCTGGGCTTGGCCTCCTCCATCCTTCTCGACCCAATATCGACGCGATAAACCTTCCTTTCGGTGTGTCTAATTCAACCGCTTAACCAACCACTTCTTCCCTGGCCCGCCAGCAGCTGTGCCTTTCTCGCGCAAGCTGCTTTGGCTCTCGAGGCCCGATGCACTGACCACCTTCAGTTTTACAGGATGCCTGACACTGCGCAGCGTAATAGGAGCACCCTTTTGAATGTGGGTCCAGCAGCTGGTGATCAGCCTGCTTTCTCAGCGATAGCTAATGTAGCTGGCTGGGTCCACTTTTGCCGTCGCTCCGCGACCGGTACTGCATCGGCAAACGAATATAAATACCCGGCCAGTACATGTCAGCAAATGCCCACCCTGCTTCCAGGTATGCCGAGTCTTACGATCTTGACACCGACTACGTGCCTCTTTTATTGATATGGTGCAGTTCACAGTCGCTTCGCGCTGCTCTGTACGTCACAACTGCCACCGCATTCTCATGCCATGGCCGCCGATAGCGCACAAAGGGTACGCGTCCTTTCGCGCCTCCAGAAGGTACTCCGAGATCGGTGTTTCCGTTGACTCTGCCCCAGCAGCGTATTACAAAGTCTGTATGTCCGCAGCGATCATTTGACCATGACCTGCCTACGATAAAACGAGCATCCTCACTCTATATCTGCACGTCTTGGCAGAATTCTCCCACTCTCAAAACATGTCTGAGCCCAAAAGGATCACACTCTACGCGGCAGTTGTACGTCGACGCCTCCTTTAATTGAAGCCCCGCATATTTACCCAGAGTCGTTCCAACAGGATTCACCGTATCCCCACCGGGTATGCACTTGTGTCGACACGGTACTCAATGCAAGCACATATAACATCTCCCTACAGGTTCGTTTGGCCATCGAGGAGGCCAAAGCCACGTACGATACCATCGTGATCGACCTGTTGGACAAGCCAGAGTGGTATGCACAGAAGGTCAACACCGACACCGCCAAGGCAAGTTGCGCGCGTACCTCCCCCATATCGGTGTTCACTGATTATCTATTCTGCGTCAGGTCCCCTACCTCGTGTACGGCGGATCCAAGCTGCAACCGGGCGGTGCACTCTCCGCTGACGCCGTCGGGATCCCAGAGTCTCTAGTCATTCTAGAGTTCATCGCCGACATCTTCCCAAACGCCCACCTCCTACCAGCGGACCCGACGCTCCGAGCTCGCGCCCGGCTCTTCTACAGCGGGCTCGAAGCGGGCCCGTTGGGCAAGGGGTCTGTTCTTGGCTTCCTCTTCCAAGGGACCCCTTTGGAAGATCTTCTCGCGGGGCTGGACAAGTTTCAGAGCAAGCTCCCGCCCACGGGGTTCGCGGTGGGCGAATGGTCCATCGCCGACGCGGCCACTCTTCCCGTCCTGCTTCGCTTGCAGTTGGCGCTCAAGGAGGGCCTTGGCCTGCGCAGGCCAGAGGATTTAAAGGAGGCGCATGCGGCCATCTTCGAGCCTGAATCGGGCCCGAGGTTTGCGCGACTCCGTCAATATATTGACGACAACCTGGCTCGCCCTAGCGTGGCCAGGTCGTGGGACCCAGTGAGTAGTTGTGGAGAGATCCGCAATGTCTGGGTTGGCTGAAACCGACATACGCAGGCTGCGACGAAGGCGAAGTTTGAGCAACGTATCAAGATAGTCCGTGCGAAGGATCCGACGGCGACCAGTATGCCCCATTAGTCTCAGTGGTCCTCGTTGTGAAAATGTTACCTCTTGAGGTCACCCTAGTATCCCTCCATGATTGCAACACGTTGATTTTCCTACTCGTAGATGCTCGAGAATTTCATAAGACTGGATTTCACCACCACTACGTATGATACAGAGGGCATTTTGCACTTGATCAATGCTCGCACATAGCGAATTCAGCCTCGAAAATCTTCTGGTTGTGCTTCACCACGAACTGCGCCCGCTCCCTCATGAGCTCCTCGCGGTGCACCATAGCCTCCTTCACTGTCACCGCACTCTCCAGCACGTACTTCAATATCAGCTCTACTAGCTCGGCAGGAAGCTTCTTCACTATGATTGTGTCATAGACTGCGTCCCTGTACCACTGCGCCTGCTGTGGAGGAACGACGCCCGTCGAGTGCACGCGCGTGAGCGGATCGACGAGGAAGAACGCTAGGATCTTCCGGTGTCCAGGCCGCGTAGGGTCCTCAAGCTCAAACGGCGCGACACGGTGCTGGTACACGTTCGGGAACGCGAGACACTTGTCCTCCCGTGCGACGACGTGCCCGAGCTCCTGGTTCAGCGCGTGCTCGTGCGTGAGCCCGTACACGGTAAGGTACCCGCGGTGGTCCCACTGCTCGTAGGCGAGGAACGTGCCGCCCTCGCACAGGCCGTCGCCGACCGCCGCGCGGAACGCGAGCTGCGACTCCGAGATGTTTGCGCTGTCGTAGTAGTACAGGCCCGTCGCGATGATCCTCTCATTCGCCATGCCCTCGACGTGCCACGCGCCGCCCGCGTAGCACGGGGCCTCCGGGGTGAGCTCGATGTTCGCCATCTTGACGATCACCTGGAGCGTGCGCCCGCGCAGGCTGAGCGCGGCGGGTCCGTCCGCGTTTGGGCTCGGGGGCTGGAAAGGGAGCACGTCCGGGATATCCGGCCAGCGGTTGACGCGATCCCATTCGTCGCGGTCGTCTACGTCGTCGGGTGCGTCCATCGTGTACCAATCATCCGGATCTATGGGGAAGATCGGCGGGCGCGGTGGATTGAGTTGGCCCGCAACGACGCGCTCGAACAGCGGGAGGAATCGTTCGAGGATGGACGAGATTGTGCCGTACGCCGCGGCGTGCTTCACCGGGTTGAGGTTGTTGATGTAGCCCTGGGCAGACACTTGGTCGGAATCGGACACCGCAAAATCGGTCGGGAGCCACTGATAGGCTTTGGACACGGTGAACTCGAACGGCAGACGTGGGTCTTCTGCCTCACGCTGGTAGGCGTCGGACGCGAAGCACCGTTTAATGTCAGCACGCTCGCGGAGGTACTCTTCGTTTGTGAGGAGACGCAGTGGATCCGGGTGCCCCGAATGTGGGTCGTGTACGAAGGAGCGTCCGATGTAGAGGCAGAAGAGTGAGGGGTGGACGAGGTCGAGGACCTGCTTGTTTGACCCAGGGTGCCAATCCTTCTCATCCTCTGGGACGTCTTCGAGTCGCTTTGTCAGTGACTTGAGAGAAGCCTTCAGCGGGGACGGGATGAGCGCCGAGGACTCATACACCATCGGAATAGTTGTTTCCTAAAACTCATAATTAGCGGCGTGGCGGTACTTGTATAGAACTGAAGCTTCACTGACGGATATCCGGGTCTCCTCATCGCGGTGCGACGCCAAGTACCGGAGCTCGTCGAACAAGTAGCGCAGCTGTGCATCCGTAATCGGGTCCCGCGGCCACTGTTTCTCGCCCTTGCCTTCTTCAAGCCGCCGTTCGCCGCCCCAGAGCTCCTCGACCATGGTGCGGTCATGCTCGACGATCTCGCGTGTCCAGCGCGCGACAATTTCTGCATCGTGCACTTTCTCCCACCAGCGCGGCTTGTCCCGGATCGTGCGCGCAAAGCGGCGGAGGCGGAGCTCGACGAGAGGGACGGGGTTGTTGAGGATAAACGTGAACGGGGATGGGAACTCGAGCGCGGGGGTTATGTCTGACGACGCCGCGGCCGAGGTTTGTTCTGTTGTCGCCATGATGGGGGCGTGAAGGTAGTTCCTGGTGGCTTTGATGATGACGATGTAGGACCCCATCACCGCCTTCAGCCTTATGTACTGGATGATGATCTCGACCGTGCGTGGGTGCCTACTAATGCAGTGCACCTTCACGACATGTCAACGCTTCAGGCTAGTATATGTTTACGTAGAGACCCGGGATTTTCTCTCTTGTGCAAAGGGATCTTCTACAGCCGGGCTGATGCCAAAGAAGAGACTGCGGGTGTTTTGGGGGCTTGGGTAATACGAGGACGAATGCGTTGCATCGGAAATCGTGATTCGCTTTGAGCTCCGGGATGTGACGAGGTTCATCGATCGTCGCACGAGTCATAATCCGCGGTCCTGTATTAAAGTAGACTCGACAACACCGAACCCAAGAAGTAAAGTCAACGATGAGGGGGAAAAAGGGAATCAATCACCAGCCTCAAAGTAGGTCTGGAGGGATCGGTATAATAGTCATATCAGAGGTGTCCAGAGAGCAACTCTTGAGCTCGTCTACGCGCTGCTTGAGAAGCTGGAATTGCTTGATTTTCTCTGGGCGCTGAAGGAACCCGGGGCGACGTTACGTTCTCTTGCATCAGCCAGTACAACGATTGTCGACGTACCTGGTAGCCTGCGACAAGTCCGGATGTACTTACGACGACAAAGAACAAGGTCTCCCGCACTCGCGCGTCAGCTGTACAGCGGATTAAGGGCAACATTGTCGGATTGAATGGGTGAGAGACTCACGGTCCGAGTGTACCACCTTGTACGGCTGCAGGTCGAACGCAAGCGGCGGCTTCGGGACTCGCTTCTTCGCTACGCTCTTCTTGCGGGTTGTCGTAACTTGAGCTACTGAGTTCCCCGATCCGGTGACGCCGGCGGTGACTACTTCCGTGTGCACCCCTCGCTCAGCTGATGTGATCCCGGCCGATGGCGTGGACCCGCGAGAACCAGTGGGACGCGGTGCGGCAGCCTTGATAAAGGATTCCCATATCTGCTTCCCGACAAAACACACCATGCATGGTCGCAGGAGCACGATCTTGCGTAACAGTGCCGGCACACCGGCGGTATACTCGGTGTCTGCTAGCTCAGCTGCCTGTTGACTTAATGAGAAGACGGAGGAGGGCATTGGGCACGCCGCATACCTGTGTGCTCGGTCTTTCCACAAGGTTCGTCTGTTCACAACAGCCGCATGAATATCAGCATAGACGTAACAGCCAAGACCTGGCGCACCAAGCCGAGCTGGTAGCTCTCAGGGAGTATTCCGTCTTCCGTCGCATCCAGAAGCCGGTCAGTAAGCTCTGCGAGATTTTAAAAGTCACTCGGTGTCGATGCGGCATGCGTGTCCATTCAACTGACGTGCACCATGCAGACACCTCCAGAAGTGGTTCGTAGGGTGGGCGAAATGGTGCCCAATAGTCGCAGACCTCTTCCCTGGACTAGAGATATATTAGTACCGCTTCAAGCGTCCCTCGCCCGACCGTAGCGTACTTGATACCGCAAAACATAACTAGAGCGAGCGAAGGTCAGCACGTGTCAAGTGTATCGTTCCGTTCCTGGGCTCACCGTCTAGCTTATCTGGCTCTGTTCCAAGGTGGTCGTTCAACGCATTGAGATGCGCATATTTTTCAGGGGGCGCCACCATAACTTTAGCTCGTGGAGGTTTACGCTCCGCGTCCTCGACCTTCGCCTTCTTAACAGCTGGACTGGACGCGGCACGACTTGCAGTCCGTTTCTTCGGCGGCCGGCGTTCCGCTGGCAACGAAGGGAGTTCGGACTCTGCTTCCTCTGATTTGACAAGGTCGCCATTTTTGCGCGGAGACCGCCGCAAGGACGGCGTGGACTCTGCGTCGAAGCGAAAACGGAAAAGCGCGTCACGGAGGAGCTGGGTCGGGGTGTTGGCGCTACTCTCGACCTTTACGGAGGGCTCAATTTCTTCGACTTCTGTCGCCATCGTGTATAAGTGGATGAAGGGTAGAAGGTGTGCAGTCGTAGGCAGAATGTATATGAAAATTGGTCAGTGGTTGAAGAGAGAGAGAGAAGAGGGAGGGAGCAATTGGAACGCCGCGGCGTCATATTCTCGCATAGACGCTCATCCCCACGGGGTAGATCTCGATCGTCTCACCTTAAGGCGGATGGTGAGCCTGAACAGGCGCTTTCCTTTTTTTAGACATATCGGCGCTTAGATCGTGGACTTGTGGGTTGCGCGAAGAGGACCCGCCGTTCGTGCTCCCTCCCCTCCCTCGCTGCGCTCGGGGGGTCCCCCGAGCCGGGAGCACTCAGGCGGGCACGCTAAAGCCTCGTTCGCGCTTTTAATACAGACCGGCTCCCTTTGAGGGGGAAAGTCCTGAATTTCGGTTACCTAAGCTTACTTCCTAACCTAAACTACCTAACCTCAACAACCTAACCTTACTAACCTAACCTTACTAGCCCAACCTTACCTACCTAACCTTAACGCGGCGTCGCCGCCGGGATTCGAACTTACGACCCGCAAAAAAGCAGCGCAGCGTTAACCGCTGCGCCATCACACCTTGCAAATCTTATCTTGCACAGCATTTATAGCAGCATCCGCGGGGAACCTGCCTTTTTTAGTAGTGGTGCAATCTTATCTTGTCATCCGAAAAAGGAAAGCGCCTGTTCAGGCTCACTCTCCCCTTAAGGCTATCGACCTCCAACCTTCAAAAAGTCCGTGAATTCCCATTTCCCCCTCCCCCTCCCCCGGCAATTCCCGGTCCCGGTCCGGGGGAGTCGGCCCATTAGGCGCCGACGCCACATGCCCTCCCCATCTCACCATCGTCTCCTTCTGTCGTGTTCGTTTCCCTACCGAATAGAAGATTGTTTATGTTGAAGTTCACCGTTGGTGTGCTGCGCCCCCTCAACCACGACCACAACCATCCTCTTGCCATGCAGGCCCCGTTCATCCGCTTTGTTCCAGGCGACAAACCTCCTCGTGCAGAGTGCATCGAGAACGGCTGCACCATCAAGAACGTAGCTCAAGCGTGCGGCCACAAGCGATGCAAGAGGCACTGCCTCCTCCAAGCTGCACCGTGCGGCCAGTCAGGGCATGATGTGGCAAGACGGGCAGGAACACTTACCGCCATCCCGCAGCCGCTCGATCCATCCAATCTAGCACACCCACCACCAGTCATTCCACTGCTCCCCGTTGCCGCCATTTCGCTCACGCCGCCGTCAACCAACCCTTCCAACACGGCAGTTTCTGAGGACATGGCTGCAGGCTCTCAAGACCCTCCCTCTCGCAACTTCCGCATACCGATGCCAAGTAGCTTCCAGGCCGACTGGGATGCACGGACGCAAGCTCAGAACACCAAGCGGCAAGCAGAGGAAGAGCGCCGCAAGCATCTTGCGCTCCTCAAGCAGGAGTATACGGTGAACATCTGGGTCCAGGTGCGTTGTCAGCCAGTTCCCCGTGCATATGGTACTGATACCATTCCAGAATGGCCAAGCCCCCAACGTGCACAACCGCCAAGGCTCTCCTACATGGCCGACAGTCACCTTGGCATCTCTGACGGACATCGTAGGGCCCTTGGGCCTCACTCCCTCCACGGCTATCGAACGCTACCATATCCCGTCTCGCACCTGGAGACGCGAGCAGGTCCAGACGGTCATCAAGGCCACTAATCAGGACAACCTTCTGTTCCGCCTGGTTGGGGTCACGGATTGCCGCGGCCTTGACCAGTTTTGCATTTTGGCCGGTCAGCGCACGCAGCTCACAACTAGTGAGCCCCCTACCACATCCCTTCCATCCGGCTCTTCTGTGCTTCCGTCTTCAATGTCTTTGTCTGCATCTTCGCTTGCCTCTCTAGCATCACTCATGTCTCTGGTCTCTGCCACGTCTGCCATGTCTATCACCCCGGCCGACAACACCCCCACCACTCTCATCCCAACTACGTCAGCAATGTCTATCACGCCTGCAGACAGCATCCCTGCCGTGTTAGCTCCACCATATGAGCACCCCATCACGACGCAAAGCAGTCCGTCACCGTCACCACCCCCCTTCCTGGAGCCGCCTCCTCCCCCGTCATTTCCAGCTACACAGGCTGCTGTCTTGTATACAGCCAATCTCCCCTCTGAACACGCTGCTACTGACTCAGCTCCTGGTCCTGACGATCTGGATTATCTATGGCTCACGGGGACTGTCTACACTCCACCGCTCGATAAGAAAGCCTGGCCGGCAGGGATCTACGCTCGCGATATGGCACAAGCATTCTCCATGCTGGGCAACACTGGGGACGACACCGGCCTCAAGGAACGCTTCGAGTACGTCTTCCGAGGACGTCCGTTCAAGTCTGCCACATACCACGCGCAGCGTTTCGCGTGGATTCACTCCACTCAGGAACAGCGCGAGTGGGTCATGGGGCTGCCCCGCACGAAGGAAGGGCTGTGGACGAACTGTCGTAGGAAGCTCACCGGGTGGAAGCAACTTCCAGCCCACCAGTAGACACGCTGTGACGCTATGTGAATGATGCCAACTCGATTTGTGTTTTTAGATCCACTTCCATTTAAATTCAATTCGCGCTCAATCTGGCGGTCGACTGTCACATGCGGCGACCTCGGCCGGTGTAAATCTAAACTGGATTGCAGATCGTGAAGGGGCGCCACAGAAGGGTGACCATCGAGCCACACCGCGTTCCAATTCACCCTTCTGTGAACAGTGCAGCGCACTATAAGAGAGTGCGCAACGTCGGGGGATCCACCAGCATCCCCTTCCTCCCCCGTTCTCTCAGCGTCCTCCACCCCCCCAGCGTCCCCCTGCCTCTCCCGCTCACGTCTCCACTGTGGTACCACCATCCCCTCCACCTCAATTCTAGCGGCAACACCCGTTCACTTCTCCACTACACCATGGCTCGTCGCCGAGTATCTGCCCTTACCGCTGCTCGCAAGAGGTGGGGACCGCTAACCAAGGCAAAATGGCCTTGTGGGCTCTGTCCGCGGTTCATGAAGCCCCGTGTCTGCAAGAACCCCAACTCCCCAAACTTCGGGCGTGTGTTTTGCTCCGTAAGTCTGACTATGCGTTACCTTTGCGCACAAAGCCTGATACATATCCCAGTGCCATCCCCACAGCCTCAGCGGTGAAGAAGAACATGCACAATACTACCGGTTCTGTAACGACCTGATTGTCGACGGCGAAACCCCACCCACAAGCCCATCCGCCTCTGATGACGAAGACACTGAGAGTCTACCGACCCCCACTACCGCTCGCAATAAGGGAAAACAACGCGCACGGTCCTCCCCTCCACCCCCCCGCAACAAAGGGAAGCATCGCGCGCAGTCTTCCCCAGCCGTCCCCTGCAGCAAAGGCAAGCAACGTGCTCCCCGTGCAGCCACACCAGGTCCGCGCGCACAGTGCAGCATCACCTCATGCACCTCTACTCGTGTCGCGACGGACTGTGAGCATGGGCGGTGTGCTAAGCACTGCGCATTCGCCGGAGGTTGCTCCGAACACAAGGCGGTCTCTGTGGACGTTCTTGCGCAGCTCGGACTCACTCCGAGCTCTTCTCTCACTCTCTCTGATGGGCTGGTCTCGGCTGCTAGCGACTTGGGCTCTGGTGCTAAATCATCCTCTGGTGGTGCGTCCTCGCAGGCTAGTAGCTCCCAGTCTAGTCCTAGATCGCAACGTATGGCCGCCATCGCCGCCCTTTTCGCAGAAGACGCAGAGGACGCGGCCCCTCCCTCAGAAGTCCCTCCCCCAGCCTATGCCAAGCGAGCACGGTCCCCCGAGCCCGCTGGTGCAGATGACTCGCCTCCACGCAAGGCAGCCCGCCGCCTCCCCTCCGACTGCTTGCGTCCTGAACATCTGGGCTGTGAAGACTGTGAGCATTCCTCTGATGGCGAATATGACCGGCTCCTCGCCCGGACGCACGCACAGCTGCAGTCGGACAAGGAGAAACGCTCGCCGTCGTTTGATCCCCCGGTATTCAGCCCCGACCTCCACCTGGACCGCCGGTTCCAGCTCGACATGGCTGCCGCCCTCAAGGCGTCCATCCTCGACATGAAGTCCGCATCTCCGGATCTGCGCATCAATATGCCGGTTGCATCTACATCCTACTCTACTGCCATGTCGTACATGACAGCCGACCACCAAGCCCCCGCCCTCCTACTCCCTGCTCGGTTTTCACACACATCCGCTATCATCCTCCCCGCCGTCGCCTCATCCTCGAAGGGGCCCGGCTCTCTCTTACATCCTATCGACCTCACAGCCTCTCCGCCCGCCACCAAGCGCGTGTTCAAGGCTCGTATTAAGATCGAGCACGTTGACATTGATCTCACTTTGGACAGCGACTAGCGTGGAGGCACGAGGGGGGCAGAGCAGTATTCTATTTGTTGTCTAGAGCATTGTAAATACCATAAGATTTGTAACATGCAGACATTTTTCTACAAGCCGTTGCCTCCTGCCCATGCTGCCTGCCGCTGTGTAAAAGTAACCTCGCCCTGCCTAGATAATGCAGAACCCGACCGATGCACGCGCGTGACAAAGTATGGATAGGATTCAACGCACTACGAGAACGAGGACGCGCCACGAGGAACGAGGAATGAGGATGCGCCATGTGACGAGGATGCGCCGTGCAATGACAAGGACGCACCACGGGGAACGAGGATGCGCCGTGTGACGAGGATGCGCTGTGCGACGAGGATGTGCCGCGGGATGAGAAAGGACGCGCCGCAAAAGACGAGGTGAGGTTACGACGGCCACACACTCACCCGGGCACGCACATCTTCGATGCGGCGCGCATCACCAGTCTTGCAAGAGCACCGAGGGGTGCGCCGTACTCGCCAGAGCCGCCGGGGACAAGTATCATACTCGTGCTGCCGTCCACACGTCTTCGAGCCACTGGGACAGCTCTAGTGTGTGTGAGAGCAAGGTGAGGTCCCGCTCAGCCTCGTCGTACTGCGTTCACGTGGGTGTGATGAGTACGACGCGGACGAGTGAGTGACGGGGTGCTTGTATGCGAGGATGGCGAAGGGCCAGCACCGGAGCGTTGCGGGGATGTGAAACGACGTCCGGGGCCGTGTCCAACACAGTGTACACCGGTTGACGAGCGGAGGGTGCATATGAGGGCGGCTGCGGAAACTTCAGATCCCAGCCTCACTCTTAACCAGGACACGGAGGGCAGAGCAGACAGAAGGGGACGCGCAGGGGAGGCAGATGAGGCGGAAGTAGGAGGCAGATGAGGGGCAAGAGCGAAAACAGTGAGGGGGAGTATGTGGGCGAGGGCCCATTTCAAACCGCAGTGGCGGGCCCGATCCCAAAAGTTAAAACCACGTTGGTGGGCCCGATCCCAAACCCACGTTTCCGGGCCCGATCTCCCAACACCGGCCCCAGACTCATCAAGCCCATCACGCATACCTACCCACTCTGCTCTTCTCCACCACCACCACGTCCGCACAACCACGCAAACACAAGCCGACAGCCCCCGCAGCGCGCCGCCACATCATACCCTAGCGGCTCGTGCAAACATCCACGGACAGGCGCCATCGCCTACGATCCGCGAGCAGACAACGACGTGACAGCGAGGACACGGACAAGGACGCGCCTCACATCTGCCCCACCACGCATGTGCCCCACCACATAGGCACTACGACGACGACGGCTACAAATGCGGCTCAACTAGAGTGTAAGGTACGCAGACACCACGTTGACTTTGTGCGCGCCGAGACTCACCGCGCCCACAGCGCTGCCTCCCCAACAAAGCGACGGGGAGCACAGATGTGACGGCAGGATGTCCCTACAGGCTACGTCCGTATTGCGAGGAGGCAGACGGGGTGCGTCGCGCCGGGTGCCCCGATGCTCGCGTGGCAGTGAGCAAATTTTGGCCTGCAGGTCCTTCTCGCCGCCGGAGGCAATGCCGCAAGAAGAGACCTACAATGGCCGAACCTTATGAGGACGACAATGAGCTCAACATACCCCAAGGACCACGACACTGCATGGCACTCGCTGACGTGCAACACTCGCAATGCACAAACCGATTAGCCAACCACCGACCCCCTCCCCGCCGCCTTCCGTGTCATCCCCGGGAATGCGCTGCACCTCGCTCATCAGCGACGACAGGCCGCGCCACGCTCACAGACACCCTGGAGGACACACCGACGCAGGTCTGGCACGGTCGGGAACCTGTGGGATATCAAGGTATGCCTTCCCCCGCTTTGACCGCAGCGATGAGCACATGCTAACGACAGAGCTGGAAGGCGGATGGCCCAGTGTGCGAGACACTGCATACACCGCGTGGGGGTCGAGCTCGTAGTCGAGGACACCCCTGATGCAGGCTGGACGGACAAACGCAGGCGCACCCCAACGCAGACAAACGCAGACAAACGCAGGTGCACCCCGATGGGGATGACACGGACGCGCCCGAATGACCTGCGGCGACCCGACGCAGACAAACGCAGGTGCACCCCGATGGGGACGACACGGACGCGCCCGAATGACCTGCGGCGACCCGACAAGCCCAGACGCGGACACTGCGGATGGTGCGAATGACGAGGGCGTAGGCCACCATCCGACCCCTAGTGCGCCGGTGCCCGAGCCCTTTGACATCGACGACCTGTACGCAGACGCTGACGAGGCAGCCCTTGAAGCCCACGCAGCGGACGCCCAAGCCTAAGACGAGGACGGGTCGAGCGATGAGCGCTCGCCATCCCCTCCGTCCGCGACTCTCCGGACACATGTGGACTGGAACTGGCCCCCCGCGTTTCCTGGACGCGTCGCGACACGACCGGGGCACATCGAGGGCCTTGACCGCGAGGCCTTCGACATCCGAGGACATCGAACAAGAAGCCGACGACCCCACCGCAAACTCCGAGCAGCGAGACGTGCCTGCCGCCCCCTCCGTGCTCGAGTGCACCCGCTCGTCGTCCGACTTCCCACCCCCGATATCGGCAAACCCGGACGTGCCGGACCCCGCCAGTCTCTCCCACACGCCGCGCTTTCCCGCGAGCCCGGAGCCAGCGCGGTCGTCGCCCAGTGCGGAGGGGCACGATGCGAACTCGCTCCCCGCGAACGCTGTGCTGCACCCGCTGTTCCGCAAGCTCGCGGCAGAGACGCGCACGCGTAGCCTGAGTGAGTTGTTCACCCCACTTCGCTCCCAGCCCCTCTGCGGTCCCCCGACAATGCCGACACGCCTCCCTGCCACGACAATGCCCTCCTGCCGCGACAACGCCTCCCTGCCGCAATGGCGCCTCCTCTGGCCCCGACGCCGCTGACATCTGCGCCGTGGCTGCGCATTCACGCCCGACACGCCTCCCTGACGACGCCTCTGCGCAGACACGCCTCCGATGCGCCAACTAAGATGTGCGACACATCGCCCACGCCCCGCCCCCATCCATCCTCCAGCCCGCGCCCCGCGCCGTCTCCCGCGCCGCCAGCTACACGCGACGTGTCCCCCGACCCCGCGCACTCAGCACACGCGATCCAGGCGCGATCCGGGCGGGCTCCAAAACCCGTCTTCAGCGCGGTTTCGGCGGTGCGCCTGCGCCGAACTCACCTCTTGGGCGCGCAGAGGAGCGGCGTGGCGGGCTGATGCGCCACTGAGAGGACGCGTCGCGGCGCGGGCGAGCGCGTGGGGCGGGGAGCGGTGTCAGCAGCGCGTGGGGCGGGGAGCGGTGTCAGCAGTGCGGCCGGCCGCCTCAGGCGCACTCGGATGGCCGCGGCGAGCGTAGTCGTGACGACGCGGGCTTGCGGGCATCTCCCCGGCCGCGCGGGCGTCCAGTCTGCAACTCGGAGGGGGGCGGGGCACCTTCCTTGCCGCGTGGAGGACCGGCGAGCCTGGCAGGTATGTACGCCCCTGCGCCGCCTAGGCTGCACTTCGAACTGACTCGATCTCGACGGTGTTGGCCGTGGCGTACATACCGCGAGCGCAACACGATGTAGAGGCGGCCTCCCGGACAAGGGTGCGGGAGACGTCCTGATACCATCGCGCTACGAGACGAGGGCGCCGCGAACCCATCCCTGGAAGCCGAACACGCCCGCACACTGGGGTCGCCATCGTGAGAAGCACGAGGACGGAGACGAGGTCGCCATAGACAATCAGGGGCGGATGTGACTACAAGCGCATGGAGAGCGACAAAGCGGAGGCCAGCACGAGCGAACACGGAGCACCGCACGCGCACAGGGACAGCGACACGAGCGGAGGCGGTTATCAGGTGGCGAAACAGGGAGGAGAACAATCAGCGGGTACCAGCGGGATGCCAATGGGGCACGGAGAACGGGTCAAGGGTAAGTAGGGTATGGGCGCTTCATGACCCTCCCATCCTGCCACTGACCCTCTTCCGACCTTCTACCCTCCACCTACCACAGAAAAAGAAAAAGGCACCGTGGAGGAGCGCAGGGCATAGTCCGGCCGCAGCCCCAGCCCCACTGCGATCTGTCTCACCCGCCGCAGCCGCCGCACCGACGAGAGCCGTCTCACCCGCCGCGGCCGCCGCACCGACGAGAGCCGCGACGCCGGGGTTCGTCAGCCCGCGTCGAGCTGAGCCCTGCACACGAGCCCGAGGACGGCGTTGGGGAGGACGGCCCTAAAGCGTGGGGTGCATAAGTAATGCGGAATGCGCGATGGACGCGTGCGCACGTCCGTACCTGCCGGGCCCTCTGTCCCCTGCCTCCCTGCCGCTGCTTGGCGCATCGCAATGTCGACCTGCGTGCCGCCCACCAACCGTCTCATCTCCTCGATGCGCACGCTGCGTGCTTCTTGCCTGCTTCGTATCGTGCCGCCGACCTCGAGCAGGCAGACATTCGTCGCACGGGTATGCAGACATCCCGCCCCCGCTCTGACCCCTCCCTCAGCAACGCGTGACGGGCTCGTAGAGACGTCCGCAACCTGCCGGGCCCAAGGAGATCCCGCCTGCCCGACGCAGACGACCTTGCCAGCGCCGCGGAGACGACGTCGTGGAGCGCAGGTGCGTCCGCCTGCTTACCTCTCACAGCCGACTTACGCTCGCGGAACGCGCCCGCAGCTCGAGACTCGTCCTGTAGACCCGACGAGCCTGTGCACGTCCGGCCGGTGAAAGGCGCGTCGCGTCGCGTCATGCGGCACGCAGGACACTCCCGATCAGCGCGACGCACATTCTTGCGCGCCCGCGGCGGCGGTACGCGACACGCCTCATTGCCGTCGCCGATCTGTCCTCCTTCATCCCGAGCGCGCTCGTGCGCGTCGGCGTGTCGTCTCGCCATCTCCCATGTACGAGACTCCCTAGAGCTACGTCGCGCCGTCTCCCCCCAGCGAATCATTGCCGCCGCCGCCGCCGTTGAACACCCAGGAGGCCGTTCTCACCGCCAGGCGACTCTGGGAGGCCTTCCGTGCATCTCGCAGTCGTGATGCACACGATGTGACGTGTATGCCGCCCGCACGACGTCGTGAACCTCGGCGTGCGAGCTACACGTGTGGCCGGCCACGGAACGCGTCTCGCGCGCGGACAAGCAAAACGTCAACCGCCAAGTCCAGCAGCGCGTCATCGCACCTCGCGCCGCGCGATCGCCTTCCCCTCGCTCGCATCGTAGGCTAGACATGCACATGACGACTTACCTACTGTCCGAGAACTCGCGAGACAACGTCGCGAACGGCCGCGCCCTCCGGTGCCAGACTCTGTCCTCGCGGGAGGCCGCGACGACGCTAAACTCGAGCTCAACGGTGCGCCGGCGCGCTCTTTCTCGGTTCCAGGCGGCCTTCTCGCCTTTCCGAGAAGAGGCAGCAGCAACGCGGCGGCATGCGTCGCCCACGAGTGCACGGTGGGGCTCAAAGACCGACACTCGACGCAGCATCGTATAAAGGCTCAGCGACGTGCGGACGATAGCCCCAGTGCCCCCGTACTCTCTCCCGCAGTCGTCCCCGCGCACTACCCTGCTCCCCGCCCGCCGCCATGCAGCTCTTCGCCACCGTCGCCGCTGCCCTCGCGCTCTTCGCCGCGCCGATCTTCGCCGCCCCCGCCGCGTCCCTCCACACGGTGGAGAAGTTCGCGGGCGCGACGAAGGCGCGCTCGTACATCGTCAAGCTCCGGGACGGCGCGCCCACGAGTGCGCGGCGGGGCTCAAAGACCGACACTCGACGCGTGCACCTCCAGCTCGTCTGTTCAAACGTAGAGCAGGGGCACGGGCGCGCGAGCGCGTCCCCGCGGGCGAAGGCGAAGGCGCAGGACGTGGGCGTGGGCGCGCGCGTCCGTGCACAGTAAGTGTAGCGGTAGATACCGGCGGGGCGTGGTGTGGCGACGCCCGAGATCAGAGCCAGAAGAGCGCTGCGGGCGGGTGGGAGAGCGTGAGAGGGGGCGTGGCAGGCAAGTGAGAGGTATACATATCTATGTAGGAATATACGTACACGGCAATCTACAACTACAATGAAACATTCGTGCCTGCAAACCTGATATCATCGCGATAACCCGGAGTCCAGCCCTCGGCCTCCAATTTCGCCCGTGTGAGTTCGTTCTTCCTCAAGATCATCTCGTCGAGGAAGAACTCGTATTTTACCGCACCCATTTCCCGTACAATGGCGTGATAACCGCCGAACCACACGTTCGTCTGCTCGGCACGGGAGGAATTGAAGTACCACGAACGGTCGCCGTTGAGAAGCTCCGGAAACATGTGTGGGTTGCAATGGAAAGAACACTCAACGTCCGTCTTCTTGTGTTTGCATTTCCAGTGGAATACGTCTACCGGGAGGCCGATGCGGGTGTGGAGGTCCTCCCCAGCGGTGGCTGCACAGTGCTTGTAGAGCCCACAGTTATTGTCATAGTAAACGAACCGCGGCATCGACCCCGGAATGAGATGCTTCTTATGCAACATGTCCTGGTGGACGTCAGCATATGTTGCATGAGACAGTAAACCACTCACAAGAACCTGCGGCGTAGTCTCTGCCCCATAGAAAGTTTCCCGGGCAGTGATGATGCCGCACGGCCGCACGATGAGTTGCTCGTTGTGCGTACGCCGACGACCAAAGCGTGCGCGGACACGTCGGTTCCCGTCAACAGGCTTCTCCGGACAAGGGCCATCGAGAGTGTCGTCGAGATCGACATCCTCTTCGACCGGGGCATCGGGTTCGATGGCATCTGTTGGATGTGTGACTTGGGCACGCTGAAGACGCATTCGCAGGGTAAAGAGCGCCTGGCCAGTAGCAACGTGGTGGTCTTCAACAGCGGCATGTGAGTCGCAGGTCCGAAATCCTTGGCGATGGGCGTAGCAACAGCCGTCGACGACGCAGAACGCGGCCTGATGGACATGACGCGCGCACCAGTGATCCTGCGGCGTGCGAAGTGGCTCCCGACAATTTTGAACGCCGCAACAGGGCCGTCCTATGCTAATACCATCGGTTACGATGCAGTCGACGAAATCTGCACGGTAAATTAGCAGGTGCAAGGCGTGTCAGTCGCAGGACGTACGCGGACCGCTATCATCGTCGAAACGCCGGTGGCATTTCTGACACCAATGAGCGTACTCCGGCTGGCCCGAGAATTGAATGCGCCGATTGCGGGCGATCATGGCATCCTTGAAACGCTCCTGCTGGTCGCCACTGTTGGGGACTTCAAGGACGCTGCCCCGGTCCTTTGCATCACGTAACAGGGCGAGGAGGACAAACCCGTCCGACGTATGTTCTGTACGAAGCTGGAAGCGGGGGATGTCACGGGCGTCGGAGGGCAGGTGTGACATTGACTCGTGGTAGATGTGGGCGGTATTTGTGGATGACGTCCAAGACAGAACGGATAGCATTGTGAAGTGCTCGAGAAGAGCGTTTTCGATGTATGTGTGGTCGGCGACCTGTACGTAGTCGGGGATACCCTCATAATATTGTCGCACATCACCACGGACGACGTAGTTTGGGTAGTACGTTGCCCGGCACTCTGGGAGGTTTGATTAGCATTACACCATCTGCATTGGATAGACTGTGCGCGTACTCCTGCAGCTGGTCGCCACCGCGAACCCCTCAAACACCCCACTCGCAAGAGAGAACATGGTCACCCGCTTCGGATCTTCCCATAATCGAAGAACGCGACCGTGGCTAGGGCATGACGGGTCGGTGCAGACGGTGGTCGCGGGGTAAAGCATGTGATCAGCTAGACGGCAATGACATGAGTATGAAGAATACATAAGGGAGAAAGAAACGTACATAGCACAGACTCATCGTCTGCACTAGATCCGTCTCCCTGGCCAGGAGGCACCTCGCACTCCTCCTCGAGTAACAAGGAGCCATGCTCCCAGATTGACTTGCCCAAGGCTGCCCATAAGCGCTTTACACCACTTTCTGCCGTGCCAAGATGACCCGCTAGGAACGACAAGACGTGCCGTGGCAGAGACTCGGAGTCGGGAATAGTGTGTGGTTGCCATCTAGCCTTTTGCCGATGAAGGATGACCGGCTTTAGTATGACTGCCAGCCGGACGAATTTGATGAGCGAACACAGAGATACAAGGCGTAATTCTTCGCAGCTAGTAAGGCATTGTAGTAGAGAGGCCAACGCGATCATCGTACAAGAGGAGTGTACACTACCAGGAGGACCGCGGCAAGAACAACACTGGCAGACCGTTCTACGATCCTATTGGCTGGAAATGCGGGCGCCAATATGACGGCGCCTAAACGGGGGATCGGGAGGGGGAGGGGGAGGGGGTTTTCGGAATTCGCGGATGTTCTCCCAACCTTCGAAACCTTCAAAAAGTTATACAAGGGGGCAGATGGGTCAAAAAACGGAGCAGTGTGATTTGGGGGTGCGGGTATGAAGGTAGTACGAGTACCGGAGCAGTGTCCATACGGGGTGACAAAGGGTTATCAACATAGGTAGATCAATATCTGGCAGCAGTGTCCGACGCCTATATCTTCAAGTATACTCTCCAGCATTATCCGACCGCGCATCTTGCTTTCTACTTACACCTTGATCCTTCTGACCTCGTACCGGACCTTCTCCGCGTCGCGCACGAGCACGAGCACCTTGCCCGCGCCGTCCTCCCAGTGGTCGACACGCCGCAGCTTCGGGCACTTCCACGCGAGCACCGCCGCGACCTCGTCGTTCTTGCGCACACGGCTCCGGTCGGAGAGCGACAGCACCGCGCCGTCCGAGGTCGCGACCTCGTAGAAGAAGCGCACCCCGTGGAACGTCGTGAGCTCGCTGAAGTTGGCGAGCACGTTCGCCCATTCGGTCTACAATCCAAGGAGCAGTCAGCTCCCATGACCGGGCGTCGCGTATGCATACTGAGACTTACGAAGTGGGAGGACACGTTCGCAGGCTGGGCCACCTTGCTCGCGGGCCCAGCCGCCGCACCGTTGGCCGCTCCCTCTTTCTTGCCGAGGTCGAGCCAGGTCAGACGCGGCACGCACTCCGCGAGCCTCTTGACGTCCTCCATATCGTTCCACCCCGCGAGCTCCAAGCGGCGCACGCTCGCGCCATGCAGCTTCAGATTCTCCAAGAACAAACGGTCCCGCGGCGACCCGCTCAGCCGCACGCCCTTCAGCGTCTCCAGCGGGCGGGCGTCGGCGTCGGCGTCGGTGGGGCAGGCCAGGAGCGCGCTCGCGAGGTCCCTTCCGGCCTTCAGCTCGCGCAGGCGCGGCAGACAGCCTGTGGGGAATTTGAACGTCGCGAGCGCGCCCCCGCCGGCCTGCCCTCCCGCTCCGAACGCGACGTCGAGGTGGAGCACTTCCAGGTCGACGTGCGCGAGGAGGAATGCGGCGGCCGCGTCCAAGCCTGCGTCGGGGGTGCACCATAGACTCGTCAGTGTGAGCGAGCGCAGGCGCGTCCAGCGGCCGCAAAGCAGAAGGTCGTCTGCGACGGGGTTGAAGAAGCCGGGGGCGCGACGGGGTACGTAGCTGATCGCAAGCGTCTCGATATTCGGGCAGCCGTTGAGCATCGCGGAGATCTGCGCGAGGTCGGGCTCCTTGGACGCGCCGAAGGTGCTCTTCGCCCCGTGAAAGCCCGCCTTCTTGAGATCGCGCAGCTACACAGTAGATCTGGTGTTCAGCCCGCGCTCACGGCGCATCGCGTAGACGGACATACCACCAGCTGGCCCGGTTTCGCGGACGCGCCCTCCTCGGGCTCGGATTCGGATGCGTCTTCGTGCGCCGTGGGCTGGAACACGAGGTTGTCGTGCACCTCGACCTCCTCGATGCTCCCGCACTTAGCAAGGACGGGCCACACGCTCTCGAACGCGACGAGCGAGTGTCCGCACTCCCACTTCACCGATGTGAGCGCCGTCATGCGCTCCAGCGCCCTGATCAGCCACCGCTCCTGCTTCACATGCATCCCCAGCTCGTCCTCCGTCGACTCCAGATCCGTCTCAGTCAGCCTAATCCCCGCGGGCACGACCTCCCTCCCCGCCGGCGCGCGCTCGTTGAGCACCTCCAGCCTCCTCACGTTCCGCGCCAGCGCGCGATGCACAACAAGATGGTGCCACACGCGCACCGCGCTCGCCTTCGCGCGCACGACCCTATACTCCGCATGCCGCGGCACCACGACCTCCCACATGCGCCGGCACGTCCCCGCGAGCGCGCGCAGGTCGCGTGGGCCGTCGACCCAGAACGCGACCGCGTCGAGGATCTCGGTCGGCAGCCGCACGAGCGTGCGCCGCGCCTTGCACGTGCACCCACAGGTGCAGGGGGCCGTGTCTTGCACGAACGGCTCGACGATCCCGAGCAGGTGCACCGCGAGGCGGTGTTCCTCGGGCGCGAGCTTGTATTGGGCGCTGCCGGGGCGCGCGGGGAGGGCGGAGAGGAGCTGGCGGAGGGTCGTGAGCGCGGCGAAGGGGTCCGTGCGGTCGTGCGCCGCGACGTTGGTGTCGACCGGGTGCAGGGCGCGGACGCCTGCCTTCGCCTTCGGCTTACCGGGCTTCGCCTTTGAGTTCGCGTTCGGGGCGGCCTTCGCGAAGCCCGAGAGAGCCAACGAGGTGGTGCTCGCCGAGCTAGGACCAGGGGACGTGTGTTTAGCCTTCGAGCCCGGGTTCGACACGGATGTAGGAAGACGGCCGCGAGCAGCTGCTTTCCGCCCCGAGCCGGTACCGGCGGGAAGGGGGCGGATTGAACCAGTTGTGGAAGACATAGATGCGCCTTGTGGACGCGTCTAGTCAGACGAGCGCAAACTGACGGGGCAGATGCGCTCGAGAGACAGATACGATATGGCGAGAGCAAAGAGGCGCACTGGTAGCTGGGATTGCGGGGGACGTCCTGGGAGTGGGCTGAAGCCTCGGAGCCGAGCTCGATGAGGCGTGATCGCCGTCGATGTCGATGACTCCTCGGCTCCCAGGCTAGCTGTGCACGCTAATTACTCCGCTATCGACGCGTGGAAAAGTTCACAAATGGGTGGTCAGTGCGTCCGCGTCAGTACTAGTACTGGTATAAGTATGTATTTTAGCTTCGCGTTGCATGGTCAGAGCAACTTCTGGATACGACCGTCGACGAGGAGTACACATCCCACCAAGTACTTTGCGCGTGATTCCGCAACCGAGCCGTTATTGACGAGGTCTGTATTAGCAGGTTCTCAAGACTTGCAACCTGGCTAATTTATTTCGTCATAACATAGATAGTACGGTTGGGCTCAGCAATAAGAACAATAACGGTGAGTGCGGTAGCATGGGGTGCGAGGAAGAGCTGGTAAGACGCGTCACGTCGCGTCGCGGTACGCGATCACGTGATCGAGAAGCGCACCCGAGTTGCAGCGCTGACGCTGGCGCAAGGGTACCCTTGCCAGTACGAGCAGCCCGCAATCAACGCAGACGTTTTGAATATCCGAGAGATCCGTGCATGTCATTAGCGAAACATCCATGAGCAACGAAACACATCAAAGCATTACAGAGGAGGGAGGGCCACCGCAGACACCGCCGGGAATACCAAAATAAGTACGCGCATCCCAAGCGCAGAGTCGCTATCGTGCAAGGCAGAGCGGCGGTACCCACAAAACTGCAGGCCTAAGTCTGTCCGAGCCGCCCCAGGCCACACCGTACTCGTACTATACATCCATGTCGTGAGCGTAACAAAAAGCAGCACGTCCCAGCCGCCGATGGCCAGGGGTATACCATCGGCGCAACAAGCAAACAGCGAGAATCCCTAGAGCCGTCTACACTCTACGCGGAGGCGACGAGCGGGCGTGGGGTATCCTCCGCGCGGTCCGACACGCTGCCCTTCTCGATGCTCTCCGTGCGCGTCGCCGGCGCATCCGCGGCGCCCTCCTCCGCGGCCCCGTGCTTCAGGTCGTCCACGTACACCATCTTCTCGTCGCCGTAATTCGTCTCCTTCACGGTCCGGAGCACGAGGTACGCGAGCGGGATCGACGCGAGCATCAGGATCCACGACGCGAGGTGCTCGTTGAGGAACGGCGTCGAGACGGCGTCCATGCCGAACGAGCCCGCGGAACCGGCGGACTGGAGTGCCTTGTACAGGCCAGCGTACCGCGCGAGCTTGAAGGGGTCGTTCGTGAGCGCGGACATGATCCAGTACGCGAGCGCCTGGTAGCACGCATCGGAGAAGTAGTCTGTGCAGTTCGTTAGCACTTACACACACGGGAGGAGATACGGTGGGGTACGTACAGAAGAAGAAGAGCGCGCCCTTGCCCTTGTAGTTCGCGTCATGGTAGTTGATGCGGTTCGCGTCGCTCACGTCCGCGCGCGTAAACGTGACCTGCCACGAGAGACTGACCGCCCACACGATGACGACGAGCACGGTGACGACGGCCAAACCAAGGAGCCCGCGCGTGCGGCGCCGCAGGAACTTGAGGTCGAGGCAGAAGTACCCGATCATGAGCGCGCCGACGATCGCGCCCGCGCCCTCGAGCGTCGCGTTGAGTGCACGCGTCGGCCCGTCGAACATGTTCGTGTTGATCGAGCCCTGGTACGCGTAGAAGTAGTTCGACGCGAAGAACATCGGCACGAGTGCTGCGGCGGGGTGGGGTGAGTGGGGGGTGCGTAGGGCGGGGTTGGCGCAGACGTACCGAGCATGCGCCAGTCCTTAAAGAGGCGGATCATGCCGACGACCTCTTCGTGCGGCTTGGAGAACGCCTCGAGCTTGACGATGGTGCCGTCGGACCGGACGACCCTGTTGGGCGGCAGGATCAACCACGCCGAGGCGACACCAATGAAGATGATGACCAAGAACGCCTGCGGACGCCCCAGCATCAGCGCACGTCCTCACAAGAGGAACTGCACTTACGATGTACGTCGAGGTCGACACGGCGGAGAGGCCTCCGCTCTCGATGTTGATCGCGAGGGCGATGATCGAGCCGATGAAGGCCCCGAGCTGGAAGATGGCCCAGAAGATCGCAAACGCCTTCCCCTTGTCCTTCTCGAGCGGGTACGACATCATAATCGCGCCCTGCGCCGACCACAGCAGCGCCGCAGAAACACCCAGGATCGCCCCCGCGAGGATGACGAACCAGCCGGTCCCCTGCGTCTGGTAGCTGGGAAGGCCAATCAGTACGGGTGCACGCGGAGTATGCGGGGAAGCGGGCCCATGTGGGCGCCAGTCTGTCTGGACTCTGTGTGCACGTCAAAGCCGGTCACAGGCGCGCTTCGTGCGCTGCATTCCCGGACTCCGAGCCCGCTCTCCACAGCACTGCCCACGGCAGGGATACGGAGAGCGGGGCAGATCCAGCATGTCCGAGGCGGTTCCGCAGACCGTCATCTGGCGCAGATGTTCCACGGAACGCATTCAGCCCGTCCCATGGAACAGGCGCGGATCGCTGGTTCGCTTTAACCTGAATGCGTGGTCTTCGAGGGACATGCGCGCGTCACGTAGCGCTTTTTTCTAGCCCACTCCGGGTCGATACGGCCAGCCCGCCCCTGCAGCCGCGGTCGCACACGCTGCAATGGAGACGGCCCATCTCAACCGGATAAGTATGGCGCAAAGAGGCGCGACGGCATGGTGTCGACGGAACGACTCGGCCGCGAGCTGGCATACGCGACGCGAGGACAAGGAAGCCAAAAAGGCCACTGAGAGATGTCGCGCTCAGATAGCGACTGCTGTGGCCCCATCACTCATGCCAGACACCCGTGCGGGTTACGATGTTCCGATGAATATGTTCCGGAGAACAGGGCGTTCAAGAGACGGGATGCTAGCACGTCCGAGGCGGTTCCGGGGAACGCAGGTCCGGACGGTATTTTCGGAAGGCGAGCAACACTCACCACCATAGGGAACCGACGTAGAGCGCGTAACCGAGAGTACCGAGGAAGAGCGTGAGCCGGGGACCAAGCACTGTGGATATAAATGAGGACGAGGTCATGAGAAATGGAGAGGTGTGATGAATTCTACGCACAGTTGCTGATACCACCACTGACGAGACCGGTGATGGCGAAGGTGCCGTAGAGGACACCTTGGGAGGTGTCGGAGAGCGTGATGTCGCTAAGACCTCCAGCACCCAAGTTGGAGACCGCGCTGAACATGCCGACTGTGGCAAAGCTGTGGATTTGGAGACGCGTTAAACACGAGACGACACGCGCATAGGCGACGAACTCACCAGGTGATGCCGACAAGCACCACTTGCGCCATAGGCGTCCTGTACAAGGCGTTCATTGCAATGCAGCAGAACGAGAGTAAGAGGGACGTACGTGTACCATGTGGGTAGCTTGAACTCGACCATTGCTTGCCAGAGGAGGGAGGCAGAGGAGCTGATGGGGGCGAGCGCACGGAGGGCGGAGGACAGATCGGAGGGACTTATAGCATAACGGAGGGCGGGCGTGGAGAATCTATCGAAGAGACGATAAGACGCCGGATATGGGCGGGGGCAGGCATGTCCACATGGTCCGCCCAGATGCCATTGATGCACCTCTGACACTCCTCCTTCTCCCACCCCGAACAGGCCTCAGCCCAACTCTATTCCTGCTCACATGAGCACCACCCCACGCTGGCCCTCCGCCCCCGACCCTCCGCACTGCTTTCATTCTCGCTCGCCCTAGCCCGCCCATTCCGTGCCTGCCACCGCCTGCAATTCAGCACCAACAAGATACTGCGACACGGACGGAGACCTGCGCAGCCCGGGGGAATGTATACGGCGCGCCAGCCACTAGTTGATAACCTCGATAACGATACGCGGCCGGCGGTATTGGGATAGCCCTCATGTCCACCCAGAGAAGCAGCACTTGACGGGAGCCTCACCAGCGTGCCAGTGTCCAGACCGAGGCACACACGTACGACTTTGAGTCTGCACGCGACGACCTCCGCGTCCTGCTCGCCTCCGCCGTCACGCGCAGGCGCCAGCATGCCACCGCGGGGAGGCGTGACCCCAGTGCGAAATGCAAAATCAGCCCGAGGCGCGTGCGCAGGCTGTTCGCAGTCTCCGACGTCGGAAGCGGCCGCATGCCCCGATGCGCGACAATGCGGTTGTGTCGAGCATCCCAGAGCCGCCATCGCAGCTGCACAGTGCACACGACAGACCATCATGCATCCATGAACTTGCAGCCACAGTGCACTTGCCGAGTCGCGACTACGATCGAGAGTGACCGGTTCGACCGTCCCGCCGTCCGATCGAGCCTGCATCTCAGGCTCGCGGGGCCTATCGGGGGCCACGACGCCCGCCTCGAACACCAGCGTGGAACGTCCTCGGCAAGTGGCACTGCCGCGAAGTGCCGCGAAGTCAACAGACCAAGAGGTACCAGATCTCCCTGCCGATGCATCAAGGCACATCACCCGGACCCTCTCATAGTCCTTTGGCGATGGTCAGGTCTTGGTGCTGACCTGCAGGCATCACAGGACGACAAGCTAGCCTCAGCAAGCGATATGCAAGACTCACTAGAGCCTCGGATCGCAACACAACTCGTCCAAACTTCTCGTCTTTCGGTCACGGCAAACAACAAAATTGACTTCATGGTTCAGCCAATGTTCTTCCCGACAAGAATGAGTGGTGATTCCGTCTCCGGCGATCAATTACAATAATTGGCTATTGAGTAACTTCTTCAGTGAAAATCATGTCTTCGCTATCAACACTCTCACCGCACCAACCTAGTTGAAGAGCCCCTTCAGCCGCCCTTTGACCCACACGTCCTTCAGCGGGATCGCCCACACGCCCGCCCCGGCCCCGTTCTTTCTCCACTCCGCAACCAAACGCCCCGCCTCCACAGGCGGCACGTCCTTGTCCCGCGTGCCCACCGTGACATGCAGCCGCTCCCGCAGTTCCCCGGGCAGCGTCGCCACGAGCGCAACCGCGCTCTCGTCCACATCCCCAGGGTCTTCCGTGGCTACCGCAAGATCGCTCACCGTCGCCGCCATGATCCGCCCGTTCCACACGAGTTCCTCCAGGCGGAAGCTCAGCACTGGGGGGCGCTCGCGCTTGTGCAGCGTTATGCACTCGTCCCACAGCGCTTGCTCGTCTGGGAGCGAGTTCGAGTGCACGATCGTGACGTGCGGCCGCGGCGCCACGCGCCCGTTTGCCGTGAGTTCCGTCCAGAAATTGCGCGCCTCTTCGGGCACGTCTGGTGCGGCGGCGAGCGCGGGCCCGACGACGCTCGCGAGGTCGACTTCGGCGAGGACGCCGAAGTACCGGGGCGGTTTCGCGGGCGTGTCGTCCTGCTTCTTCTTCGCGGCTGCCTTGCCTTTGTTGCTCTTCCGCTTGGGCTCGTACGCGCGTGCGGCGGCGAGCGCCGCGCCGATCTTCTCCTGGTCGGGCCGTTCGACGCCGAGGTACTCGACGCATGCGTCGACCGCACTTGCGAGCATGTGCTCGAGGTCTTCGTCAACGTTCATGGTGACGAGGACGTCGGCCTCAGCGTCGGCGGGCTCCTCGGCTTGCTTGAGGAACATCCAGAGTACATCTTCGTGCCCCCTCGGCGCGGTGTCCGCGATGAGCGCTTGATGTTTATCACCCCGCTGCAAAATCCGGTCGCTGCAGATACGATGGATCGTGGACTGCGGCAGTCCACCCAGCCAGTTGAATGCGAGCAGATGCGCAGGCGGGTCGACTTGTCGCGCGCCTTCGCGTAGCTGCTCACGGTGCATCTTCAGGTGGTTGTTCCTACAACGCGGTTAGCGTAGATCGAGGTAGAGCAAAGCGGAAACTCACTTGTCAGCGATGACTACTCTGTGCTTTGCCAGAGCTTTCACGACATTCTTGATGAACTGGGGTGCAGGCTTCTTGGCCTGTACGTCGTCGCTTTGAACGTGGCCGAAGCCGAAGAGATGCGATAGTGCGACCCCCACTGTCGTTTTGCCTGGTTCCAAGGCATATTGAGCTCTCAGCCGACATACGGAGTGATATGGGTGTACTTACCTACGCCAGGAACAGCGATAGGCACGATGATGACCTTGTCCTCTTTCAAGTCCACATCTGGTTTCGTACCAGTCTCGTCGGGGACACCCGCCACCGCGCTCTGCGCCGCCTTGCCCTGATCGCTCTCGAGCCACTGTAGGAAGCGCGTGCGCGTCGCGATGATCCCCTTCCCCTTCGTAAATTCCTCAAACTGACTCGGGTCGCGCTTGATCTCGGCGCACACCCACTTCACATACAACTTCGTCTCCGCGCGGCGCATCTTGCTCTTCGGAACCAGCGCCGGGCTCGGGCCCTTCGTCAGTAGCGTCTTCGTGACCTCGCGCCAGTCGCGGTACATCATGTACGGCTCGTCGAACTTGATCTTGAAGAAGAAGGACGCGCCCACCGGGTACGGCGACGCGCTCGCGGGCTTGCCGCCCTTCGTCGGGGGCGCGGTGACGTGCGTGCGCACGACGAAGCCCTCGAGCGCCTCCCCGTTCCACTTGCCCGTGCGCCCGACCTCGTCGGTGAACGCGCGCACCTCGGCGATGCTGGAAAGCACGGTGGAGGGCGTCTTGATAAAGCCCCAGGTGTCGGCGAAGGCGTCGACAACGTCTTGCTCTTGGGTGCGGAAGTGTTTCGTGCACGAGTTCAGGCCGTGTAGATGGAGTCCGGTCTTTTCGGGGCCGTATGGCAAGACATGTTCCTCGAACGAGTCGTCACAGAGCTGCACTGCTGTCAGTACGTATATTGTCTTGAAGGACATTAGGGACTTGCCTCTGCCACGGCGGTCCAGTTCTTGTCCCAGAGCGTGCGCGCGAGCTGCTCCTCGGTCTTACCGCAGTCCGCCAGGTGCTTGCGCAACCAGCGTTCTCCGACCTGGGCATGGCTCTCACCAGTCGCGGAAGGAGACGGCCCAAGCGAGTGTTTTGAGGTGACGAGCAGCTGCGTTGGTGTAAGGGCCGCAATGAAGATGATGCAACCGTTGGATTTTAGTGTGAGGGTATATGGCGCTGCCGTATGCGTTTCCAGCGACGCCCACTACATAGAACAGGTCAGCAAAGGTACATACACACTTCACTCCTATTACCCCAGACAATATTTGCAGTGGTAAGTCACGAAGCACTCACATGGGTCCATGGCACTTCGCCGATGTTGAAAAATTTGTCGTATCCTCTCGCCACAATGCGATGTTTCGACTTTCCGGATCCGCCTGCGATGTCCTGCGTGAACAGACCACGAGCTAGTGTGGGGAAAGGCGATGGAATGTCATAGTACTTGAACTCGTTCATCTTCCAGCTCCGGACCAGGATGCTAGGATCCGCGGGAGCCTTGTGCTCGGACGACCTGACAAGTTTCGGAGAGGCTTTGGATATGCGCTGCAGGTCATCGATCAAGGCGGAATCCTCATCCTCAATGCTGAGGGACGAGAAGAGATTGTGAAGCTCGTCGGGAGCTGCAGATGCCTCGCCACCAGCGACAACAGGGGCAGGGCTGGGGGACTTGGATGGGGATGCCATTTTCTGTTTCTTCTGCGTTCGTTTAGCGTACAATGAAACCTCGGAGGTAGAGAACGCGCGGATTCCCCAGAGCAGATGTGCAGTCCTTGGAGCTATGCAAGGAGGCAGGAGATGCTGAGTGGCGAGGAGAGGCGTGCGGGAGAGGATTGCGCGCTGAATGGTGGAAAGTGCCGGAAGGCGAAGACAAGTCGGCTCGACTCGCCTTGCGATACTTATACCTGGGAGACAAACGGGTATGACGGTGCTAGACAAGGGATGACTCGCGCGCGGTTGCCGACGGTGAGCTCAATTGCATACATGCAGTGATGGTGTGGTCCAAGTCGCGTTCTACTCCGCCCCGGCGCGCCTCTTCACCTTGCCTCCCGCCTCCATCATCTATACCGCTATACCCGTTCTTCGGCCCTCTGTCTCTGTCTGTTCGGGTCTCGTACTGGCTAGGACAGCTTGGAACAACTGGAGGCTCTCTCGCGTCAGAACACCGCTCTCTTGCCTCTTGAGCACTTCCGGGACCGATATCTGCAAGAGTGGACTTGCAGCGCCCTTGGGTACTGGACTACGACCGGAAACATCGTACTCGCACAGCCGACGCACCACCATTTGTCTGGCCTATACTTCCCACATACCTTGATTCACGATGGATGACGAGACCGCAGAGATTGAGCTGGTAAGCCGTCTTGTAGTTACATAGCGACGGGCAATATACGAGGTATCTTCTTCCAGCTCGAGCAGAACCTCAACAAGACGCGCCAAATATCTCAACGCATGACTTGTGAGTGTGCACGTAGGGTGTGATTGGGTTCAGGTCCCATTATTCTTCAGCAATCCTTTCTAGTTTCGATACCCGTCTCGTGAAGCTCGAGAAGTCCATTCTGCCACTGTACAACTCTACGCAAGTGCTCACGAGGCGAGCAAACAGTGCGTGGGGCTGTCTTCGAGAGCCCTTACTTCGACTGAAATGCATGTTGCACCTTAGACGTTGAGAGTGCGTTGCAGAAGATTGACGAGATCGCGAGCTACCATGAAGGTGTCGCTGCGGAGGAGGCTCTGATCCTGAGAGGGTTGGTGACGGTCATCCAATCATCGTATCTCTGCTAACAAAGCGGCTCCAGACCTCAGCCGAACCAGCTCAGTGCATACACAGAGGTGCTTGAGCGCATGAACGTCAGTGTTGCATTCAACAGCACAGATTCACGAGATAAGGTATAGCCACCGCTCTGCTGCAGTGGACATACCGTTGATCTTTCCTCTAGGCACGCCTTGTAGAAAGCGGCGCGAAGAAGCTTATCCAACTCTATACAAAACTGGTCGCGGAAGGCTCCTCAGGTGTACCTCCTGGAGGCGCCGAGTTCACCTCTGTGCCATTTCCCGCCTCGCTCATGGCCACGCTCCAGCCCCTTGTCACATTCCTGCGCACACTCCCCCTACCCGCTACACACCCATCTCACCCTGCAGCATCCGGCATACAGTCTGCCTTGAAGGATGCGCAGAAGGGGTACGGTGACATGCGCGGAGCCTGGGTGCGCAAGTGTCTCGAGACGTTCGGAAAGCGCGTCGTAGACCGCGCTGAGACGATTGACGGTGTTGCGGCCGGAACAGAGGTTGGAAAGTGGACGGAAAACATGCTCTCCGTCGCGGATGTTCGTATATCCTTTCGTCTCAAGTCCGCACCTCGCTCACCGTCTCGTTATGCAGGAAGAGTACAATCTTCTGCTTGATCTCGCACCTCTCACCACCCCAGCCGCTATCAGCACGACCTACGCAACACTCATCTCTCCGCTCACAAATCTCTTCACGTCCACGCTCGGATCCCTTGGGTCCCTCATCAAGCGCAACCTGAACAAGAACACATTCCTCGCGCTCTCCGCATACTCGTCATTGACCCCGCTGCAGCCGAGATGGAATGACATCATGTCCCGCCGTGCAGACAGGAGAGAGAACGAGCTGAAAGAGGGCCTTCACTCCATTCGCGCGTCATGTCTGCGCAGTTTCCCAGAGTTCCTCGCAGATATCCGGTTGGCAGGCCTCGGGAAAGGCGGCGAGGTCGGGACTGGGCTCGCCGATTTCACGATCTCGGTAGGTCCGGTCGCCCATCATGCAATGCCCGTATACTAAATAATCTGCGTTCAGACCGTCCAGTACCTCGAACGGATACCGGCCGTTCAGGATGCCGCAGCATCGGCGCTTCTGACACTGGGCGACGGCAACTGGAAAATGGGCGAGGGCACGCAGATCGGCAAGACCAAGGCTGCCGAAGTGGACGAGCAAACAGTGCTTCAACACTTTACTCGTACGCGCAGGTTCCTTTCGCGGTATCATACTCTCATACCTTGACTATAGACGACGTCGTGAGCGCGACCGTACAAAGCCTGCTCACCCTCTCGCGCACGAACAAGCGCCCCGCGTTCGGTGCGATCTTCCTCCTGAACAACGTCTCCTACCTCCGCACGCAGGTGCTCGTGCGCCCGCGCACGGACGTGCCCGCGATTCTCTCGCGACCCTCGCAGGAGTTGCTCAACTCCAACTTCCGGACCGCCAAGGCCGGCTACTTCGACGCGAACTTCTCGCCGCTGCTGCAGACGCTCGTCGACGAGAAGGACAAGGGCAAGAGCGCGGTGAAGGAGAAGTTCACGCGCTTCTTCGACTTGCTCGACGAGGTCACCGAGCGCCACGCCGTCGCGCGCGTGCTCACGGACGATCCGGATGGGCGCGCGACCGTCGCGGACGAGGCAGTAAAGCTCGTCGTGCCCTCGCTTCAGCGGTTCATCCAGCGGAACCTGGGGAAGGAGTTCAGCAAGAGTGAGTCTGCTTTCTGTACTTACTGTCAGCTTGTTGTTAATCGTTGTCATCTCGCAGACCCACAGAAGTGTAAGTCATGTCGTGTACTAGAGAGTCTCGAGCGTATATAACTGACGGCGGCCTATAGACATCAAGATGCCGCCCGAAGAAGTCGAAGCTCTGATCAAGGGTTTCTACTCGTACGTATATTCATTCCGAAATCTGAATGTATCGCTGACTTGTCTTCGTGTAGTGGCGGAAGTGGTGGCTCTGCACCCACAGTACCCGCACCCGAGAAGATGACAAATACTCTGCTGCAGCAGGCAGGCTGGGGTTGGTAGCTGCAATGCCTGCACCATCTGTCTCGAAACCTGTCCATACACCTGGTAGTGAATACATGTATGTTGTACATCATGAGGTTTTATATGCATAATCATTAGGATTCCAGTAATCTGCACCATACCATAACATCAACTCCTGCCCTGGCTGTATGGCCTCAGCTATCCAGTAATGTCAATGCATATCTGGTGGAAGTAAATGATCAGAACGTACTTGAGTAGAACATGATTTTCATATCCCCACCCACTTGTCGGGCTACACAAATGTTAGTCCAGGAGAGTTGCAATAGCTCAGTCACTTACTGTCAGCCTCTACATTTGCCATGGGTTGTTCATCTGGGCAGTTGATGCACCTGACAGCATTGCCCACAGTAGCTGCATCCAAAAGGTAGGTCCCAGGCAGCAAATTGAAGAAATAGTTGAGGTGTCTGTGGTCATTCAGCATGCTTTGTGCCTTGTCCAGCCTGTTGACTTTGTTCAGTAACATGGCATTGTGGAAGAAAAATTATGAATAGTCTGCAGTCTGCACTTACTCTATACCCCCCTCATTGTCCTCTGGGTTTGGAATGATTTCAGCAATGTACTCTATAACTAATTGTTCAGGAAATCAAGCAACCTGTATATCCAACAGATACTCACCTCCCAGAAATGCACCCTGAGGTATTTGACTCTCTGCAAAAGTCCCTAGCCCAAAGGATCCGACCCTGATAGAAAGGTGCTGTATACATGCTGCATCAGCCTGCTCTGTGCTATCACATTCTGAGCATATCAGGCTTACTGGGACTTTGTTGAGTTGAGAGCGCAGGTTTGTACATTCGTGCTTTTTCTGTCGTGCCCGGTTTCCTGTACAGTGGATACTATTATATGTAAGTATGCCAGATATTCATTAGATTTGTACCTTTGGTTCTTTTAAGCAGGCATTAGTGTCAGTACATTACAGTTCATGTGACCATATACATACCTTTGTGGTTTGCAGTACTCTGGATCACAATCCATATTGTGTAATATCCCCTCATGCTGAATGCAAGAACAGTGTTTGTGGCTTTTACACTTGCAATCCAACTTGCAGCCCCTATGGTGCAGTGAGCCTACAGACAGGTCAGCTGGTATGATATTTGAGGGCCTGTGTGCTCACAAGTCTTTGGACATCTACATCTTCTCTGGCACTTCCTCTTATTCATTGCACAAGCACATCTGTAATTTCCTTTGCAAGGCCCAGAGTGCACACAGAAGTCCAAGCTACTTTATTGTCAGTTGCAATACTCAGCATTTGTTTGAGTCCTTTGTTGCACATACCTCATGTTAATGTGGGCATCATCCTCAACATCAGGAGTGTCAGTTTGCCGATCAGGAAACATTTGACAGCGGTGATGAAAGACCTGTGTGATGTGTAAACAACATACACAGTACCTGAGTTTTGAGAGCTAACACTATAGCATGATGCCCTTGCCAATTTAGCCAGCCGACATTGGCTATGGTCAGGAAATAGCTTCAGTAGGTCACATATATCCTGGTCTAAAGCCGGCTCAGCCTGGATTGCATCGGGAGAGTTAGCCCTGGCTACAAACATTGATGATGAGATCTTTACTAGGAGTGGTGCATAGCTGTATTGTAGGAAACACTCGTCTCCGCACTTCTTCCCACCTTTGGCATGCATTTCTGCATTGCTTTTCGTGGGGCGATCGAGGATTACCGGTGGAGAGACAACATCTGGACTCGAGGTGACGGTTATACCAAAGAGCAATAAAGTAGGGGGGCCACGTACCGTGGGTCATGCATTTCGCCTTGTTGCAGATCAAGCTGCCGCAGAAGACGGAGACGAAGCTGTTGACTTCGCGCAATAGATGTGTTGCGGTCGCCAACGTTGCGGCAGATTGATGTAGTTCTACGAGCGACTCGCTACTCCAGTGGGGAAGGTCACTGTTTGCGGTCAGTATCGGCGGTTCCAGGACTGGACGTTGCGTACCGCTTTCTGAGGAATGACTTGAAGCCGCTACCGGGAGATGGGAGAGATCGTGGCTTGTACCGCTCAATTTTCTCGTGATCGAGCCCGACATCCTCAAGGCGACGATGCGCATCAGCAGCTATGAGCTTGACTGAAACGAATGAAAACTGTGAAGAGTCGTGAACGCATCTAGTACATAGATGTTCACTTACAATCGACGTCAAACCATTCTGTCTGCCAAGCGAGTTGCAGGTGCTTTGAGGCGTACAGCTCTGCTCTGAAGCCCGGCTCATCAGCGCAGGGAATGAATTTCAGTATCCGTGGATCGCCGTTGTAGAGGATGCCTTCGACGGAAGGCGTGCAACTCTCGTACTTGCGATAGGCGTATTCGTCCATGTCATGCAGTGTGAGGGCGGTGTCCGTTGACAATTGGGAGCGCTGTTGCAGGTCAGACAGCCATATATCAAACGAGGCCTCGGAGGGGGTGGGCTCGGGGCTCATTTCGATATATTCTGCACCCTCGAAGAGATCATCTAAGGAGAGCGGCGGATGCGGTGAGGCGACCTCGAGGGACCTGATGAGTTGCTCGCATTGCTCGGGTTCGCGGGAGTAGAAGTCGGTCCATGCAGCTCTATACTCGCCCTCAATAGTGCCAGCTACTTCGCGCTCCTCCTGCAGGCGCTGTTGTATCCGCTGCGCGTAGCGTTGTTGCTGTATGCGAAGCGCGTCCTCGGGGTCGTCCTCCTCAGGCGGGCGTAAACCAGGTAAATCTGACATGATAGGTTGACCCTTGAGAACAGCGGAGTAGCAGGAGATAGTTGGAAATTCAGAGCGAGTATATTTGAACAAGGCTGAGCGACGTGCGCGACGAAGGAGGCTGATCAAGGTGAGTGAGGCTCAGGGCGGCGGACCGTACGATCACGATCGACGCGAATCGCCTCCAATCTTGGGCGTTAAACTGCAGCACACTGGCGGAGTCACACACTGTCACACACTGGTCACTGAGCGGTAACGCGGCGCGGGGTGAGCAGCGACCACGACGACCGACCACGCGCAGACGACGCCGAGCAGCAGCCATGGCCGAACGCCTCAACCCCAACATGCTCTTCGCCAACTTCAACCAGGACTTTACGTGAGTGAGTCCTCCACTACCGCGTGCTCGCCCCTACTCATCTCCGTAGATGCATCTCCGTCGGTACTCGGAAAGGGTACAGCATCACGAATTGCGATCCCTTCGGACGGGTGTATACCATGAGTGCGTAACAGTATTACTACGGTGTGTGTCTGTGCTGACGGCTGCGTAGATGATGGAGCACGCGGTATTGTGGAAATGTTGTTCTGCACATCGTTGCTCGCGTTGGTCGGCGCCGCGGACCATCCCCATCTGAGTCCGCGCAAGTTGCAGATTGTGAATACCAAGGTAAGCATGACAGATTCCGTAGCCCAATACACTGGACTGCACAGAGCTTCGCAAATCTGGCCGTGTTCTGCTATATGCTGGATACTAACTACACCCACATGTAGCGGCAATCCATGATCTGCGAACTCCTCTTCCCCTCCTCTATCCTCGCCGTCAAGATGAACCGCAAGACGCTTGTGATCGTGCTCGAAGTCGAAATATACATCTACGATATCTCAAACATGAAGCTCCTGCACGTCATCGAGACGACTCCGAACCCTAACGGTGAGTCCATCAGACTCCGTGCATGCAACTCAATACCTACCCTTTGCAGCAATCGTCGCCCTCTCTCCCTCTGCCGACAACTCTTATCTCGCATACCCTTCACCCGTTCCCTCACCCACGCTCGCTCAGACCTCCGCCACACAGCAACCCACACCCGCTACGCCGGCACCATCGACCGGAGACGTTCTCCTCTTCTCCACACGCTCTCTGACGGTCGCGAACGTCATCCAAGCACACAAATCCCCCATATCCTTCCTCTCTGTGAACTCTACAGGCACGATGCTCGCCACCGCGTCCGACAAGGGAACAGTCATCCGCGTTTGGAGCATCCCCGGTTCGGAGAAGCTCTACCAGTTCCGACGCGGGACGCGTGAAGCGCGCATCTACTCGCTCAACTTCAATCTCGTATCGACGCTTCTTGTCGTCAGCTCCGCGCACGACACAGTACATATATTCAAGCTCGGGCAAGGGCGGGGTGGTACCTCGGTCAGCAGCTCGCAGTCACCATCCAGTCCATCAGGTTCGATAGACAGCCGGGAGGGCTCGCAAGGATTGGACGGGGGATATGACGCGTACGTTGACAAGAAGAAGGGGAACAGTGTTTCGTATGCCTTCTTCGATCTCAACGCGGTAGTGTCAGCATACTCACCGGTCTGTCTAGGTCCACATTGCGCCGGAAATCCCTCCATCTCACGAAGAACCTCACTTCGTCAGTAGGCGGCTATCTTCCGAACACGCTCACGGAGATGTGGGAGCCCTCGCGAGACTTCGCTTTTCTGAGGTTACCAACAAGCGGCGCGCGGTGCATCGCGGCCCTCAGCGGGTATGCCGCCGCCACAGCGTAACCAATGCACGATGCTAATAACGCGATTCGCGCAGTACGATGCCGCAGGTCATGGTGATCTCTTCGGAGGGGTACTTCTACTCCTACAACATCGACTTGGAGAACGGCGGCGAGTGTTCGCTCATGAAGCAGTATAGGTGTGTCCCAATCTTCCAAATACGCGTCTCCCTCTGTCCGTTTCAGTGCCCTAAACATCTATCATCCAGCTTGCTTGACTCCAATGACGAGAAGAACGACTGAGGCGCGACATGGCAGACGACTATATGCGGGTCATGCGCAGCCGGAAGGCCGTTGCTGCGCATGCTGCTGCCCGCCCGCCGTTGGCTGACTGCGCGCGTTTACGACCTTGACGATACCGCGGAGGAGCTATCTTACACTGTAATTCTAAGTCCATCTCAGTTATGTCGTATGTCGGGCGGGATATCTGGAATGTCATCGGCTGCGTTTTGGTGTCCTTGGTTGGTGGGCTGGAATACGAGCGCGTGAATCGCGAACTTGCGGTCGCGCAGAGGCGTAAAATACTAGAAGACGCAGTGTACAGTACTGTGATCGTAAAACAACAAAGGGCATATGTCTAGCTGGGCATACGTATGCACAGGATGTACCATGACCTATCCTTCCATCCAGGCTACAAACTATAGGACGTGTCAGGTCTGCGCGTATACGCCGACACGCCAGCCCGCGGGTATCAACAGCCCTCCGCTCACTCGTCGCCCCGCCGCGCAAGGAACACGCCCATGTCGCTCTTCGTCCGCTGGATTCCGCGCAGGCCCACGCTTGGGAATGATGCCACGGGCACATGCCCGCCGTCGCCCTTTTGCTCGACCGCACCTGCGTCCATCTGCAGCTCCTGGACGCCGAAGTCGCCTGGAATGCCCTCAAACTCGTCCTCCGCGCCCCGTGGCACGGGCGCTAGAGACAGACGAGGTGCATGGCCGGGAGTGAACACGCGCGGGCCCGCGGCAGCGGGAGGCTCAGAACCGCCAGGGGAGACGAGCGAGGCTGTCTGTGAGGCCGTCGCAGACGCAGACGAGCCTGAGTTAGAGACAGAAACGGAGTGCGACTTCGGCCGCGTAGACTTGCGCCGGTGCTTCCGCGCGCCGTTCGTGCTTGACAAGGGCGAAGGCGGTGCGACTTCCGACGCAGGTGAGAGCGGGGAATGCGGGATCGGCTGCTGCGCGATGAACTGGTGGTTATATGGCGCGACGCCCGCGTACTGGTACTGCTGCGAGTTGGAGCCCGTCCCGGTCGAGGTTGAGCGTGTCTCGCTAGTGCCACTGCGCCCGCCGGTGATTGTGCTCCGTCGTGGACGGCGCGTGTATGACTCCGCACCGAAGTCGGCCCCGTCACCTTCGGCTTCGGCCTCTTCCTCAAGGGCGGCGTCGGCGTCGAAGGGCTGTGAGAGCTGGCCTTGAGCGAAGGGGCCGAAGTCTTGCGAATCCGAGACGGACATCGAGCCTGACCCTGAGCCAAGGCTGGGGGAGAAGGGCCCGTCGATACCGTATACTGGGCCGCTTCCCTGTAGCACACATACAGTCAGATGAAGGGGAACGAAATCAATAGCGGACGTGAACACCTACCTGAAAGCCTTCGAACTCCTCGTCCCCGTTAGTCTGCTGCTCCAATGCTCGCGCCATCGCCGCCCGCTTGAGCTCCCGCTTCTCCCTCCTCCTCCGCCTCCTCTCCTCCTTCGCCCTTCTCTCCTCTTCCTCGCGCGCCACCGCCTCCGTATGTCTCGCCGCACTCATCTCCTCAATGGCCGCCACATCGAGCGGCGCCGCGTCCGAGTCAAGCGTATCCGTCGAGATCGTCCTCGAACGCTCGCTGCGCCCCTCGCCCCCGTCCTCGTTGTCCGACTCGGGCAGCTGAATCGCGGGCGGGCGCCCGAACAGGTCATAGCCGAAGACCCGAATTTGCTTGGGCGCGCCGCGGCGCCATTTCTTCCGGCTGCCCTTGCCCTTGCGCCGGCGGTCGCCAATGTTCGAATGCAGTGAGAGCGTCTCGGCGTCGTCAGAGGCGTCCGCGAGCAGGCCCTCGAGCTCGTCTGGGCGGGCGCGAGAGGGGGGGATGATGCCGCTCGCGAGGAGCGCATGGCGGTGGGCGCCGCCGCGCCCGTGAGCCTCACCGTTGTCCTCGGTGTCAGAAGGGGCGTCGATCTTGAGGCAAGGCAAGCAAGAGGAGAAGGCGGCTTGGAAAGAGTCGGACCAGGAGAAGTGCATGTAGGCCATCGCGGTTCGTGAAGAGTGGATGCTGCGGGACATGCGTCGTGGGTGGAAGTATACTGTGCGTTACTGCGGACCCTGGTGAGGAATGTAGGTTGAGCACAGAATGTTCAGGCGTGAGTTGAGAGGGTCATGAGAGTACGTGAAACGGCGGGAGGGAAAGAGCTGGTCTGCACGAGGCGGCAGGTAGCGAGAGAGAGCAATAGATGGCCTGACAGCCGCGGCACTCCCCCACAATCACGGCGTCCGGTAACCTCCTTCAGCAACACCCGCCCGCGACCAACTCAGGTCGTCCCACATCGTTTCGGATGTTTTCTCTTACACTTACTTGACTGTGATTCCAGCACTGTAACACATATGTTTCAAACGTACACAGGTAACGTCTGCATTGCACCACTTTATATGCGGAGTTATGTAACGGAATGGAGTGTCGAAATGCTTAAATGCTCGTGGACCCCCGTGAAACGTAAAAATTCCGACCCTGTCCAGCTGCGCGGTTCAGACACCTGGCCACAGGCATGCATGGCCAGTGTAATAGGTAGTAAACGGAATTCAGTATTGCAGTCTACAACAAATACAGTACACACAGAGGATAACACAGCGCTGACCGACCGTAACAATGAGTCCTTGCTCTCTCTTCAGTCTTCCGAGATTTCGACATTCCGCGAGCCCCCCGGCGTTGATTGGTGCTGCAGTACAACAACGCAGTCAGCTTCCCTCTGCCCACCGCACAGCCTCCTCTCCAAGTCCTCCACAGAGGTAGTTCATATGGGCATTCGGACACTCACCTGCCTGAGCTTTGCCAAATGGATCTTCAGGGTCTCCGCGTAGTTTTCGAACCCGAGCGTGACCATCGCGTAGAGGATATCCTCCCCGCCGATCGTCTTGCGCTTCTCCATCTGGCACTTCTCCGCCGCCTCCGACGTGATGAAGGAGATGAACTCGGACACGCACTCCTGCACGCACTCCTTGGCCTCCTTCGAGATCTTCGCTGTCGGCGGCACCGACCCCTTCATGATGCGCGACACGTTCGCAATCTACGCGCGAGGACGGTACGGTTAGCAGTCGACGCGGAGGCGCAGACGGTGGCGCGCGCGGACGAGGTAAAGGCGTACGGGAAGAAAGCGGTCCTGCTCGCGATACTCGCCAACCTCTTGCTCAGTGATGGGCGCGGGCGATGGTGCGTCTTGGACAGGCTGGGGAACGACCCCCGAGCCGTCGTCCTGCGGGGCGATGTTCGGGGGTGCGGGGACGAAGTCGGACATGGCTGAGCGGAAGCCACTACGTAGAGCGCGAATATGGATGGCGCGGTCGCACCGGCGACCAGAGAGTGCTACGGATGCGGATACGCAGCTGGAGACGTTCGAAAGAGGGTCGCGGCCGTCGAGAGCGTTGAGAGCATGGTGCGCGCTCCCGCGCGTGTCGGCGCGACAGTCCTGGGAGACGGCACGTGCTATGACGCGCGTGGTCTGTGTCGGTGCCCTCCGTCGTGTATCGCGGCTTACCGCGAGCCTCCGCCATCGAATGCGTGAAGCCAATACTCCTGACGATACAGGACGATCCGTTCGCACTGGTTGCAGGTAAAGCCTCACGATGCTGACATAAAACATGCCGATGTATGCGCAGATACTACGCCTGCGCATATTGCGACATAGCCGGGTCGCACAAAGACGCTTGCAGCCCGAGCTCTCACCGGTGAGAAAACACTGCGCTCTGTCAATACGGTTTGCTCACTACCACGAATAGCGACGCTTCATCGGAAGAAGAAGCATAGAGGAGAGCCGTTCCTCTTCGTGACTCGATCTTGGATTATACAGACCCTCGGGCCTGGTCATGTGTGAACGAGAGCATGACGGCCAGAACCTACCGCTCGCACACCATAAAAGGCCTCCACTACAGCGGATCAGCCCACAGTGTACATCGCCGTTCCCCCTGCCAGTGCCGTTACACATTCTCATCATGTCTACTACTCGCCCCGAGTACCTCGTGCGCACCACCGAAGTGCCCTTCGAGTCCCTGCGGCACCTCATGCACCCCATGGACAACACCAACCAGCGCTACACCGTCTCCCTCGGGGACAGCGTCGGCCTGACCAAGCTCGGCATCCACTTCTGCCGCCTCCCCCCGGGCGCGACCTCCAGCACGCTGCACTACCACACCAACGACGAGGAGTTCTACTACATCATCGACGCGGGCGGCGACGACGCCGTGCTCCTCGTCTGGGAGCGCCCCGAGGGCGATAACGGCGATAAGGGCCAGGGCGCGGCGGCGCAGGGGAAGAGCGTGCCGCGGGAGGAGACGATCAAGACCGGCGACTTTTTGGGCTTCAAGGGTGGGGACAAGGGCGCACACGCGCACGCGCTGAGGGCGGGCGCGAAGGAGGTGGTGTATATCGTTGGCGGGACGCGGATGCCGATGGATAGTTCGGTGTATCCGTTGTTGGGGAGGCGTGTGCTGACTGACAGGTCTCAGGGGGGCTTGCAGACGTGGTTTGTGGAGGACAAAGACATGACTCCCGTACATATCCCGCCACCCACGGTAGTGTAGTTTTCTTCCTCGCCAGAGAGGTAGTCGGGCAAGGCGCCCTTGACGATTATTCAGGAAGTTAACGAGCTACCAGTGCAAATGCAAATCAAGTAATAGGTTCAGCGGAGGATTTAAACTGCCGCGCCGGTCGGCAGCGTGCTCGAACAAGCGCTGGTACCTTTGGCGAGATCTGGCGTTGAGTATAATGTGACAGGCTGAGAGTCACAAATTATACCCATATGTCGTTCCATCTTCACAGCATGCCAGTATTGTGAGCCGCTGGGCCATCTGGCAATTCGATCCTGGTAGTTCATGTGAGATCGGGAGGCTTGCTTTGGTCGCTATAGAACATATAGATGTAAAATACAGTCCTACTAAACATACAACAGGGCGAAAAAAAAACACAGTAAGTACAACCTTTACCGCAGAAATAGGCAGAGCATCGAGAGCAATCCTTGGGTACTCAGCTCCATCTCAACTCGTATCCATCTGGTCCGCATCCTTTCCCCCCTCGACTGAGCCACCCATGCGCTCCAACAGAGCTCTGACGTCCTGCGCGCTCCCAACCTCATACGCTGCCGCAGTAGCTGCACTCACAGCCGAGCTCCCTTCCCCAAACGCATTGCCCGCCGGCTCGCTCTTCGCCCTCTCCTTTGCGCGCTGCATGAGCTGTTCCACCGCCCAGTTGAGGTACCCGGTTTTGCTCGTCTCCCAGGGCCGCTTGCCCGGCTCTGGCACCGCCCCGGGATCGAGCGCGGCGTCGGACGGGTTGGGCGGGGGAAGGGAGGCGACGGAGTCGAACATCATCTCGAACTCGCTTGGGAGTGCGAGGAGTGCTTGCATTTGGGGTGCGCGGAGGAAAGAGAGACGTTCTAGGCGTTCGCGGGCGTGCTCAAGATCTTTCCCAGATCTGCGCACTGCGCGCGAGTACAAACGCTTCAGTTTGCGTTGCTAGTTATTCTGAGTGTGAGCTATCGCATTGAATGAGGAAAGGCATAAGACGCACTGCGTGTACTTTTCTTCGCAACTCGTCAATCTCCGCGAGCAGCTCCTGCTCCTGCTCCGGCGAGTGCTCCAAGTCAAGGCCCGCCTGGTGGGGCGCGACGATAGGCAGGTCCGCGGGGACGGCGAAGATGTTGCGCATCGACCACGCCTCGAAGAAGTCAAACGCGACGTCGACGTGCGACTCGAGCAGCGTCTGGAACGACACCAGGCCCTGCTCTATCTCCTGCGTCGGGTCCCACTCCGCCGCCTTCTCCGCGCGCGCGTCCGCCCAGCGCTGGAGGAACTGCTCCATCGCGTCGACGCTCTGCTTCGCCTCGTCATTGGCGATGTTGATGATGTCGTCGAGGAGGAACTGTGGGATGAAGCCGAGCAGCTCGGGGAGGAGCACGGAGGGTACGGTCGGAGGCGGCGCGGCGGGCGCACTCATGATGGCGAGGAGGGAAGGCGTGACTGCGTCGACGCGTCACGGACGCGTTGAGAGCGCGTCGTGTCACGAATCGTCACATGGTGACCGTGGGCGCTTACGCTCGCAGATCATGAACGCAGTTGAGGTGAGACGTGTTCGACCTCTTCCATGAGTACACCACAAAGATCTCTGCGTCTTATATGTGGCGTGAATTCTCAACATGTATGCTGCATTTTATCTTTTCTTTCACGTCTACTGACCGCTACTTCATCCTCACAAGATTGTAGAAGTTGAAAATGCATGACAAACATAGTGAAATGTACGGAGAGCACAAATTCAATTGCGTACGGCATCAGTCGCACGTCCTCACACCCCGCTTGCTGCGTATCTTCAGGTCGCGTGTATCACGTAGCCTTGTCGCGATCGATGGACGCGCTCCAATCAATACGCAATTGCATTCCTGCGTGGGTCCAGCACCACCCCCGAGGCCCCCGGCGCTGCTGTGCCTTTTCCCGCTACGGAAACCCGTCTCCCCTTCATTTTAGAAGTGGTTCGTTCCAGGCCGCCGGGCTCGACCATCCTACCGGTAGTAGGCTCGTCGATGTGTGCCCATATCGGGCGGGCATACAGGCACTCCCGCACCCCGACGGCGGAAGTGCTGCATTTGGGCATGGTGGCGCGCAGTCCGTCCTTCCAGCATTGGCCCGGGCGGGAGCCAGGGGCCCTTCGGGACCGGAAGAGCTTCCTCGAGTGGGTTCTATCGCTGCTGAACAAGCACTTCGGAAGTTCCAGGTACGGCTCCCAGCTTGATACAGGCTCAGAGTAGGTGCTCACGTTCCCGCAGGTACCCGCTATCAAGCCTACGGGCCCGCGCTGGACCTCCGCCCCCTGTGGAGCACTGACCGGTGGCTCTCCGAGATGCACCTCCAGGATACCGGACTGTCAGACTCGCTTCGTCATACTCGCGTGCTATCTTCTATCATCAGCTCATAGTACGGCTAACATGTCTATTTCGGCGACACAGTGACGAAGTTTCAAAGAGGTCTCCAGGGTAAGTTCGTGGATGATCATATCAGGCTCAACTCGAATCTCATCGAGACCGACGCCCTTTCAGTCCCGATTCGAACGAGATTGGTGCACAGTATTGGGATGGGTATCGCAAACCGATCAACAGCGCGGACGCTGACGGTCCATCTTTGTCACCTACGCGCGGCTTTCTAGCTAGGCCGAGCCATGCTCGGCACAGTTATTCGTATTCTGCGGGCCTTCTGCGCCCACGACGAGCTCGACCCGACGAACGGGTGCGGGAGGTGCGCACATCCTCGATTAGAATTCGGCGTGGACGAGATCCAACGATCGTTCCGACGTGCAGTTCGGTTCAAAATGATCGGCAGCACAGCTTTTTTCCCTTTTCCGTCCCAACCGTACTTTCTCTCCAAGAAGGCACCGGCCAGCGGTGGGTGCCCACTCCACCTACGCCCGTCGAGGGCCTGCAACACTCGACCTGGTACGCTCTTTCTGTAACGTTTGGGCATAATAAATCGTCTTGCTAAGCCTCGTAATCAATGCAGGCAGCATGCCAGGTGCGGGGGATCACTGCGCCGGGGACAGTCGGTCCTTTGCAGAGCGAGAGTTATCTCCCTGCATGCATCCGCTATCCGCCATCGACGCCTTTCTGTTGGTGGAGAGGAGGGCGGATGCCCTCTCCTGGCCATGGGCCTGGACTCTTTCTCTCCCTCCCGCGGATACGTCTCCACGATGATATAGGTTCCGCCTTTTTGGCCAGAGGACCCTCATCACCTCGTCTCCTCACTCTCGCTCTCTCACCTCCTTTCACTTCACCCTTCGCACTCTACCACTTTTTGCACTATGTCTGTTCCTCTCGAGTTCCTCAACGACCTCTCGGCTCCCCCTGCAGGACAGTCCCTCGGCGACCAGCTCGCCGAGGTCGTTACCGACAACGGACGGGTCAACTCGCTTCTCGACTGTCTGGCGACAACCGACAAGCCTGCCCTCTACTCTCCCGACATGACAAGACCGCCTCTCACCCACGCCATGCTTCACGACCACGTCAAGAACTTTGCTCTACCCACATCGGGGCTGCACGAGCGACTCGGTCCCAACGACCGGATCATGCTCGCGCTCCCCACAGGTGCGGAAAATGCGGTCGTCATCATGTCGATCGCCAGCTACCATACCGGCGCCCCTGTCAACTTCAACTGCACGGCAACTGAGTTGGCGGAGGATGCGCATCGCCTGAAGGCGAAGGCGGTCGTCACGACGAGGGACGCGGCGAACCGGTTAGAGTTGCGCAAGCTCCGCTCGGAGCTTGGCGCGGAGATCATCTTCGTGCACCCGCGTTCGCTTGGTGCTGCCGGTTTGTACGACATGTCGATCATGACCGACAGCGAGGACGAGGAGGAGTGGGATCAGATTATCTACAACTTCCCTCCCCCGTCCAAGCTCCACTGTCTTACCGACCAGTCTCTGGTCTTGCATACTTCCGGGACTAGCGGAAAGAAAAAGGTCAGTCTTCGCCGTCGATGCTCTTCCGATTTTTTTCGTTGACGCATATCTGCAGGTTGTACCTTACAACCTTCGTTGTCTTATCGTCGGGACTTGCTGTGTCAGCAAGTCTTGGGATTTGTCCGTCGAGGACGTGAACAGTACGTCTCTACACGATCACTAGTCTTTTCAACCGCTGATCATTTGTTCCATTGCAGTGAACATGATGCCGCTATTCCATGTTGGCGGTATCATCCGCAATCTGTGGGCCCCGATGTTTTCGGGTGGTTCCGCGATTATGTGCGCCGGTTTCGATGATGTTGCTTTTTGGCCTATTGTTATGGAGCGTGGTGCTACTTGGTACGTATCCAATCCTTCACGCATACTCCGCAGCTGCTGACTGTCTTCGCAGGTACTACGCCGCTCCCACTATGCATCACGCTATCCTCTCGTCCCGTCCCTCGCACATCAAGCCACTCAACGATACCCGCATTCGCATGATTGCCAATGCAGCGGGTGGTTTGTTGCCGTCTCTCGCGCAGGAGCTGAAGGACACCTTCGGCGCCGTCATCCTGCCCTCATACGGCATGACGGAGTGCATGCCCATCGCATCGCCTCCCACCAACTACCAGCTCGAGCGTCCTGGCTGCTCCGGCATCGCATGTGGACCTTACATGTCCATCCGCGACCCCTTCAACCTCGAGCGCGAGATGCCGATCGGCTCTACCGGCGCGGTCTCCTTCCGTGGCCTGCCCGCGTTCGACGGATACGAGAAGGAGATCGGACAGCCCCTCGACACCTCGTCCTTCTCGTCAGCGGGATGGTTCGACGGCGGTGACATGGGTTTCATGGACTCCGACGGCTACCTCTTCATCACCGGTCGCTCGAAGGAGATCATCAACAAGGGTGGCGAGGTCATCTCGCCGTTCGAGATCGAGGAGGCCATCACCGCTCTCGCCAAGGAGCGTGTCAAGTCTACCATCGCCTTCTCCGTCGAGCACGAGGTCCTCCAGGAGACGATCGGCGTCGTCATCGTTCCCCAGCCCGACCAGCCCCGTATCGGGCTCGGCGAGCTGCTTGACATCCTCAAGGTCCAGCTTCACCCATCGAAGTGGCCTTTCGTCATCGTCTACATGGACGACTTGCCCAAGAACAACGCCGGCAAGCCGCTCCGCATCAAGCTCGCACCTCGTCTCGGCATCCCCGTGATGACCGACGACACCCCGCTCGTACTCCGGTACTTCGAGGCGACAGCGCCGGACAAGAACGTCCCGCTTTCTGAGCCCATCCCCTCCACCCGCGTCGTCCCGGATGTGAAGCTCCTCGAGGAGGAGCTTCTCAAGATCCACGGAGTGCAGGAGGTCGACATCCGCATCTCCGACATTGGCACCCCCGAGGTGCTCGTCTCCGTCACGCCCATCTCCGAGCTCGACTCGCACAAGCTCGTGGCGTTGCTTCTCAAGCACGTTCCCGGCTACAGCATGCCCGACCCGCTGTACGTCTTCGAGAACCTGCTCGAGCGCAAGAAGGACGGGTCCGTCGACTGGGAGTACATGGAGTCCGAGATCAAGCGCCGCAACGCGTCCAGCCTGTCTGCGCGTGCCCTGCACGTCCGTGACATCGTCGCGGAGCTGCTCGACAAGGACGTCGGAACTATCGCTGGTGATAGCGACTTCTTCCTCATCGGCGGCAACTCGCTTCTCCTTGGCCGCCTGGCGCACCACATCCGCAAGGATATGGGTGTCACGCTGAAGGTCTCCGACATCTTCACCAGCAGTACCATCAACGGTATTGCGGACCTCATCGAGGCCGAAGCGTCTGGCGAGACCGTCCAGGGACGTCGTGGAACCGCTTCTGAGAAGGCGGCGATCCACCGTTGCAGTATCTCCTCCAACGCCAGTACGGTACGTCACACCTTTTTATCCCTTGTTTCGCTTCGCAGATTACTTACCGATCCCTGTAGCTCGTCGGTGAAGAGCGGAAGACTCGCTCGCAGACGCACCCCCTGGCTCTCATCATCCAGGCGCTGCCTGTGATCATCTTCCACCCCATGAAGACTGCGTTCACGTGGACAGCGCTGTTGTACATCCTGTCGCGGTTCTCGGGCTTCGTCTCGGTCGGCTACTGGGAGCGTGTCGGCGCACTACTCGCCGCCATCGTCTCAGCCCGCCTGCTCGCTCGTATCGTCTGCCCCATCGCGGCGATCATCTTCAAGTGGGTCGTCATCGGCCGCTACGTGCCTGGCACGTACCGCTACTGGAGCAACTATCACCTCCGGTGGTGGATCACGAACCAGTTCGTGCGCATCGCCGGCCGCGGTGTCTTCGCCATGCACCCTAGTATGGAGTTCCTCTACTTCCGTGCCATGGGTGCGCACATCGGCAAGAACGTCAAGATCGAGAAGGGCGCTCGGCTTGCCGAGTTCGACTTGCTTTACCTCGAGGACGGCTGCCGTATCGACAAGGCCCTCGTCCGTGGCTTCTGCGTTGAGCGCGACGGCTTCTTCCGCCTTGATCCCATCGTCGTTGGCAGGAACGCTGCGGTCAACACGTACACCAACATCAGTCCCGGTGCGATCATCCCCGAGGGCGCCGTGTACGGCCCCCACTCCTCCTCGTTTGACGAGCCGTCCCCGGATGGCTACGACACGCTCAACCGCACGGAGGCGCCGGAGCCTCACTTCCTCATGAAGCTCCTCTTCGCGTTCCCCATCATCTTCGTCGTCATGTTCATCTCCTACATCCCTTGGTTCGCCGCCCTCGCCGGCCTGCTCACGCAGACGATCGGCTCGGACGGCCTCAGCGACCTGCAGGCGATCATCCGTTGGTTCGCGTCGCCGACGCGGATCGGCTGGCACGTACTTGCCCGCATTTGCCGCGAGATCTTCCCGTCCGTAATTCAGGTGGCCCTCGGGATCGTCGTCAAGCGCACGCTCGGCTTTCACAGGGAGATGCCCGTGTCGGAGATGTCGCAGTGGACGCTCACGCGCCGCTACATCAACAACACCCTCCTCGACCAGAAGACGATCAAGAGCGCGTTCGACCTCATCGGCTCGCACTACGAGACCACCTCGATGATCTACCGCGCCATGGGCGCGAAGATCGGCAAGCGCGTGTACTGGCCGGGCTCGGGCATCTTCTGCCCCGACCCCGAGTTGCTCGAGATCGGCGACAACGTCATCTTCGGCTCGCGCTCAGAGGTCTTCACCACGGACTCTATCGGGTCCGCCAGAATCACCATCGGTTCTGGGTCGATGATTGCGGACCGTGTCGTGCTCATGCCCGGGGCCAAGGTCGGCCGCAAGGTCGTCATGGGCTCCGGCGCGCTGGCCAAGCGTGACGGTGAGTACGGAGACGGCTCCGTCTGGATGGGCAACGACCGCGGCGAGGCTGTCTGCTTCGGTAAGCCCAACAAGGAGACCACCGACGAGGTGCTCTCGACGCCCTTCGGCCGCGCCTTCTACGACCGCGACGCGTCCTACTACGTCTACCCCTACTGGTTGCTACTCATCGTCTACTTCCTCGTCAGCGCGTTCAGCGCCGGCTACTGGGCGATGGGCCCCGTCATCGTCACGCAGATCGTCAACGCCATCCGCCGCCTCCACCCCGACCTCGACCTCTTCGACGGGTCCGGCTCGGAGCTCTTCATCCTCTTCGGCCTCGTCGCCGCCTGCTTCATCTTCGTGCTTTCCTGCCTGTCCTTCTTCATCATGCTCTGGGTCATCGGCACCAAGTGGATCATCATCGGGCGTCGGCGCGAGGGCCGCTACGACTGGGACCAGAGCTCGTACTGCCAGCGGTGGCAGCTGCACCTCACCGTTGCGCGCCCCGTGCACCGCGGGTTCGACAACGGCGGTATCCTCGGCGGCATCAGCGGGTCCGCGTACTACGCATGGTACCTGCGCGCCCTCGGAGCCACGGTCGGTAACGACTGTGCGCTTTTCGCGGGCGGCAAGGTCGGGCTCATGACTGAGCCCGACTTGGTTGAGATGGGCAACAACGTGTCGATCGACGACTGCTCGGTCGTGGCGCACATCAACTCGCGCGGCAACTTCTCGCTCAACAAGCTTCGCATTGGTCAAGGGTACGTCTCCTTCTCCTTCACTTGCTTTTGGACGTTGTACTCACAATCTTGTCCTTAGATCTGCGATGCGCGCTGGCTCACGTCTGCTCTCCGGAGCGGCGATGGACGAGTCTTCGATGCTGTGCGAGCACACGCTCCTCACCTCTGGCGAGACAGCGATGGCGGGCGCGGCGTACGCTGGATGGCCCGCACGGCAGCTTGACGACGTCTTCTTCCTCGAGCGCGTGCCCTCGGGCGCGTCTCAGGGCGCGGACATCCCGCTTGCGCGGGACTACAGCCGCATGGACCACATCCGGCGGTCGATGTCAATTGCGGTGCGGGACTTCACCGCGGACTCGACGACCGCGGGGTCGTCGGAGAGCGGGGACGCGACCGAGACCGAGAAGGACACGTCGAGCAAGACGGGTCTGATGGTTTAGACTGCTAGAGTTTCGTTTGGACATTGGACTATGGCATGCTTAGTGTATATCTACTATCCGACGCATATATGTTTTAGTATCTGGGCCAGTCATCTCTTCATATCTTTAGAGTGTTTCAATTCTCGTGTAGCCATAGTGGTGTCAAAATGATATAAAGTCTAAACCAACTCTTTCCCTGTTCAAGTGCGATCTTCTGAGGGCGACTGACTGATCTTTTACTACTCCCTCAACAACTCTATTCCAAGCCATTCATCTGCTTTTCCTTCAACCCTTTCACTTATCTTCACTTCACTCGCTCTGTATGTTCACCGTCGCGCACCCAGTTTCGAACTGCCACCTCGCTCTACGTTACCCCTGCCAATTGTCCATCTTGCCGATACGTCAATTATTATCTATTCCGTATTCCATGAGTTATTCCATACATATACACGGTGTCCAGCGAAATCCAAGCGCGAGTGAGTGCGAGCATCCTCCAGGTAACGGTGACAGGGGAACGAGACGGCCCAGCCGCCTTTCACATCTACAAAGCTACCGATACAACTGAGTGGTGCGAGGTATACGTACATGTTGCTCTTACATTATCCCAAGCCTGAGTTTGTGCGGAGAGACAAAAAAACACGAGAAAGACGAGCGAACACCTACGCGTCGACGAGGTCCTCATCGAGCAAGTCCCAGCCCTCGTCCTCCTCCACGATCCGCTCCTCCCTCCGCCTCGCCTCCTTCCCGCTCGTGCCCCGCGCCCGCGCCCGCGCAGGCGTCGCCGCCGTCGCCTGCAGCAACTGGCTAAAGTCGAGCGCGAACGCAGGCGGGGTTGGGGGCGGCAGGAGCGGCCGCGCCGCATGCGAACGGCGCCCGAGCTCCGGCGAGCAGCACACGGCCCAGAGCACCCCAAGCGCATCACCTGCGTGTGCGAGCGGGACGTCGACCGCCTGCGTGTGCGCGAGGTAGCACACGTCGTAGAGGAGCATCGCGAGCGCGGTCGTGAACGCGCCCCCTGGGGCGGATGCGCCCGAGGGGGGTGGAGAGTCTGCGAGCTGTGAGTCCGCGAGTGTGGAAGCAGACATTGATTCGGAGAGCGAGGCGCTGCGGGTGTGGGTGCTGGAGGGGGCTGTGGGGGAGGGCGAGGTGGAGGCCCGGTGGGAGGAGGGGCGAGAGGACGATGGGGAGCTGGTGTTGGATGAGGAGGCGGGCGGAGGTGCGGAGGAGACGTGGAGAGGTTGTTTCGTCGACCACCTGGAGTGACATGATGTGCATTAGTTCGTCTGACCGGCGGAGAAAACCTGACCGACTAACCTAGCCCAGCCACCGCTCTCACCACCGCGTGTCGCGCCAATCCAGGGTATTCCGACGCCCAGTAGGCCACTCCCTTTCGGAGGGCCCGTGGGGGCTGTTGTCGACCGACTCCATACGATCTCGAACGGGAGCTTCACGCCGAGATAGAACGCGAGCAGCGTCACAAAGTGTATCGTGTGCGTAAGCACCGCGTTTATATGGTCAGGGGGGTATCGTCGGATATCGCCCGGGACGGGCAACACAAGCCCGCCGATCGTCCACTCGCCCTTCGTGCCCGCCTTACCACCAAGCGGTGGGCGCCCGCCCACCTCAACGACGCTGAACACCTCGACAAGCTCCTGCACGAGCCCAGAGCGCGCCCTTGCGATCGTATCCGAGAGCGCAGCGAGCTGGGCCTGCGTCTCATCGATCTGCCGCGCGAGCAGGTCGATCCCGCGTGTAGGTAGCTGCGTTCCGTACGGGGCGCTCCCCGGAATCGGGCTTGACACCGCGCGAGCGTGTACGCCTACTAGCGCAGATGGGCGGGCATAGCTCTGGGGCGGGGTAGAAGCGAGGGAGAAGGGCGAGCGGGCAGCTTGGGGGGATGCCGAGGTGAAGTACCCGGTGCTCACGGGGCGGGAGGATGCGATGGGTCGCGAGGCGGAGGGCGCGTTTGAGGGGGATGGGGTAGGCGAGTGCGAAGAGATTGAGGAGGTCGGGCGACTGGAGGCTATGGCACGCCCTGCCTGCGGCGATCCAGTGATGGGCGCGTAGGGTGGGGAAGCGGAAGTTGAAGGAGTCGACGCATGGGGATGTACAAAGGTGGAAGTTGCGATAGCAAGAGTTCGTCTTCGAGTGGCGAGTGTGCTCCTCAAGGTCTGCACCCGTTCGCGTACTGCTAGACGTTAGCACGCGGACAAAGGCCGAAGGTATATTGGACGCACATCGCTCGTTCGTGCCTCGAACCTCGTTCACGCCGTCCCAAATTTCTTGGACCCTCTCTTCTCGCCCCTTCAGCTCGGCCCTACGAAGGCGTGCAGGGTCCACGACGGTGGTGAGAGCCTTCTCCGCCGCGGAGATGTGGGCGTCTCTGTCTGCCGCAGCATGTTGGGTCTGCGATCGGAAGTTGAGCAGACTGCAGCAGGATACCAAGTAAGATGCGTTTCAACCGCATTTGAAGAGAAAAGAAGCACGCACTGTGTCCTGAGACAATTCTCGCAGTAGAATCTTCTTTGGGTGAGCTCGCAATTTGGGCAGTCCATGCACGGGTTGGGGGACGCAGAAGGCTCAGTGAGACCGTTTGCAGGATTACGAGCTTGTAAGCGATGATGGTAGTAGCTAAAAGATGTACTCCGATGGTTTCTGGCTTATTTGGGAGTGGTAACAAGCTGAGTGTCGCGTCCCGGGATGAGAGACGGAGGAGAGGCAGGCGGCGGCAGCGATCCGTCTGCGTCACCCTGAGTGAACGGAGCGCCCGGGACGGTCCTTGCGGCCCGGAGTCGATCGCGTCGCGTCGCGTCCGAGCACACCAGCGCTCCTTGTCTTCCGCCCTCATCTCCTCCTCAGCCCAGCGCGTCCTCCGAAAGCCCTTCGACCGTGTTGCGACACGCTTTGGTAGAGAAGGACCGACGCGAAAGGGGTCACCGACACATGCATGCATATGGCACTCCTCGGGGTGTATCTCAGATCTCGGCTTTCCTTCCTTGTCCCACTGCCACAACACAACCTACTACGAGCTCTCAGGATTCCGCAGCACATGCCGAGGTCGAGTCCTTGCGTTCACGCCATCTGCTTCTAACATCTGTGAAGATGTGGCTCATGTATCAGGCCCTATCCAAGCACACCTTCTGCACGAATTCTCGGCTGTTTTTAGCAACTCCATCATGTCGAGAACAGGGACATGGGAAGAGGTGCTTTATAAGCCTGCCGATGGTGCCATCTCGCGCCCAAACTGCGCGCACTTCCAAACCATATACGTTCGATTGAGTTCGTGAGAAGCCTCGCAAGCTTTATAAAGGGCTCCATTCCGCCCTGGACTGGAGCCAGGACGCCCTCCTATCCCTCGTTCAACCCACATACACCTCTAGCCATGCCCGAGAGAATCACCCTCTACACTGCCAAGGTACGTCTCCAGCAAACTATCATACCTACTTGCGACTTACAAGCTCTCATATTCGTAGATCTGCCCCTTCGCCCAGAGGGTGAGCTGCCACTGTCGTCGCGGCCGCAAAAGACATATACTAACACCGTACATAGGTTGAGATCGCGCTCCATGAGGCCAAGGCCCACCATAATGTCGAGCAGTTCCAGATCGACCTCCAGAACAAGCCTGAGTGGTACGCGCCCAAGGTCAACCCGGCGAGCAAGGTACGAGCCCTCCTAACTCCTCCCCGCGAAGCATGCTTAACCTAACGCCACCCCCACTATAGGTCCCCGCCATCGCCTACGGCGGCCCGCACGTACCCCCGGACCAGCCCTCCCCCGAGTCCATAAAGCTCGCCGAGTCGCTCATCCTCGTCGAGTTCGTCGCGGACCTCTTCCCGCACTCGCACCTCCTCCCGCACGACCCCGTGAAGCGCGCTCAGGCGCGCTTCTTCATCGACGGCGTCTCGACCAAGTTCATCCCCGCCTGGCACGCGTTCTCGCAGGGCAAGTCGTCCGAGGAGGACTTCCTCACGGCCGTCGAGCACCTCCAGGCGCTCCTGCCCGAGAGCGGGTTCGCGGTTGGGGCGTACTCGATCGCGGACGTCGCGCTCACGCCGTTCCTCGGACGCGCGCGGGTGACGCTCAAGGAGGACTTGGGCGGGTACCCGAGGGGCGAGGGGCCGCGTGTGCTGGCGGTGCTTACTTCGGGCACCGGCCGGCTGGCGCGCTTTGGCAAGTATGCCCAGGACCTGCTCGCCCGCGAGAGTTTCCAGGCTACGTTCGATGAGGTAAGGGCTGTTCTTCGTGCAATGTTAGTGTATGTGCTGATACCGTCTGTGATACAGGCCTACATCACCGAGAGGTACAAGGCGCGCTTCGCTGACTTGCGCAAGTAAGCCTCGTGCTGCATCCCATAGTGAAGGTGTTTCTCTCAATGTACGAATAAAGGAGTCAGCGGTCGTGTACGATTTCGAATTCAAATCCGTTGCTGGTCGTGCGCCAGTGGGCGAGAGCGGTGAGCCAACGATTCAAACCTAACAAGAAAGGCGAAGCACAGGACCCCAGTCGGTGAACCGAAGGTCGCGTTGCAAAGGACCAAAAATCGCACTCAAGCGTCGTGGAGGGCTGGGTCCCCTATGTTTCCTATTATCGTTACCTGGACTATGCTTATACCCACTCAATCTTGATTTTCGCTGAACACGATCGTGTATATGTATCGAATAACTCATGAGATACGGAATAGATAATAATTGGATGCATCGGAACGGCGCGGGCAACATGGACAATGGACAGGGGACTGACAGGGGTAACCGTAATACTTAGAGCGAGGAGGCAGTCTGGTTCGAACTGGGTGCGCAGCGGTCGGCATAAGCACGGCCGGGCAAGACGGCGAGCGACAGGGAAACGAATTTGGGAGTAGAGTAGGAAGAGGTGAGCTCGGTTGGTCGGTTGGGAGAGAAGAGGACGAGAGAGGACAGCAGCAGCGATATCAAGTACACAGCGAAAGCAAAGTACATAACTGCATAAGTTCAAGGCGGGAGACGGTGAGGTGAGATGCATATACGGGTGAATGCGTGCGGGAAGCTGATGCGGCGATGTTTATCGACAAATGGCAGAGACTAGGTAGGGGGATGTCGGAGACGGGGACGGGGACGGGGTGAGATGAGGGAGTAAGTCCATAGGGGCGGTATAGATGCGAGGATGAGATGCAAGACGTATCAATACAGATGATGGGAGATGCCGGCGACCTCTTTCTCTTCCTCCTCAGCCAACTGGTGCTGCTCAAGCGGGCATCGCGCTCATCCTCCGCGCCGCCTTCGTCGCGGATCCTGTCGAACTCGTCGAGCTCGCGCGCGACGATGGCGCCGAGTTCTCCTTCTCCTCCGGCTCGCTCATCGACGACACCGACGGCAGCTTCTCCAACTTGTCCAGCTTCTCTCTGCTGCCCGACGTCGACGCACGCAGCTTTGACGGCTCCAGGATTGACGCCGACACGCGCCGTTGGTGCATAGGCGCCTTGATCGTGCTCGGGGTCGAACCCGCTCGCACCGCGGAGGGCCCGGATGGAATGCGCGTGGGTGTGGCGGTTGCGGACGAGCTGCGAGCGAGAGAGGGGGGCGGACCCATGGCACCCTCGACGGACGAGCGCTTCAGGGGCAGGGGCTTGGATGTACTCGCAGAGGCGTTGGGGCGGACAGGCCTGCCAAACGTGGACTTGGTCGCCGTTGAGGGCGTCTCGCTCATACGACGGTCCTTTGCAACGCTCCCAGTGTCAGAGAGTGCAGAGGGCGGGCGGGAGCCGGCGACGCTGGGTGTGCCGAAAATGGACGATTCGCGACGTTGAGCAGGGATCTTTGCAGAGGATGCGGGTGTGCTGCCGGCGGTACCGCGAACGTTCAGACGCCTCTTGAGCTAAGATATACAGTAAGCATCGTTGCACAGAACAGACATAAACTGCAAGACTTACCATCTCGAGCTCCTGCTGCTTCGAGTCCAGCGCGATATTGAGCCCGTCCAGGTCCTCCTTGTCCTGCGTGTGCTTCTTCGAGTACTGCACCAGCTTCACCTCCTTGTCCGCGCTCTCCTGCTGGAGCTCGTGCACCTGGCGCCTCAGCCGCTCGACCTCCGCCGTGAGCGCGGCCGCGCGCTCCCTGAGGCTCGCGAGCTGCACGTCCGTCTCCGCCTTCTCGCGCACCATCGCCTCCATCGCCGCGCGCGCCTCGACCTCGCGCGCGACGACGTCCTGCAGCGTGCGGCTCTGCTCGTTCACGATCCGCGCGTGCTCGCGCTTCATCTTCGTGATCTCGCCCTGCGCCGTCTCCGCGTCGTTCTCGCGCTCCGAATCCTTCTTCGAGAGCTCGGCGAGCTCCGCCTCGCGTTCGCGCAGGCGCGATTCGAGCCGGGAGGCGCGGTCCTCGGCGAACTTCTGCTCATTCTGGAGCGCGGTAACCTTGTCCTCGCGTTCGCGCAGCGCGCGAGTAAGCTCCTCAGCATGCTCCTGCTCGGAGCGGAGCTGCTCGTCCACCTGCAAAGCCAGTGTCAACCTGCGGTTATAATCCTGGATACTACGCGAACTTACCTCACTACGCTCCCTCTCGAGCTCCTCCTTCGCGTTCCACAGGTCTTGCACCTCCGCCTCGAGCTCGTTCTTCCTGTTCTCCGCCAACGTCCACTCGCCCTCCATCTCACTGATGCGCGCGTTGAGCGCCTCGACCTCCCCACGCATCTCCTCGCGCTCGCGCTCAAGCTCCGCAATACGCTCGGTCTGCGCCTCCGTCCCGCGCCACTGCGCCTCGAGCTCCGCCTTGAGCACAACGAGCTCGCCGTTCGCACTGAGTGCGTCCTCGCGCGCGTCCGCGAGCTGTGTCTCCATCGCGAGTTGTTGTGCGTGAAGCGCGTCGTTCGTCGCCTTCGCGGCCTTGAGCTCGTCGTCCAGCGCAACGGTAGAAATGACGCGCGACCGCTCGGCCTCCTCCATCATGCTGACGTCCATCGACTCCATCTGCTCGCGCGCGAGTGCGATGCCGTTCTTGAGCTCGCGCTCCGCCTCGTCCCGGCGGGCGAGCTCCTCCTTGACGCTCTCGAGCGCGGCCTTGGTCTCCTTGAGCTCCTCGGACGCGCGCTGCTCCCGCTTCTCAAACACAGCCTTGTCGCGCTCGAGCTCCCCGATGCGCTTGTGCAGGGAGCGGAGCGCCTGGCCGGACGCCTCGTCCATGACGCTGCGGTCGACGCTCTCCTCGCGGCTGCGGTCGAGCTCGTCCTGCATCTGGTGCACGTAGCGCTCGAGCTCCGCGACGCGTTTGCGCCAGCGGCCGTTGATGCCCTTACGCTTCTCGCACTCCTTCTCGGTCTCCTCGAGCCGCGACTGCAGCATCCGGGTGATCTCGTCGCGTGCGCCAAGGTCGACCTCGTACTGTGCGCACAACTCCGTCTGGAGCGCGAGCTGTGTCCGGAGGGAGAGGATCATGTCCTCCTCACGGGAAGCTTTGCGACTATGGGCAGGCGCGGAGGATGGAGGGGTTGGAGGTACGCCGGTGCCAGGGGTGTAGTAGGCTCGCGCATTTGCGCCGAAAGGGTCCTTCTCCTTCTCTGGAGACTCGGGTGTTGGATACAGTACGAGTGCGCTGGAGGACCTGTCGTCGATGTCTGCCTCCGGGAGAGCGCCTTCTCTAGGAGCGGATGATGGCGCAAAGGAGTGGAAGACAGTGTCGCTGTAAGCACGGTTGCGCTTGAGCTTCAAAGAACCCCGGGAGAACGAGCTAGAGGAGTTTGCAGACGCTGGCGAATCCCGACCCCCGTTCGAAAGGGAGTGGAAGACTGTCTGGCCGAAACTGAAGGACTGGCTGCGATCGTGCATACTTGATGATGGACGATTATTTGAGGGCGTACTCGAACGGAACTCGCCATCCAGCTCTGATGGGCGAAGTATCGTGCCGTCAGTGTCTGCGTATGAAGGTAGTTCGATAGCGGTGTCGAGCAGCTGTGTGTCCTTGCCGATAGGTATTGGCGGCAAGTCCATGTCCGACGAGAGGTCGAAGAGGTTAGAGTGATTCGGAGGAGGTAGAGGCTTCATCAACGAAGACTGGGGTGGTGAGAACACGTCCGCGAGGGGCGGTCGTACAGGCGTGCTAGTGCTCGCTTTGATACGTGCGCCGAACGAGGCAGCTTCAGGTTCGCTACCTGTTGCGCTTGCGGCGGAGGCGTCGGGGCTGATGAATTTGTAGGCATCGCGGGAGAAGAAGCGGACACTCTGGCCTGTCGCAGGCGTGTTGGGGTCGCGGAGAATTGAACGGAGTGAATTGAACCTGTCGCCGATGGGAGTGTTGGGCGCACGAGGGACCTCTGGTGAGCGTATGGAGTCCTGAGATGGTCGTGGTTGACTTGACTCTATCGAGGCTCGACTTGAAGAGGCGTCAGAGGCAATAGAACCTAATTTGTCGACGTCAGCATCGAATGGTTGAAGAATGATACGGGTGACAAGAGCTTGGTGGGAATGATGACAACAGCCAGAGGGCATGTCAAGAGTAAGGTGCCACAGAGCATGGGCGGCGCGCCTCACAAACAGGTGCACAAGGTGCAAAGGCAGCCCCGAACAAAACGGGCAGATTACCCTGCATGATTCAACCAGCAGACTCGTATTCGGCTCCTGCGTGCCTCAAGAGAGACAGGAATGAAGCACAACTGACATCATATGTAGGCAGCTATGGGCGCGTCTGTGCCCGAGGTGGCAGGAGCATATGGCATCCCTGACGGGTTCCCATGCGCGACGACGGCCAGCGACACCAACGGACTGTGCCACCGAGACCAGAAAGAAGAGGAGACACTCACTAGCAGAGTTAGGCGCAATGGATGACTTTACTTTCTTCAGGTGGGGAATTGAAAGCTTGAGGGATAGCTGAGAGCCCTGAGGGGGCTGGTCGTTCTCGGAGTATGTCTTGGGGGTGCGCTTGAAGATACCGCGGCGGCCGTTCTTGGAGGGTGACGCAGGAGGACTTGGGGTGGGAAAGGGCACCTCTGAGGGCTCGTGGAAGTTGGAGAGGTTGGGGTGCTGGTTGAATACGGTGGAGAGGACGGATGGGGGCTTGAGGCCGTCGTCGCGTTCGGTGTCGAGCACTGGTGTCTCGGGGCGTTTTAGTGCGCTGCTGATTTTTGACCACATTCTTGGGAGTAGTGTGTCGCTGCTGGGGGTGATGAGGGGATGAGAGAGTTAGCGGGGAGGGCTGGGGGAGGTAAGCGACATCAACGACAGAGACAAGAACAACCCGGGCCCGGCGTCAAAGTTCAACTTTGCCACTCCCGCTTCGCGCGTAGACCACGTGATCGTGTATCGACGCGCCTCCAACCGCGTAGAATGCAGACGTACTCACGCGCAAACGTTGCATAATATGCTGGTCTCGTACGAGTATACACGTACTTATGTTCCGTAACCGTGGCAGTCTAGAATTGAAGCAGTACACATTCGGATTTGAAGGCGGCTAGCGCGTATAGGAAAGCGCCAAGTATAAGCGATGCTATACGTACTACTGAACGCGTACACAGGAGCACAAGTATACGACAAACTAGCACAACAAGACAGCTGTTGCTACTTTTTAGTACCCCGAAGGATATGCTATGAACTTCAGAAGCTGAGGTCGTCCTTCACCTCCAGCCGACGCAGCCGCTCAACCGCCCACCCAGCCCCGTCCCACGTGCGGGCGACAACGTACCCAGTGAGGAACTGCACTTTCCGGAGGGTCGGACAGTACCTGTTGTACGGTATCACCAGGTTCGCAAGCTCCTCCTCGATCGACTCGAACGAGCAGTCGTACAGGTACGCCGGGTGGTTCGCCTTGGTGCCCACCAGCTCCGGCTGCGCGTAGATCTGCAGCGTGTGCAGGTGCGACATCCTGGACAGGAACTCGGGACCGAGTGTGACCAAGAAGTCCTGCAGAGTCCGGCAGCGTCAGCGATGTTCGAAGACGAGAAGCACGACGGGATGCGTACCTCGCTCGGACCGTCGGTGCCCTCGTACACGATCTTGAGGCGCCGGAGCTCCTTGAACAGCTTCACGACCGCAGACAACACTTCCTCATCCCACCCCCGCAGCTCCAGCATGAGCATCTTCAGCCCCGGCCGGGAGGCCGCCACGCTCTCGAGCGCCTGAATCGCATCCCTCCCGTCCAGCGCACACTTCAGCACGCCCAGCGCCTGCACATCCCGCGCCGCCGCGACCGCCGACGCCGTCTCCACCGGGGCCGCGAACCGCTCCAGCCCCAACGGCAGCGCCTCGGGGGCGATGGTCGTGTTCGGGGGCACGAAGATCGGCGTCGACAGCGTGCGCAGACTCAGCGCCCGAACTGCAAAGTGGTACAGGTCCGTGTGCGGGAACGCCTCCTCCCCGAGGTACACCGGCTGCGCCTCCCCGCGCGCGGAGCGGCGGCGCACGACGAAGACGTGCGCGAGCTGTGGGGGGATCGCCCACCCCCGCGCGTCCGCGTTCCACGCGTTGTAGATCAGCCGGAACACGTCCGCGCTCGCGTCGACGGTGAGCGTGCGGAGCGTGCGCGCGGTGCACAGCGCGAGCACCGTCGTGAGGTTCCCGGAGTGCTCGTCGAAGTGCACCTGCGCGAGCACCATCGCCGAGATCTGGCGGCGCAGGTTGGTGATCGTGAGCTCGGTGAGCGGCAGGTCTGCGTGGTTGAACGTGAGGGGCGGGCCGCCGCGGCCCTCGCGGAAGAGGCAGAGGTCGAGGCGCAGGGCGCGGAGCTGGGGGAGGCTGTGGATGAGCGCGAAGTGCGTGTTGGTGATGATCATGTCGGTGAATGCGAGCGTGGAGATGTTCTTGAACGTGCCGATGCGCGCGAACATGGCGTCGTGCAGCGCAGGGGATGCAAATCCGGCCGTCGACTGGCTACACATGCCGTGGTACCGGACGGTATGCTGCAGGAGAATGCCATCCTCGAGCAGGTGTGGGCGGCGCACCGGCTCGGCCTCGGGCTGTCCGTCGAGTCCGATCAGAGTAGAGGACATGCCGGGCAGCACGGCGGATACCCCGAGCTCGAGTGAGCGGACCGCAAGGTCCATGCCCGGATAGGTATCCCATACCGGGAGGCTGCGAGCTGCGTGCGCCGGATCGAGCCATACGATGTTGCGGTGCAATGCGCGGACGGTGAGGTCGTAGAATTTGCGGCTGGCGACGCTCAAACTATGGAGGTCCGCCGTCGCGGGCACCAGCGCGAGTATCTCGAGCCAGATCTCTACGGGAACTTTCTCCTGAGGAGTAAGAACTGGCTGAGCTGCGTTCATGAGTGCTTGAAGTGGTTGGGAACGAGGGGGAGATGATGCGGTCGTGCGTGGGTTTATTCCCTCGCTTCGGTGGCTCACTAAACGTAAAAAGCAGCATGAGAGCATGATCAAAATGGCAACCCATGACGCGCGCGTGTAGTCACGTACCAGTATCTAAGCTTTCACGTTCAAGAAAGCACAGACAAGACTCAGGGGGACTGGTGGTGGTGGCGTGTCAAGGAGAGTGAGCTGTCGCGAAGTTGCCAGTGAGCCCCTGTGTTGTCGCACACTGGCCGGGCCGTAGGCTCTTTATATACTCCCCCGGCGTCTACTCGCGTTCCTCATTATTTCGCCGGTTGCTTGATGCCGCCATGAGCATGCCACTTTCGCGGAACCATTTCGTGCTGAGGGCGGTGGGTACATGTCGTGCGTGTCAGATGGAGAGTGGTCGAAAAGTGAGCATAATATTGCTCGGTGGGCGGCAAGTTCCGACGCTAAGATCTGAGACCACTCGCGTCCACATGTACAAATGACCGGGGAGGTGTTGGTCCACTGAACAAGCCTGGGACATCGGATGTGTGGCGTGCGCATGGCTAATCATATCATTATACACTCTGAGAATCTCAAGCCGTAGGGAGGAGACTCGAAGTTCGAGAAGCTTGCCCCATCAGAGGGAAACATAATGGCGAAAGTAACGGCGAACATTCCTGCACCGTGTGCATCTCAAGTTGTGCATCTCAAGTTCGAGCCTGAAACCCATGGACGACCGGTGTATCACGCGTTGGCACGAACAAGAAATGGCACAGGATAAAACACATAACATTGCATGCTACTTTTTCCCAATAATCCCACTGACTACACTTGAGTACAACATTCCATCCAAAACAGTCCGTCCAGCCTACTCGTAAATACCCGCGTAAATAGTATCAATTCGTAGACCACCCGCCAGCTGCTTAGCAGCCCGAGGGGACGGCGGTGTTGTCGTTGTGGCTCGCCGCGTTTACGCCGAGGCCACGGCTCGCGAACGCATTCCAGAGCGTGCACTTGTTCGCGCCCCCGAAGCGGTTCGCGTCCGCCTGGATCCACGCGTCACGCGCGGTGAGGAACGTCGGGTTGCACGGCTGCAGCGAGAGCGCGTCGATGAAGAGGTGCAAGAAGACGACGTTGCCGGCGGTGCCGGTGGGGTCCGTGCGCGCGGTCGTGGAGAAGCCGTGTGCGCTGACGAGCGCGGCGTACACGTTGTGCAGCATGTTCGCCCAGACCTCGCCGATGTTGTGCACCTCGTTGAGCGTCTTCACGGACGAGTAGCGCAGGGGGTTGACGGTCGCGGAGGTCGAGTAGGGGTGCGAGCGGATACCCGCGGAGTCGGCGATCACGTACTGGCCCATGACGTAGTCGGGGACGGACGAGTCGGTCTTCTCGAGCCAGCTGTAGAGGGTGATCGTTAGCGTCAGGCGTGCAGAATATAACCAGTGCGACTCACTCAGCGAAAGCGTCGGACCAGCCCTCACCGAGACCGCCAGCCTCGGTGGTCTGGAGGCAGCGGCCAGTTCCACCACCGGTGAGGCGGTTGGTGAGACCGTGGGTGTTCTCGTGCGAGACGATGTCGTTCTCAAGGGCACCGTCGCGCTGGGGGCTGGTGAGGTCCCACAGGAACATGCGCATCGCGCCGCTCTGGCCGTCGGGGGGAGTCGAGAAGTCGGCGTTGTCGGTGCCGGCGGAGTCCTGGACGGACACGGTGACGCGGTCTGCGCCCTTGCCGCCCTTGCCGAAGTTGTTCGTCTGGAAGTTGAACGCGGCCTCGGTGAAGCCGTACTTGTACGTGATGTCGTGGATGGAGTTGACGATGTAGAACGCGTTGACGCGTGCGGCGTTCACGTTCGCGGTAGTGGTGGGCGCGGTGCTTGCGCTCTGGGGGTAGTTGAAAACGAGGCCGGTGCCGGACTGCGAGGTCGTCGACGACTGGCTGCTCTTGAACGCAATCACGTTGTTGCCAGCGGTAGTGGTGGTCGTAGTCGTGCCATCACTGTGCCAGCCGTTGGGGGAGGCGGTGGTGTCCTGGGGGTCGACAACGGTCTGGAAGCCCTGGGTAAGGACCTCCTTGGTGATGGGGAGGACAAGGTACTGTGGGTACTAGTTAGCTGAGTTCATACTGTTCCTCAGAAATCGAGCTCACCGAAGCCTTGCTGACGAAGTCGGTGACCGAGATGAGGTCGCCAGAGTGGGCGTCGACGAACGCCTCGAACCACGTGCCGGCCTCCTCGTTGCGGACCTGGAACACGTGGGTGAGGGCGACGGAGCCGTCCTCCTTCGCGAACCACTCGAGCGTGGGCTCGGGGAAGTTCTCGGCGTCGTGGGTGCCGCTCAGGAGCTCCTCGGCGGCGGCGATCGCGTCCGCGACCGCGACGGAGGGGGTGGTGGCGAGCTTCGCCTTAGGGACCTGGACGAAGGAGGAGCCGAACGCGACGACCTTGTTGTCCTTGTTGAAGGCGACGTTCGCGACGGCGTTGGCGAAGGGGATGCCGGCCAGCTGCTGCTTGACGTAGACGTGGTGCGCGACCTCGCCCTCGAAGGCGGAGCGGACGTGCACGGCATCGGAGTCAACGCCGGCGCGCGACTGAACGAAGGCGATCGCCGAGTCCTCGATGGACGCGTCGGCGCGCTTAGACAGAGGGTGGTCGATACCAGCCCCGAAGGTCTGCGAGAGCGCGGGTGTCAGCTGTGCAGGCGCTACGGAGCGGGGGTGGGACGTACCTCGAAGGACGACTCGGGGTTGTAAGCCTCGACCTTGAAGTCCCGGCTGATCTCACGAGTGCGGTGCGTCGCGAACTTGGAGCTCACGGGGTATGGCACCGCAGTGGCGGAGCTCGCGCAGAGCACCGCGAGGAAGACGGACGCGAAGACCTTCTTGAATGCGAACATTGTTGAATTGGTGGGGGGTAGGCGTCCGTGAACGGTGTGAGGGAGTGCGGGAGTGCGGAAGTGAGACTGGGACTGGTGAAAGTCTGTCTGGAGCGAAGACGGGAACGAGATCGCCTGGAGAATTGGAGGACGCGCACCACGCAGCTTTTATACTTCGCAGCTATCGCTGGTGGTCGCCCGACGCCGTGATGGATGTAGCAGGTCCGAGGAGGAGCACGTTGCGATGTGGCGACCCGCATGGCCGCCAATCCACGCTGGTCGCGAAAGGCCGACTCTGGTATGTGCTGTACGCCCCAGGGCCTGACCATCACGAGGGCACAGAGGGTTGCGACAGAGGGCGTGATAGGACTTCCTCCGGGCGGAAGCATCCTCCATGCGATCGTGGGCATGGCGCTTCTCTCGAAGAACGGATTTAGTGATCCGCCGGACGTTCCGGGCCCCTACCTGGGGTTCGGGTGATATGAGCTTCCCCCACAACCAGGAAGATAGAAGTATCCACTTACTCGGATTTACTTTGGGGTTTGTGGGGTAGACTAGTGTTGACTGCTGCTCAATTGTCGTGTTGGCAAAGTCCGTAGCCTCTGAGTAGTTTGTGTCGCCGACGGATATGTTCCGTCTCGCTCTCCAGAGGCGGTTGAATTGTCTGGTCGCTATCTGCATTCTGGACGAATAATTCCACATGGCTGGCGCTGCAGGTGGTGGAAAGAGATCGCCAGCACCATGCTACCCTCCAATGTAAGCAGATGCCAAGCCATCGGCCTCGTTGTTCAACCCGATGACAACACAACTCAGTACAACGACGTTATCCGCACCCCGCTGCTGCAGTGCCACAAGGTCCAAGCCAGGTGGTCGCAAGAGGTCATCAGGTTCAGGAGCGATGTACTCAAGCGAGAGCAACGATGTTGTTGTGCTTCGTCAAGGGTCGGAGTTCACAGCTGCGCCGACTTGCTCTAACATCAGTGACGCACCGTGCCACCACGAGCATCCTATCTGTTGCAGATGAATAGAAGCCGTGCCGAGGTCGGTGAACGCGTTGTTGCGACTACCGCTCTAGGCGGGTGTGAGAATGTCGAATGTCAGGAAGCCATGTCCTCATGGGCCTTTGTCGATTCGCACCGCCGGCGACCGTGCCAGGCTTGGCTAGGCTACATGCAAACAACTTCGGAACAGTGATGAACCATGAGTAGTTGATTAGTAGCTTGAGAAGACGACTCACGGGCGATAGGAATGCCGCCAAGCAAAACTAGAGATCGTCGAGATCGTTGGAGTGTGCCCGGCTAGCATCAACGATGCCAAGCCTCGTCGCCCACATGGGTTCTAGCCCACACCGAGCAAGCTACACATGCTGCGAGCTTCGTATGAGGAACGCAAGAGGGCAGCGGGTCGTGTGCAAGATATCGGGTGTAAACGTTTGAGGCTATGGGCCTCGGGGCTTGGACGCCAACGACGCGCACACCTCCTGGCCCTGGGCCCGGTGACGCAAGCGCCGGGCCGATGAAATGCACAAGCAGGGCGCTTATTGTGCACCCACATGTACGTTTGCGCAAGTCCGCAGGTGCACGGCAGCACAGCGCTAGAGCAGTCGATTGAGGTAGAGACGCTATACATGACCTCGCTTCGTCCTCTCACGTCGACCCTCGGCTTCAAGTTCTCGGAGCGCAGCAGCCGCCCAGCCCGAGAACCCGTCCTTGTCGAATGCCTCCCGCAGTCGCTGCTCGGCCGCAGGCCAGTTCCACCCCTCGACTTCCGACGGAGACAGAGTAATAGACATTGCCGGTGCCTCAGACGATTCTCCTGGTAAACTTGATACATCGTCTTCGACTTCCGGCAGTCGATGTATCCGGGATGAAAGTTGCGGCATTCGGGAGAGGATGGCTAGACGCATTCTGTCGGCGAACTCTTGCGTCTAGTGGAGAAGCCAGGCATATGAGTTATGTACACTCTGAGCAAAGGCTGCACGTACCGTCTCCACGCCCATGTATGTCCTGATTCCCCAGACAGTTGTCAATGCACCGGTTCCGACGAGGAGTGTTGCAAGACCGAAAGCCTTCGCACAATGCAATGCGCCGTTAAAGTCGTCTTCAGGTTTTGCAGCCCCGGTAGTAGATGGTAATGAGCGTGGACGTGCTATAGATAGGGGTAGGGAGGTCGCGTTCGGGTTGACTATAGGAATGCCGGCAGAGGTAGATCGACGAGTCGGTGGTGGGGGTGCTTCCGCGAGTGCTTTGCCAAGAGTCGCAGCTCTACTTCGGCGCAGCATAAGTATCGGTACGCTCATCGCGACCGTAGAGAAGGCAAGCTAAAGCGCGAGAACGCATATAACATTAGAGAACGTGTGAACAGCGGCGCATACACTTACGAGCGCAATGGGCACCCATCTCGGGATTGGTTTCTTGTCCTTTCCGAAAATCGCCCTGTAGCCGTCGCTCTCGGGAGCCTCACGTCCATTTGAGGGCGCCAACGGGGTCGAAGATGAGCTAGGACCGGCTGCAGAGCTGGCGGACATGGCGGTAGCGGACGATGTTCTGCAAGTCTTGCCGCCCGCCGTCCACTGGCACCAATGCGTGAGTGGCCGGCTGGCGTCTCCCGCCCACGTGGTCATCTGATCGGCGGTCTATCTATATATGGAAATAGGGCGCATCAATGCCGTGGGCCCTTGTGCCTTGCTTCGTTGAAGTTGGAAAGTCGCTCTCTGCCGCTCGTCCAGGTACTCTGAGGCACTCAGAAATAGAACGCTCTACCCGGGGTCGATTCATTGACATAATCCTTTTGCGCGGACCACCTCCAACCCACATTTTCCTGGACACGCCAGTGTTCAGGTCTTGCCCACCAGTATTGACGAAAAGCTGGATCAATTAAATCGCGTGGTTCTCGCATGGCTTCGGGCCGATGACTCCTTTAGGCTCGTTCTAGGTTCTTGCGTCATCGGCGCTTAATTTCCAGTTCTGGAGCTGTGCGCGATGCTGTACTGCATTTACTGTACTTCAGTGTTTCAGGTGCTCCTTGTCGAACGGTTTCATGTTTTTCAGTCAACGGTGTCCACCATGAGTACGACCAATCCGCGATGTGCATTCCTCGTGTATCGTGTGCTGTTGCGGCGTGCATCCACTCGATGGGATGTGTATATAAAGACGTTGAGCAAAGGTATGTGGGTCATCCTCGCGCAGGACTTTCTTTTCTCCATCTTCTATCTCTCATCT